GGCCATAAAAAACAAGTAAGCATAAAGAAACACAAAGCGCTAGCAGCAATCAGTACCTCACCAAAAATACAGGGAATTTCTCTGCAGTGAGTTAAATTCTATGATCTTTGTTCTTCCTCATACTGAAAAGTCCCCCAGAGTTCCCCAAATATGCATCTACTCATTATTAGAATTTAAAGACTAAAGAAGCTTTCTCCCCATATAGATAACTGCGTCTTGTCTCTAGGTGCCTGCGGAGATTAGTTACTGACAATGTATGTTCCAACTTCGCATGGTTGCACCTGCATTTTCTACACTGAAGCCTTTTAGATAAAGATCTCACAACCATTGAGTTTTCAACTCATCAGATCATTTATTCATTTATGTCAAGAAATATTAGGGGCCTCCCTGGTGGCACAAAGGGTTAAGTCGCAGCACTATGAAGCAATCTGCAGCCACTGCTGCACAAAATTGATACCCGCCAGAGAGGTGGCCCACATGGCGCAGCAGACCTCTCCTGTCTCGCCCACTGCTCCCCTCAGCAGTGTGTTTCGGTCAATCCACCTGTTCTGCTCCCCCCACCTGCACCTCTGGCCTGTACCCCAGTTCTTGTAAGCATAAATAAATAAATCTTTAAAAGAAAAAGAAATATTAAATATGCAAAGGTTACATAACACCAGACTAGATACTAGTCAGGCAGATTTGTTAACTAGTAAGTCACCAATAGCAGAATTTAAGACATCTAATTATGAAAAACCCTCAAACCTAGTCCAAGTCACTAAATTCCTTCATATGCTTCAACTGCACTACTAACTAACATTACTTAGACTGCCTGGGATCTTTCTAAGAATCATGCAACTTAAAAAGCAAGATCAGTGAACTTAAATTTTTAGGAGTCACAAAGTCTTCAAGAAATCTACTTTTTAGCTACTCTTATTATGATGTGGTAGGGAGTGTTCCTGTGTTGGAGTCACCACAAGTGGAACACAGTGATAATGACTTGTACAGCTTTAGGTAACCTTACTTAGTGATTACAATGGCCTTCATTAGATCAAAGAAGGTGATGTGAGAGGGAGAGAAGGTCCTCTATTGTGTCGGGCAACACTACACTGACAAAGACACGTGGAGCAGGCTACACAAGGCAGGATGCTGCTGAGAGCAAGATCCTGGCTGCTTTTATTGACAAAATAATCATAGAGCATCAGCTACGTGCGTTAGGACAAGGAGAAAAGGATGGTGAAACTCAGGAATGTTATCGAGGGCTTGGGGACACGAGTCTGCTGGCCATGTATCAGCTTGATGACCAAGTGTTGTCATCGAAACTAGACCCCAGACCCCCGGCCACGGTCCTAATCTTATCAATAAGGCATTCCACTGATCAGCTTCTGGGGTCCCTTGTCATACATCAGTCCTCAGCCCCCCGGGTGTTCCTGGTCATACCTCATGATGTATGAGTCGGCAGTAAGTTCATGCATCCGTCCTCAGCCCCCCGGGCATTCCGGGTCATACCTCTTGATGCATACCCTTCCCAGAGTGATCAAGCTTTCTGCTCTTGATTGATGTGAAAGGCACCTTGAAAGGTTTGGCTCATATGACTGTGACTGGACAGTTCTGACCTTTCTATAGGAATGCAGAACTGCAGGTAACCATAAAGGTGGCTAAGCAGGCCACTTAAGTCTAGCAGACCCACAGTCCTTCAGGTAGAGCCTCAGAGATGAGCGACTCACCGGAAGTCCTTACTTAGGCTGGTGTCTTGTCCGGATTTGGATGCCCCAATCTCCATAGCACTAAAGACCCATCCTAGTCTCATCAGTACCAACAGAGTTCACTCCTAATATGATTTACCTTATCCTGTTTAATGACTCTACCAGATTTAACCTCAAAAGGTAATATTCCCTGACTTTTACTTAATAGGAAGGGAGGGCAGCGTGCAGACAGAGTGACACCTTTACACTCCATGACACAGCCCTGTGCTGTACTAGCCAGTCATCCTTCTACGTAGCACAGTAGCTCCACTGTCTTGGTTTCACACTGTCTCTTAATAGGATAGGTCAGGTGGAAGCTTCTGCTGTGTTTGAAAATAATTTTAAGTTAATTATTTCTTCTAGCATTTGATGACCAAAAAGTATATAATGTCACTTTACCCAATCATATATAAACATGAAACCCTAGGGATTCAAACCATATTACCAAAATCTCTTATTTTTAAAACCAAATAGTAGTTTTACCAAAATTATTTTCACTCTAAATAGGAAAACACTTTTTTTTTTTTTTTTTTTAAAGATTTATTTATTTATTTATTTATTTATACAAGCACTGGGTACAGTCAGAAGCGCGGGAGGGTGAGAGAATTCACCAGAGCCAGAGCGGGCAGCAGAGCAGGCAGAAGGACCGAAGTACACTGCTGAGGGGAGCAGCGGGCGGCAGGAGAGGTCTGCGCGCCATGTGGGACCCTCCTCCGGTGGCCGGGGAGCAGCCGGGGATCGAACCGGCACTGCAGAGGCTGCGGGCAGCTTCACAACCCAACGCTCAACCGCTGCGCCACCGGGGAGGCCCAGGAAAACACTCTTAATAAGAGGAAATCCTATCAATGTTCACTTTTTTTTTTTTTTTTTTTTGGTGGGGCCCTCACTGGTGGCCGGGGATCAAACCAGCGCTGCGAGGTTGCAGCCTCGCAACCCAGCGCTCAACCGCTGCACCACCAAGGGAGGCCCTCAATGTTCACCTTTAAATGATGACTCTTTTTTGAAACCTGTAACAGTAATGAATATATTTTCATTGTAATATTACCTTCATGACCTCCCCTCATTTCCTAATACCTTCTTTCTAAATGAAAGGGAGGATCCAAACCAAAGAAACAAAAGTTAACATGGATAGATCAGTACTAGCAGTAAAGACATTATGCAGACTCCAATCTCTCTCAGAAGTTACAACCAAAAATATTTATTTCAATATAGACATTAAAGTTAGCTGGGCCCAAGATCTTCCAGAGTAGTAGAACTGAAAAATAAATAAATATTAAAAATAACCTAAGGGTAATTACAGGGCCAAACATGGGGTACACTATTGCTATTGACTACACATACTTCCAAATGTATCAAGGAGTCTTATCTCCTTGAGTTTGGGAGAGGGAGAAAAATAAAGAGTCAAAAAACTCCCAATCTTGTCCCACTGAATACAATTATAACTCCTGTGTAGTGAATAAAATGGCAAGAGATGAGATGGCTGTGAAGCAGCCTTCCCACTGACTGGTGAAGAAAAATACCTAGCAGTAGCTCACTCAAAGCTAATGTAAAACCTCTGATGAGAGATTTGAGGGCATGGTATATACATAAAAAATGAATTGAGCTGGACACTTAGAATCTGCGTGCTGTATATATGTCACACTTCAGTTAAAAATAAACATGAACATTAAAAAAAGCTAATGTCAAACAATACTCTGCCTCAGGTGTTCAGAGAGAATAGCACACATTTTAATTGTGTTGGACCCCAAATTATACACAGATTATGAATCAAACTAAAGATCAATAACTTCTCTGGGCATCAAACTAAGGTTTAGAAAAACACCTTAAAAGTCTTTCAAAAGTATCCCTTTTCAAAAGCACTTTGAAATAAATGATGTGGGGAGGTAAGAAGATAGAAGTTATAGAAAGTTAGACGCTTCTCACTCTTAAAGGCAAATAGTGAGCAGCAGTTTAAAGATTCGAAGAGTTAAAAGAGTTCACATTCAACACGGTCACACGTATTGGCTGAATTCCAGACTCCCTCACTGCGGTAAGAGCGTTCTGGAGGCTCTGATGTCCAATAACAAAAAAGAAGGCATCTGCCCTTCCCAGCACAGGAATATGGCAAGAAGCAGGAACACACACACAGCTAAATCAGAAAGCAAAGCTTAAAAAAAAAAAAAAAAAAAAAAAAAACAGGGAGAAAGGAAAACACCCCCACAGGCTGCAAAGCACAACTTGGGGGTGAAAAAGCTAAAATACCCTTTAGGCTTTTACTTACTGAACTCCATTTGCGCTTCTCTAAACTAAGACACACAGACTTTCTCCAGCAGGCTTTCTCAGGGACGCTATCTGAGACCCTATAAATTATATAAGTTGTTATGGAGCCGCGCTGTCTAAGGCTGGACCTGGCTACTCGAAAGAAAAAGAACACCCACAAGTACTTCTCAAAAGAGGCGGCCTGAGGCAGGATGGCCACTCACCCTGCGGCAGTCAGAACCCCAGCCCGGCTCTGGGGAGCGGGCGACACGCTGCAGGGACAGCTCTCGGCTGCCTCCGGGGCGCACAGACCGACAGGCACCGCCACAACCAATTTTCTGTCCTGGATCTTTTGATGAAGTGGGCGAAATGGGGCCGGGGCGCTCGGGGGTGGTGCTGACGACACCGGCAGCAGGACCACCAGAATCCACCCGGCTGAAAGGCCGCCCCGCGTCCCCCCGAAGCCTTCCCCCAGCGCCGGGGCCGCAGGCCATGCAAGTCATGCTCCAGCGCCCGCGCCCTCACCTTCCCCGGCGCCGGGGCGACCGTCTCCCCGCCATCCCCTCCCTGGCCTCCCTCTCCGGGCCTCCGGCGCCCGTCCCCGGACACCCGCGAAGGGGGGCCCGCGGCGCCCCGCTATTCCGCGTCCCCGGGCGGGGAAGGGGTGCGCTGCGGGCGGACGAGGAACAGGAAGGCGAGGAGCCGCAGGGGGGAGGCGAGGTCGCCCGCGGAAGGGGCGAGGTGGGGCGGGCGCGAGCAAACCGGGGCGAGCCGTCGGGCACTCGCAGAGGGGGACAGCACCCCGCGGGGCCGGCGGGCCGGGGTGCGGGGGGCCGGGGGCCGAGGGCGGGCGGCGGCCTCCGCGGGGCCGGGGGGTCGGAGCCCGGGCCCGCCGACGCGCGGGGCTCGGGGCCGGCACAGCCCGCGGGACCGCGGGGAGCCGTGTCCGGGGGCCTCGGGGGCGGGGGCCCCCCAGGTCCTTCCCGGCCCCCGGGGCGAGGGCGGCGCCGACCCGCGCGCAGAGGACGCGGCGCTTACCGGTAGTTTGGGGCTGACCTCGCCCTTGCAGAAGTGGCAGAAGAAGCGGTGCGCCGCCATCGCCGCGCCCGCGCCCGCCCCGGCCGCCGAGGCCTCCGCCATCTTCCTGCGCCGCCGCGGCGTCCGAGAGGGCAGCGCTCCCGTCCCCGCCAGGCCGCTCCCTCCCGGCTGCGGTCGCCGCCCCCGCCCGCCCGCCGCCTCCTCGCTGCGCCGGCCGCGCCGGAACCGCGTCGGTCACGTGAGGCGCCGGCCGGAGCCGCGGCGACGCGGACGGTGACCCCGGCCCGCCCCGGCCCCTGAGCCGCGCAGGAAGCAGCGCCCGTCGCCGCGGCCCCCGCCGGTCCTCCAGCCTGCCAGCGAGAGCGCGGCCAGAGCGTCCCCGGAAACCACCGACGCGCGGGGTAGAGCGGCGCGCGCGTCCCGGCCGGGTCCTCCGCGGGCCCCGTCGCCTGCGCCGCGGGCCGGCGGCCGCGTCGGCTGAGGTCAGTGGGCGGCGCGGGCCCAGGGGGCTCTGGGCCCGGCCGAGGGGCCGGTTCGGGAGCGGGACCTGCGAGGGGCCTCGCGTCTGGGGGAGGCCTTCCGGGGACGGCGGAGGGTCTGGGGGTGCTTCGCCCCGGGCGCGGGAGTGGGGGGACGGGGGCTGAGCGGCCGGGACGGCTTCTGAGGACCCGGGAGAGTAAGTGGACAAAGCAGTTTTGGGCAGCGGTTTGTGATCATAAGAAACAGTCTGTTTTGTTTATGTCTACTTTGTCAAGAAATAGGCATTTCAGGGGCCTCCCTGAAATGGGGCGCAGGGGTTAAGTCTCGGCACCTTCAAGCTGTCGCCAGCCGCTGCTGCGCGAGGGTCAGGGAGCTACCCACATGGCCAGGGAGCTACCCACATGGCGCGGCAGACCTCGCCTGGCTCCCTGCTGCCTCCCGCAGCAGTGTGTTTCAGAGGATCCGCCTGTTGGGCTCCCCACTCTGTCTCTGGAGACTCCTCTCACACACACCCCCACTGTTATAGAGCAACCCCGATATTAAACGGGTTCCTGGCTGTGGGTCCTCACCCGCGCGCTTTAAAGGGACTTATGAATACTCTACTACAGACACACACAAAAGGTTAATAAAAGGTTTATTTACAAGAGAAAAGGAAATAAGGAAAATGTACAACTCAGGGAGAAAATAGGGAAATAAAGTCTTTAATGCGTCCTACCCGATCCGACGACCTGGAAACCCAAAGTCACTCTCAGAGCTGGCCGGATGCTGCGAGCTGGCGGAGAGCCAAAAATGGGGGACCCCTCCAAAGCCCACGTGTCTGGCTTTATACCAACCTGGCTGCTTAACCCCACCCTCAGGTCCCAGCCACCTTCCCTTTGGTGGGGATGGGATTTGGAGTTCCCAGTGTCTTTGGCTTTGACCTGGGGTGGGCGTGGAGTCCACAAAGCCTGTATGGAATTAGCTTTGGGACATCCTTTTCCCCCCTAACACCACCACTGGCCTGCACTCCAGTTCTTGTATGCATAAAGAAATCAAATCTTTTTAAAAAAAATAGGAATTTCAGAATTAAACCACCCTGCAATCGACATACTTCATCTCCTGTTTGAAGCACCCGGTTGAGAAGCTCTCCATTTACTCTAAATTTATCTTTCCAAGTTGGCATTTCCTTTATGGGCTTGGAGAGACACTCCCTGTTCACTCCCAATGAACAGTAACCTTGATTTTTCCAATGAAGTATAAAATCTCGTTCTGTGACAGATCGCAAAACCATCTACCCCTAATCTTTAAAGAAAATTAGAATCACAAATAATCCCATAAAGATAAATTGGATGTACGTTCTAACAGTGATGGGGTTTTTTGTATGCACTTTTTTTTACAAATATTAAATTTTACTCTACATTTTGCTTTATAACCTCCCTCTTTTTTTTAATGGAATTTAGTCTTTTTTTTTTTAAGATTTATTTATTTATACAAGCACTGGGTACAGTCAGAAGCGCGGGAGCCAGAGCGGGGAGCAGAACAGGCAGAAAGACCGAGATATACTGCTGAGGGGAGCAGCAGGCGGCCGGAGAGGTCTGCGCGCCATGGGGGACCCTCCTCCAGTGGCCGGGGAGCAGCCGGGGATCGAACCGGTGCCGCAGAGGCCACGGGCAGCTTCACAACCCAGCGCTCAATGGCTGCACCACCGGGGAGGCCCTATAACCTTCCTCTTTCACTTAATACAACATAAACATTTTTTTTCTTTTACTGAGTTCAAGATTTATTTCTGCTACATTTTGCCTGCGTATGCTTTCTGATTACTTATGATTCCACACATGATTGAAACCATCCAATATCTGCCTTTCACTTTTTCACTTGACACTTAACATAATCACCTTGAGTTCCATCCATTTTGCCCCAACTGCCACTATTTCATCTTTTGCACAGCTGTGTTGTATTCCATTGCATACATATCCCGTAATTTCTTTATCCATTTGTCTGTTGAAGAGCATTGAGGCTGGTTCCATGACTTGGTAATTGTGGACAGTGCTGCTATGTACATTGACATAAACTTTTTTGTATTAGAATTTTCATGTTATTTGGATAAATACCTAGTAGAGGTATTCCAGGATCATAGGGAATTTTCATTTTTATTTTCTTAAGAAACCTCCATACCATTTTCCACAGGGACTGCGCCAACTTGCATTCCCGCCAATACTGGGTGATAGTTTCTTTTTTACTACAATTTCTCCAACATTTGTCGATTCCATTCTTTCATTTTCTATGTTAATGCAGATTATACTTAATCATTTTAAATCTTGGCATGGTATTCCATTATGTGGGTATGTCATAACTTATCAAATTAATCCCTTATTGTTAGATGGAACATAATTGTTAGGTCAAAGGCATGCATATTTTAAGGCTTTTGATATGTAATGTTAAATTGTCCTCCAGAATGTACATGAATTTACACTCAACACGTCTATTCCTACTATAAAAGAAAAACTTTCTATTGTAAAGCCTTTTTATTTTCTAGCTCTGAGATTCCCCAGTACAATGACTCAAGCAGAAATTAAGCTGTGTTCTTTGTTGCTGCAAGAACATTTTGGAGAGATTGTAGAGAAAATTGGAGTCCACCTAATCAGAACTGGCAGCCAGCCACTGAGAGTAATTGCCCATGACACAGGAACATCCCTGGATCAGGTATGTTTGGATGACATTAATTTGCTTTCCTTTCATCAGTTCCTTTTGCCCACCTTAAATATGGTTACTCCCCAAATGGAAAGGGGAGAAAGCCTGCCCCTGTATCACAACAGTGTTACATAGAGGGAGGAAAGAAGATGAGACGTAAGCCCCAAAGTTTTGCTTCTCAAAGTGTTCTTAGCTCATTCTTGCCTCTTCAGCAAGTCTTTGCTCATCCTCTGCCGCTCCTCACTTACTCCGGTCCACTCATCCAGTGTAACCTGTAAGGAATGAGAATATTAGAAGGGAAGTAAGTTATGCTGTGGCAGGTAAGAATCAGTTGACCATCAAAGCATAGCAAGGCATCTTCCTGATGTCTTCCACTAACATGTGATTTTCATTAGCCTCTCCAGTAGACGGAGGAAAGCAGCACAGATTTGTGCCCAGAGATCCCTTGAAGCTTAGTAAACTGTTGGCCAAAAATTGCCAGCAGTAATGTATTAGGTCCTCAGCTCTTCCCTCTTTCTTTTGGATCCTTTCTAGGTGAAGAAAGCCCTTTGTGTCCTCATCCAACATAATCTGGTGCTCTATCAAGTGCACAAACGTGGCGTGGTAGAGTATGAGGCCCAGTGCAGCCGGGTGCTGCGAATGCTTCGGTACCCCCGGTACATATATACTGCCAAGACACTGTACAGTGACACGGGGGAGCTGATTGTTGAGGAGCTGCTCTTGAATGGCAAGATGACAATGTCAGCTGTTGTGAAGAAAGTGGCAGACCGGCTCACAGAGACCATGGAGGGTCAGTACTACATCCACAACTGTCACAGACACGGCGCGTGGACCCTCAGCTGTCATAGCCCATCTCACCTTCCTCTCTCCTCCTGTTGTACAGATGGCAAAACCATGGACTATGCTGAGGTCTCAAACACATTTGTGCGACTAGCAGACACACACTTTGTGCAGCGCTGCCCGCTGGTGCCTGCTACTGAGAATGCAGACCCTGGGCCACCACCACCTGCCCCCACTCTTGTCACCAATGAAAAGGATATGTACCTGGTTCCTAAACTAAGCTTAATAGGTAAGGACTTTTGATCCCTGGAGTTCCAGGAATTGCCCTGACTGTGGCTTCTTTTTCAATGAATTGTTTTAAAAATGAATCAATTGAGCAGATACCAAGGCTTTATTATGTGCGAGATTCTATGGTAAAATGATGAAAAACTGTCATGTCCCTGCCTTATGGGACATTAGTATAGGAGTCTTACATTAATCAACCACATAGGTATATAACAAACTGTGATAAATACTGTGAAAGAAAAGTATAAGGTGTTACGAAAATATATAACAGGGGACTTGATTTATCTGGTAGTTTAGGGCACATGCTTCTTTGAGAAAGTAGCATTTGAGCTAAGACTTACAGCTGAAGTAGCAGCCAACCAGTAAGAAAAGGTATGAAGGGGTACAAAGGATAAGCATTTTGCCAAGGGACTAGTGTAAAAGATGGTCAGTATAGTTCAAAGCCCAGTAAACAAAGGAAAGAGAGCCCTGAGATAAGATTAGAGAGAGAGGCAGGGGCTAGATCACGTAAGACCTTATAAAGCATCTTTTTTTAATAGAAGAGCAGAGAAAAATCACTAAAAGATTTTAAGCAGGAAAGTGGCAGGACCTGATTTGCATTTTAGAGATTTCCCTGTCTGCAGAAAGAATGGGGTAAAATTTAATGGAGACAAACCAGTGAAAATTTAGATTATCGCGGAGATGAGAAAGAGATCGACATCAGTACACCTGACTTGCACGTATAGGAGCATGACGGTGCTCCAGTGAAAGGAAGCATTGGAGCAGAGCAGTCTGAGGGGGAGAGATCGCAAGTTTCCTTTTGATCATATTGAGTTGGGGATAACTTCACGCTTAAATGTAGTCTCTTGCACTTCAGTCTCCTCAGCAACTGTAACCTAGAGGTAGCTACAGATGCCTTCAGGGTAGAGAGATACATGCTCTTGTGTTGGGTCATTTCTTGGCATCACATGAGATGTAGCCAACTGTTCACTGTTTTTATTTGGCAGGGAAAGGTAAAAGGAGGAGATCTTCTGACGAAGATGCTGCTGGGGAGCCCAAGGCCAAGAGACCAAAACATACTCCAGATAACAAAGAGGTAATGGGGCTTCTTGATTAGGAATCCTCACCCTGACTCAAGCCAGATGCGCCCCAAGATAATAAGCCCCGGGAGAGCGTAAAGGTTCCTGGGCTGAGGAGCAGCACAGTTTTGAATTTCGTTAAATGTCGGCCAGGAGAGTCTAACAAAGAGTGAATTCTACTGCATTCTCCCTTCTGAGACTTAACTTATTTCAGTCATTGAACAGAGATAAACAGGTTATACAAAAAGAGGTCTGTTGTTCATGCCTGTTGTTTGGTATGGCTGGAAAAGAAACATCCAGACCCGTGTGGGCCAGTGATAAGAAATCCCCGGTGGCGCAGCGGTTTGAGCGCAGCGCTGTGAAGCTGTCCGCAGCCTCTGCAGCGCTGTTCGATCCCCAACCAGGCAGGGAGATTCCCACATGGCGAGGCAGACCTCTCCTGTCTCACCCGCTGCTCCCCTCAGCAGTGTATTTTGGTCCATCTGTCTGTTCACTCCCCACTCTGTCTCTCACCCTCCCACGCCTCTGGCCTGTATCACAGTTATTGTATAAAAATACAATAACTTCTGGCCTAAATCTTAAAAAAAAGGAAAAAAGAAATCAGCTTCAATAATCTGCTGAAAGATATATAGGCCTATCTCTTACATTCAGATTCTTCCTCACCACTCCTATGTCTATTAAGCATCTCAAAATAAGTATGCCAGGACAAAAATTAAGTATCCCACTCCCAAGGATTGGCTCCCTCCTAAGCTTTCTCGTCTTAGTAAAGGTCACCACCCCCAAGACAACCACCTAGGACACCATTTGCCTTGACTGAAATCCTAGGAACCATCCAGTCTCACAGTAAAATCTGTTAGCCTAGTTACCAAAATGACCTAAAATCCAACAATTTCTCACCACTTCCATTGCTACCATCCTAGCCCAAGCCATTCTCTTGTCAGTACTATGCCAATACCCTCCTAAATGATCTACCAGCATTCTTCTCTAAATAAGGGCCAGATGTATGGACACACTTGTGTGACTTCTGGCCTAAATGGTTTCTATTTTCTCTGTGAAACAAGAGCAAGGTCATCTGCTAAGAGTGTGAAAGGAGGGGAAAATGTGAGATTAGAGGATAATGGAAAAGATTTAAAATAGAAAGTTGGCAGTGAGCTTAGAGAAGTTGTTTCAAGTTGGGGGCAGTGGATTTGTTACTGTGAAGACACTAATCAACACAATATGATTTTCTGCCTGCCAACATAGTTGCTACTGGCTAGGAAAAGAAGTAGTAATAGTTAAGTCCAGGCTTCTCTTCAGAAAACTCTTCACTCTATCTAAATGTTTTTTCTAACCGTTTTTTTCCTCAGCCCATTCCAGATGATGGGATTTATTGGCAGGCTAACCTTGACAGGTTCCACCAGCACTTCCGGGACCAAGCCATTGTCAGCGCTGTTGCCAACAGGATGGACCAGGTGATATCTAAATGGCTGAGTCAGTGGCCACCAGGGACAGTCACTTATTTGTCAGATATGACCATTGGCATGTAGCCAGAGCCAGCACAATTGCATAAATTCTGAATTCCAGTTCACTTTTCAAACCCAGACCAGCAGCGAGATTGTGCGAACAATGCTCCGCATGAGTGAGATCACCACGCCCTCTAGTGCCCCCTTCACCCAGCCGCTGGCTTCCAATGAGGTGAGCTGCAGCTCCTGCTGCGAGTTTTCTGATAGACTCTTGGATATTGTAATTATTACATGTGGAGCCTGGGATTAGGTTGAGGTCTGAGCCTTGGAAGAAAGAATATTTGTTGTTCAAAGTGGAATAGGGATTGGCTTCAGGGGGTCAGTACAACCTATAAAAGCCTGTACATTCTCTTGGTCTAAGAGTAAGGTATTCATAATTGTTCAGAGAATCCACTATCTAACCCCTTACATTTGGTTCTTTTCAGTGTATTAATTTTGTATATCTTAAATTTGTTTGTTTGTTTTTTTTTTAAAGATTTACTTATTTATTTATACAAGCACTGGGTACAGTCAGAAGCGCGGGAGGGGGCCTCCCCGGTGGCGCAGCGGTTGAGCGCTGGGTTGCGAAGCTCCCCGCGACCTCCACGGCGGTCGTTCAATCCCCGGCTGCTCCCCGGCCACCGGAGGAGGGTCCCACATGGCGCGCAGACCTCTCCTGCCGCCTGCTGCTCCCCTCAGCAGTGTGCTTCGGTCCTTCTGCCTGCTCTGCTCCCTGCTCTGGCTCTGGTGAATTCTCTCACCCTCCCGCGCTTCTGACTGTACCCAGTGCATGTATAAACAAAAAACAAACAAACAAATAAATAAAACATGCCTCTATTTAAAAAAAAAAAAAAAAAAAAAAAGAAGCATGGGAGGGTGAGAGAATTCACCAGAGCAGAGAGCAGAGCAGGCAGACTGACAAAGTACACTGCTGAGGGGAGCAGCGGGCGGCAGGAGAGGTCTGCGCGCCATGTGGGACCCTCCTCCAGTTGCCGGGGAGCAGCCGGGAATCGAACTAGCGCTGCAGAGGCTGCAGGCAGCTTCGCAACCCAGCGCTCAACCACTGCGCCACCGGGGAGGCCCCTTAAAATTGTTTTTAATAGATTGTCTTCTTAACATACTAATATTTAATATATTAAACGCTTATTTTTATTACTTTTATAATATTTATCCATATGAAATATAGTTACTCTTTTTATTTCATATTATTTAAAATTTTTTTAACTTACTAAAAAATTTCAAATAAAAGCTTTTTTGTGTGACAGAGTAATCACATGACCTATATTCAAGCAGCAGAGAAATTAACAATTTTTAAAAAGTTAGAGTTCCCCGTACTTTCAGGAATGGTGGACATGTTCTGTGTCTTGTTGTGGGAGGTGGCTACATGGGTGTGTACAATTGTCGGCACTCATCATACTCAACCATTAAGATCTGTGCTGCTTATTGTATATAACATGTATTTCAACTCAAAATATTTATATAGCTTTACATAACCCCAGCTGCAGAGATCTTTATTTATAATTTAGTGTATATCTTTACTCAGATCTTTTATTCCAGGTATAGTCTAATATATATAGCTTTATAGCTATATTCTTAACCCCTAAAATGGGATTATATACTACATACTGTTCTAATATGCTTTTTTTTTTTTTTTTTTTTTTTTTTTTTTTTAATAGAGGCATGTTTTATTTATTTATTTTATTTGTTTGTTTGTTTTGTTTATACATGCACTGGGTACAGTCAGAAGCGCGGGAGGGTGAGAGAATTCACCAGAGCCAGAGCGGGGAGCAGAGCAGGCAGAAGGACCGAAGTACACTGCTGAGGGGAGCGGCGGGCGGCAGGAGAGGTCTGCAAGGCCATGCGGGACCCTCCTCCAGTGGCCGGGGAGCAGCCGGGGATCGAACCGGCGCCGCAGAGGCCACGGGCAGCTTCGCAACCCAGCGCTCAACCGCTGCACCACCGGGGAGGCCCCCTAATATGCTTTTTTCATATGACAGTATATGAAACCTTTTCATGTCGATGTTTATAGTTCTGTCTCATTCTTTTTAATGGCCATGTCAGATTCTACTTAATAGCCATGCTGTGCTTTATTTTAATTAATTCCCTATTATTGCACATTTGGATTGTTTCTAGTTTTTTACTCTTAGAAACAATACTGCTGTGAATATTTTTGGACATTTTTATGCTTATGATATCTAAAATTAAAACTTCTTTATTTTAGTAATATCAGCAATTTTGTCATTTTCAGTTTCTCTTTTTGCTCCATAGATCTTCAGATCCCTGCCTGTTGGCTATAATATCTCTAAACAAATCCTTGATCAGTATCTCACTCTGCTCGCAGATGATCCAGTAAGTGTGGTTTTTTTTTTTTCTTATTTCTGCTCTATTTACGATTCATTTCTGCCAGTGGTACCTGGTATCATTCTCCTGTGGCCTCATTCTCTACCCAGCCAGATGAAACAATTTCCCCACCATCATCTGATAGGAAGAGCTACCTGCTATAGACACTTGACCAGATTTGCTCCCTTGGGAATAAAATCACAGGACTTTCCATTCAGTTAACACTCTCTCTCTTCTTTTAATAGCTAGAGTTTGTTGGAAAGTCTGGCGACAGCGGTGGAGGAATGTATGTCATCAGTATCCTTGCCAGTTATTTCCTTATAGTCAGGCAGTCAGAACTCTAGAACACAATGTCGACTAGTGAAAGAAAAGATAGGGTAATATTCAGTGTGTTGAATAAGTTAGAAAATTTCACAAATACATCGATAAAGAAGTAAAAAGGACTTTTAGCCAAATTTTAGTTAAGCAAAACCCTTATTTAACCACCCTAGTTAAGTAAGGTTTTGAAATACCACAAATGAAACCAATGTGCAAAACAAAATAGCATTTAAATTTTAATTACAAATTATAGGCTTTAAATAAAACTAAGTCACAGTGGCCAGGCCAAAACACAGACTGTGTGACCTTAACCCTCTACACAAAGACCTGCACAAAGCTTTAACGTCCCTAGCCACGGCCGCATTGGAGTCTGTCGTACAGGAGAGGTAAGGGGGGCACCCTGACTTGTCTGGGGGTCAAATACTTCCTTTCCATACCTTATTTGAACAAGTAATTTGATCATTAAGCAACCAGTAATGGCATATCTTGCCTCATTTTTCCACTGAATGGCTATGAGTCCCTTACTCTTAACCCTGAATACCCTACTGCATGACTCTCAGTGATGCCAATTAACTACCCTTTGTAAAGTCTTTGCTCACAAATGTAGGAACTGAGGCGCTCAGGTGGGTCAAGGTTGGGGACTGCCTGGCGAGCGATTGGCGGTGCCACCATCACTCTATGGAGCCGTAGAAATTCGCACATCACTGCTCCTCTCTGGTGCTAGCTCCTCCCCCAGAAATAGAGCCACCACCATCTAGGACTAGGAGTTCAAGGTAGTCCATGTTGGTGTGCATTTACTTTCTTCCTTCCTTTCCAGATTTGGGTCTCGCTGTGCCAGAATATTCCGTCTAGTTTTGCAAAAGAAGCACCTGGAGCAGAAACAGGTGGAAGACTTTGCAATGATTCCAGCAAAGGAGGCAAAGGATATGCTTTATAAGATGCTCTCAGAAAATTTTATATCACTCCAGGTAACCAATGGTGTGATAATCACCAGCCAGCAGACTGGCCTAGGGTGGAGAAACTCCCGAGGCAGATGTCCTGAACCCCAAGCAAACTCTGTATCTAGCTCTGAAGCAGAAAAGTGATTGTAACAAAGACATAACAAGCACTTGAAAGATGATTGTGGAGCTTTAACTGACCTTTTTTTTTTTTTAAAGATTTATTTATTTTTTTATACAAGAACCGGGGTACAGGCCAGATGTGTGGGGGGTAAGAGGATTCACTGGAGACAGAGTGGGGAAAGAACAGGCAGACTGACTGAAATATACTGCTGAGGGAAGCAGCAGGCAAGACAGGAGAGGTCTGCTGCGCCATGTGGGATTCTCGCTGGCCCACCAGGATCAAACCCGCGCTGCAGAGGCTGCAGACAGCCTCACGGTGCGGCGCTCAACCACCTGTGCCACCAGGGAGGCCCTTAACTGACCTTTTAAAAAGAGGCACGGCCAAGAAATCACCCTGTCCTTTTTTCCCCCCTGTGATTCGTCCTTTCCTCAAGCCTTAGGCTGACTATAGAGTAAGCCCATCAAAACATCTGTTGGGGTCTCACTCCGCAGAGCCACGTAGTACAGACCCCAGGAGAAAACAGGACACAGGGTTTGGAGTCAGAATCACAACTCTGCTTCTTAACACAGTGACATTGAGCAACTTACCCATTTTTCTGTCTTTGAAACGGTGATGGATGGTTTGTTGTAAAGGTGAAAGAATAACATGGCTCTCCGTAAAGACCAAGTACAACCTACCTGGCACCTGAGAGCTGCTCAGCCCAGCTCTCCGTGTGGTGACTATGCCATAAACACAGATGCAAGTGACCGTATGAGAGAGGGCTGAGTAGCCCCGATGGGACAGGTGTGCGCCTTGCCAGTTGTGAAGATCAGTATAATTTCTTTTCTTTCTCTTTCTATGGACAAGTAGGAAATTCCCAAAACACCAGACCATGCCCCATCCAGGACCTTCTATTTATATACTGTGAACATCTTGGCAGCTGCCCGCATGTTGCTGCACAGGTGCTACAAGGTAACTTCTAGACCGTCTCCCCATTGCCCACAGACAGATCTCACACCCATGTCCTCTTTAGCCATTTTACCTGAGTTAAATAGAATTGTGTGCATTTCCTATTTTTCTTCTCTCCCCTCAGAGCATAGCCAACTTGATAGAAAGGAGACAATTTGAAACCAAAGAGAACAAGTGAGTATTTTCAGTTGAATAATTACATCTTTCAAGGTCAAAAACTTGAGGGGAAATTTCCGATAGAAATGGAAAAAAATTTAGATTGTGAAAAGCATCCTTAAAGAGTGACATCATCCACATTTTGACTAGAAACTGTAAAAGAGGGAGTCTGGCCTCAGGCTAACCGGTAAGAGGATCTCCTCGGCTAGAGAGCATGCCTCAGAATCGTGTGTTTCTGACAGGCGTCTGCTAGAAAAGTCTCAGAGGGTAGAGGCCATCATCGCATCTATGCAGGCCACTGGTGCGGAAGAGGCACAGCTGCAAGAAATAGAGGAGATGATCACAGCCCCTGAACGCCAGCAGCTAGAGACCCTGAAACGTAATGTCAACAAGTAAGCAAAAACTCAGGCCTATGTTTCAAAATCCTTTCCAGACAAATCTGCCTCCATATCCTGCAACGTTTCCACCTTAACACAAGCAAACCTAAACCCACTCTTGTCTTCCCCGGGACAATTTACCGAATTCAGTTGTAGCGGCAGGAATGGCACAGGGGAGGTTTTCTATGATTCCAGCAGACGGGGTAAAGAGAAGTCCTGGAGCCCTCTGTGGCTTTTCAGGCTTTTATTGGGATTTATCAGGTACACAGCAGGCAGGAATGCTGGGGGGCCGGGAGGCTGGCAGGCTTCCCAGCCCCCAGCAAGCCTTCACTCTATCTGGGCTTTCTGGTGGTCTCTGCTTCTCTCATGGTTGTGCTTCTGCTGGCGTCCCCATGATGCCGCCCTTATAAGCTCAGTATCTCAGCCCAGGTGTACCCACTTACGCATGCCCACACCCCACTCCAGGTGCCTGCCATCAAGCATGCATTCAGGACCACAAGGATCTATCATCAATCCTAATGGTGGGAGGGCAGAAAAGCCTGATACTTACCCTACACAATCCATTTATTTTCCTAGCTAAAAACTCTGAAGATATCCTCAGCTTCTCCCTCACCCCACCCCACCCCACCCTTCTGTTCACAGCTCTTGATTTGACTTCAGTAATCTCTCTCAAATCTGGCCTTTGTTCTGAGGCCCCAGGCCGACCGTCATCACCTCTTTCCTAGACCCTCACAGTCACTCCCCCTTCAAACCATCTCTTATAATGCTCACAGAGCTACTGTCTTTAAAATGGCTGATGATATTCCTCTCCTACTTTAAAAGCTTTATTGCCCCCTTATATTATCTATAGTACAAATACCAGACTCCTTGGTGTTTCATATAAGGCCTTGCACAGTTTCACAACAGCCTGTCTCCATCTTCATTTCCTTTCACTCCTCACCGTTCACCCTGGTAGTGACTGCTTTCAGGACTATTGCCCTCTTAGCAACAATAATCCTTCCAGCTCATGAACATGGGAGGTCTTTTCGTTTAGGTCTTTAGTGTCTTCAATGCTGTTTGTCATTTTCAGTGTTCAAGTCTTGCACTTTTTTGTTAAATGTATTCCTTTTTTTAATTTTAGTATTTTCTTAATTTCATTTTTGAATTATTCATTTATAGTATATAGAAATAAAGCTGGTTTTGTGTTTTGAATTTCTTTTTTTAACTCATTTTTTTTTTTAAAGATTTATTTATTTATACAAGCACTGGGTACAGTCAGAAGCATGGGAGGGTGAGAGGATTCACCAGAGACAGAGCGGAGAGCAGAACAGGCAGACTGACGAAATACACTGCTGAGGGGAGCAGCGGGCGGCAGGAGAGGTCTGCGCGCCATGTGGGACCCTCACCCGGTGGCCGGGAATCGAACTGGCGCTGCAGAGGCTGCGGGCAGCTTCGCAGCCCAGTGTTCAACCGCTGCGCCACCAGGAGAGGCCCTTGAATTTATTTCTTATAACTGCTGAATTCAGCCATTAGCTAGCAATTTTTTTGTAGATTCTTTGAGGATTTTTTTATATATAGGATCATACCCATATATATTACCTCTTCCTTCTCAATCTGGATGCCTTATATTTCCATTTTCTTGCCTAGTTGCCCAGCTAGAACCTCCAGTAAAAGGTTGAATGAAAGTGTGAGAGTAGACACCTTTACTTTGTTCCTGGTCTTAGGAGTAAAATTTTACCCGTCTTTTACCATTAAATATAATGTTAGCTGTGGGGTTTTCCAAGACGGATTGTATCGGGCTAAGGAAGTTGCCCTCTATTCCTGATCACTACTCACCTTATGCCTTGACCACAATCAATTTCTATTTTTTTTTTTTTTTAAGATTTTTATTTATTTATTTATTTATGCAAGCACTGGGTACAGTCAGAAGCGCGGGAGGGTGAGAGAATTCACCAGAGCCAGAGCAGGGCAGGCAGAAAGACTGAAATACACTGCTGAGGGGAGCAGCGGGCGGCAGGAGAGGTCTGTGCACTATGTGGGACCCTCCTCAGGTGGCCGGGGAGCAGCCCGGGATCGAACTGGTGCTGCAGAGGCTGCGGGCAGCTTCGCAACCCAGCGCTCAACCGCTGCGCCACCGGGGAGGCCCCAATTTCTATTTTAAAACACACAAGATCCTTGTATACCTGGGCCTTTATATGTGCTATTCTTTCTCCTGCCTCAAGTTAGACTGAAATTACCCCAGGACAGAGGCTGTACCTTTTGAATCCTCAGCAGTCCCCACCATACCTTGCACGAGAGAGGAGCTCAGTGAACGGGGGAATGATCTATTTGTTCTGCTTTCTTCCCATTTCTCTCAAGTGTAATCAAGCAATTCTCCATGCCACACCCAGCCCAGCTGCTAATCTTAAATATGCTAATGACCAGTCTGAGCAAGTACTTTCACTTTTTCACTCAGGTTGGATGCCAGTGAGATCCAGGTGGATGAAACCATTTTCTTGCTGGAGTCTTACATCGAGAGCACCATAAAGAGGCTATGACCCAGAAGAATTTTCCTCAAAAGATATTGGGGGTGGGAGGGAAAATAAAGGTGTTTGAATGCATTCCTTGTGGTGGGATAAGTTGCAGAGCCTTATACTGAAACCCCCTCTTTATCCTTATTGCACAGAATACACCTGACAGAGTTTGACATAGTCCACGAACTTTGCTGACCCCCATCTTGGACTCAGCCCTACTCCCATCAGCCCCTACTGGGGTGGAGTTTGAAAAGCTCCGTCAAGCAGGCTTTTAGCCTGGTGCACTTGCTTGGAGCTTGCGCCTTCCCTTACCTCTTACAGGGGGCGGGAATTTTTTTTTTTTTTTTTTTGAGACTTGCAGTAGATTGAAGGTAGAAGATGACGAGGGCAGTGGAGACTGGAGAGCAAGACATAGACTTTAGAAGCGCTAGGGAGTAGAATCCACTGCACTGGGGTGCCATTTGAGTGAGAAGAAGAAAGAAAGGGAGGTGTTAGGGCCGCCTCCCGAGTGTCTGGCTAGCAGACAGATGGGACTGACCCCGGGGGTGCTGCGCGCCGCTCTGGAGGGGCCTCGCAGGCGCGGGCCGCGGCCGGTGGGAGGCACGGGGGTCCAGTCATTCATCTGAGCGTCACTGTCCGGGGCCAAGAAGATGGGGAGCAATGAGCCGGGGATTTGGAGGTGGTCTTGGTCAGTCTCCAGCTTCACACCGCGGGGGGCCCCGACAGGTCACACCTGAACTGCCGGGGCTCTGCCCGCCGCGGGGAGGCTCCGCGGCGCCAGCAGGGGGCGCCCAGCGCGGGGACCCCGGGCGCGGCATGGCGGCCGCGCGAGTGCTGCTGCTCCAGGGCGCGCGCCTGGGGCCCGTGGGCTTCGCGCGCAGCGTGTGTGGCCGCCTGGGGGCCGCCCCGGGCCCCGGGCCGTGGCCCGCGCACTGCGCCCTGAAGCGGGGGCAGCTCGTCCTGTCGGACCGGCCGTTCCCCGGCGCCTCGGTCAGGCTTCCGCTGCAGGTCGGGGGCGGGGAGGGGCACCCCGGGGCGGGGAGGGGCACCCCGGGGCGCGGTGGGAGCGGGAGGCTGCAGGCCCGGGGCGCGGCGGGGGCTCCCGACTCCCGAAAGCCCCGCCCCACTGGCCGAGCCTTACCGCGCGCTCCCGCCAGCGCCCCCCCTTCTGCCCCTTCGCGGCCCTGGACCCGCAGCCCGCGCGCCCCGCGGCCGAGCTGCCCGGCGCCCGCGGGGTGGACCTGGGCGTGGCCGTCGTCCTCCAATCCAGCGACCGGACTGTCCTGCTGACCCGAAGGGCCGGCACCCTCCGCGTCTCCCCCAACCTCTGGGTACCCCCAGGTGAGTGACCCTTGGACAAAGCGCCGGTCTCAGGAGAAGTGGGTCTGTAACAGGTGGGACCCAGGACAAGAGAAGTCCCTGCCCTGTAACAGGGCCAGACACGAGGGCGCCCGCATCACCCCGGGGCGGGGGGGCGAGGGGGGCCCTGCAGCTGCACCCGTGTCCACTGGGGAAGGGGCAGTGTGAACAGAGGGTGGGGCCGGGCCAAGACCACCACCCACCACCTTCAGGTTCTGCTGTCGTTCCAGGTGGGCACGCAGAACCTGATGAAGAGGTAACCACTCAGCTGACCCAAAGGGCACCTTGCCCGAACCCAGACCTGTCCACCAGACCTGTCCACCACACCTTGGGTGTGGGCTGAAGGGGCCAAAGGACTGACCTCTGACGTGTCCTCTGACTCCCAGCTGCTGGATGGCGGCCTCCGAGAGCTCCGGGAGGAGACTGGGCTGCGGCTGCGCCAGGGCGGGTTCTCCTGGGTCCCTCTGGGGTTATGGGAGGTGAGGAGGGAACCTGGGCGGGCTCCTTGCCAATTTAACCAAGAGCCTCAACAACTCCCAACAGCCCAGGCCCTGGCCACAGGGTAACAATGGAGGGTGGGCGGTTCCGAGTCCCTGAGCCCACCACCCTCACCTGTGTCGATGCTGCACCACCTCCACCCACTTCCTCAGCTGCGTCTCTCCACACAAGTCATCCTCACTTTCTTTTCTTTCAGTCTGCCTACCCGCCCAGGCTGAGCTGGGGGCTCCCCAAATACCATCATATCGTCCTCTATCTACTTGTGGTCTCCCAGGAGTCCCAGCAGCAACTGCAGGTGCCGGGGGGAGGGGATGGTTCTGACTGTAATTAGGGTAGGGAAGGTGGGAGGTCAGAAATCATCCAGAAATCCTAGAGCCTCTCCCCAGCTCCTGCCAAATCTCTGTCCTTAGCAGCCAATAAACTGCCATCAAGGACAGGTTTCCCCAGAGGGAAGGGAGGAGACTCAGGGAGAAACTTGTGTGGCCCTAGGCCCGGATCCAGCCAAACCCAAGTGAGGTGAGCGCCCTCACGTGGCTGGGACCAGATGTAGCCGCTGTGGTGGCTGCCTCAGAGGATGGAACCAAGACTCCTGGGCCAGGCCTCCAGGGCCTGCCACCCTCAGTCCCGTAAGTAAGAGCTTCTCCAGGGCCTCCAACACGCCAGCACTTACCCACTGAGAGGTGCAGCTGCTATCCCCTCCTGGGGGCATCACGGGAGGCGGGAGGGCATGACAGGAGTCAGCTAAGTGATAATGAAGCCTGCCACTCAGGAGTTCCTGCTCCAGCTGCACAGCCCTGAAGACCCAGTGCCCCTCTCCCTCAGGCACAAGTCATTTAACCCGCCTTGGGTTAAATGGTTAAGGTCAGCACCCAGCTCCCCAGCTCCCCCAACAGTTGGGAAGATGAGGGGCCCTGACAGTTATGAAGACAGCCTTATCACCACGCAGTGCCGTAGGTGTGGAGGCGGATGGAGGCACTCGGCCCCTGGCCCTGCCCCTGGGCACACTGCTGCGGACCACGCCAGTCACGGCAGAGGACAACGAGAGGGTCAGCACTGGGACCAAGTTTGCCCTCGGGCTCTGGCTGAAGCATCTGGGCGGGTAAGGCCAAGGAAGGACAGCACTGGGCGGAGTGGGGTGGAGGGAGGAGGAAGAAACAAGTGTCCTTGGAAATTCTCAGCGTGGCGCTCTGACCATGTGGATGAGGAACTCAGTCGGGTCCAGGACCAGGGAAGGAAGAACAGAACACAGACCTTCCCCCAGACCAGGGGCCTGGGAAGCGAAGCGCGTGATCCCCTCCCTGCCCGCCGCCATGACGCTCTCAGAACATTCACAATCTTTATTATGGATGAGAACGTTGCTACAACTTTGGGAATAAAAAGTAAAATTAGAACATAGGTGCTAGGCTCTGGAAAAGCCTTAAAAAAAGGAGATTGGAGAGAGCACGAGGGTCCTCCCACCTCCCAGGAAAGGTGCAAAATGAGCCAAGTCTCACCTCAGGGCCGGGGGCAGCCAAAAGCTCAGGCCCTGGGCTGGTGGGCACAAGGAACAACATGAACTTAAATATATAAATAGAGACCCAGGCAATAGGCCAGGCCCTGCCCCCAAGCCTCGGGGATCAGGACAAAGGCCTTATCTCCTCCTCAGTCACACGGGAAGTCATCTTTGGAGTATTTTGGTTTTTCTTGTTTATATACAAAAAATCTGCAACCCAAAATAGAGTTCTCTGTCCATCTGTCTGCCTGTATCACTTTGTCCGCCTGTCCGTTTGGACAAAGAAGTCGGAATGGACATGGAAACAGTCGGTGGAAGTTGGGGGAACAGAGCCATGTGTCTGGGGATGCGGAGGGGGCGTCTGAGGGACCAGCGAAGGGCCCTTCCCCACCAGCTTCCTGACAGTCGGGCTGAGATCCAGCCTCACTCCAAGGCCCATCCCCTCGCCTGCCTCGGCTAACACAGCCGAAGACTGCAGCCGCCATCTAGAGCGTTTCCAAAATTACACCCCAAATGTCCTTAAAAAAAGGTTAAATATTAACCCTCTGGGTGCTGGCCTTGTTAGGCAACGATGAGCCAAAAAGTGTCCAGGAAGGTCTTTCTGGCCTTTGGCCAAAGCCCCGAGGGGTCAGTGGCCAGAGACTCAGACTCCACAATATACTTGCTGAGTGCTGGGAGGCAGCGAAGGTTCCAGAATTCTGGGGACTCAGTCCAGGGAAATGATGTCTGATCGGCAGCCAGCCAGAGAGGGACCTGCAGGCAGGGGTCCTCCGTGCCCCTCTCTCAAGGGCCCCCCAGGGGCCACGATGCTACTGACACGGCCAGGAGGGGGTGCTGGAGTGGTGCTGCGGTGAGAGCTCCCCAACGTGGGGGCAAGCGGGCCCAGGAAATGGGAAGGGGCCCCTCGGTACTGGAAGAAGTGGCCGAGGGCATCCTGTTCGTCTAGTGAGGTGATGACGGAGGGGCCGTAGTGCTGGGAGGAACCAAGGGCAGAGTTTAGGCTTTTCTCCTGGCTCCTCAGCTCCAGTCACATCTCAGACATACACGGGCTAAAGCAACCCCTCTGATCCCAAGGTACAAAGTGGAAAGCCGTAACTCCTTCCCCTTCCCACCGTACCCCACCCCCTGCCTTGAGACAGTCCCTCCGGCTTGCGGGCTTGCGAGGTTCCCTGGGCCTTGTGGGCGGCTGAAATGTGTGGAATGTCCGGTCGGGCAGGCATGGTTGGCTCAAGAGCACGGGGGTGGGGAGGTGAGCAGGCAAGGGCAGGACACTCAAAAGGAGACAGAACAGTAACAGTGTCGAGGAAGACACTGGATCGGAGGAAGTAACAGGGAGGCTAGGAAGGGACTAAGCTGTCTGCACAGGGGAAGGTTTAAATGTGGTGGGAGTGGCCTCCCCTGGTGGCACAGTGGTTGAGCGCTGGGCTGCGAAGCTGCCCGCAGCCCCTGCAGCACCGGTTCAATCCCAGGCCACCAGCAAGGGTCCTACAAGGCACGACAGACCTCTCCTGCCATGCCCGCTGCTCCCCTCGGCAATGTATTTCGTCAGTCTGCCTCTTCTGCTCCCCGCTCTGGCTCTGGTGGATTCTCTCACCCTCCCGCACTTCTGACTGTACCCAGTGCTTGTATAAATAAATAAATAAATAAATAAATAAATAAATAAATCTTAAAAAAAAAAAAAAAAAAAAAAAGGCGTGGTGAGGGATGGAGGGTCAGGGGATCCGGCAATGGCTGGAAATGAAGCTTCAGAAATCTGAGATCTTTGCGGGAGAAGGAAGAGACCTCTTACCTGACTCTCAGTCTGAAGAAAAGAAAATAAATCTAAACCTGGTGAGAAAAGAAAAACTACAGTCAGCCTCCTTTCTGATCGTTCGCCACCATAAAAACAAAGAAGTTCCCTAGACTGTGGCCCTTTTCTAGAGACCCAGGAAGGTTGGACAAGGAGTTGGGGCTTGGTGCTGGGCCTTGTGATGAGCGTCCTACCTTGGATGTCAGCCCCCAGCGGGAAGGCAGGCGGGTATTCGTGCAGCGGGAGGCTGGACAGGAACTCCCCGCCCAGCGCGCCCATGGCCGGGCTTCGCAGCACCGAAGACGGCTGGTGAGCGGACGTCAGGACTCTGTGGGGACAGGAGCTGCGGTAGCCAGCAAGGCAGAGAGGCCCTCAGCCAGCTCGGCCCCCCAGTCCTTCTGTCCTGGTGTGCCCGGGGTTGGCCCAGCGACCAGGAAGCACTCCTGACTGCTCCCTCTGCCCCTTCTGCTGCCTCGTACCCTTTGCTCCCGGGCAGGGCCGGGAGAGCCACGGAGGTGACAGGACAGTGCTTCTTGGTCGGGGGCAGGTCCTCCTCATCAGACGAGCTTTCTATTGTCAGATCGATGACTTCAACCTTCTTCTTATTCTCAGAGGGCGTGCCCTCTTGGACTGGACTGTACTGGAGGCCTGTGGAGGTATAAAGACACGTCTCAGAGAAAAGGAGATCCAAGACTCAGCTAAGCTAGGGGACAGGGGGTCACTCACCATCCAGCCCATACCCTGGCGGGGGGCAAACCTCAGATGCCTCCTTCTTGGGTTTCATTGGGCACCAGGAACCATCTTCCATGAATTGGATCTCATCACAATCCGAGCAGGAATTAAGAATCTCCATGAATAAACTGGGGGAGGAAAGAGACGAGGATTGGCGGGGCTGGGAGCAGGCAGGAACACAAGTCAGGGGGTTCTGTGACTCACTGTGCTGAACCTCAGTGTGCTCATGTGGAAAACAGAGCTATCACCCATCCTGCTGACCTCTCTTTGTTGTTGGGATCAAATAACAAGGTATTCAGAGTTTTGCAAACTTTAAATGCTAAGTTTTGAAACAATCCATTGTTGGCACCTGTTTCATGTACCAGGGACAAGCCAGAGGGAGCAGCGATCCAGCCTCCCACAGACCATCTCGGCAAGAGGGCTGGGACAGAACTCCAGAGCAGGTGCTGGGGTGTCCGCACTAGCTAGGGCACGTCCAGAACCTCCGAAGGCCCTTACTGCTGTGCTCAGCACGTGGTTCAGTCATTATCAGGAGTGTATCACATTCTGATACACTGTGGGGGACTAACTACCTTCAAGCAAGCAGGCCTCAGTTTCCTCATCTGTGATAACAGCACCCATGTCACAGGGTCATGAGGAGGATTCAGTAATGTAAGACATGCAGAGTGCTCAGCACGATGCCAACCACACAGCAACCTTCACGGGACAGAAGTCTGCTCTCTGTAGCCAGGCGTGTGTACACACACACGCATACGCAAGAAACAGACAAGCGGATGTCCCAGGTAAGAGGGAGCAGAAAGTAGAATGGCCCTACCCATCAATGATCAGAGATTCATAGGGAGCCTTCTTGTCACACACGGGACACGTCCATGTCGGCTTCTTCTCATTCATCTGCAGGTAAAGGGCAGCATCGAAGCTCTGCAGGTGGGCGCAGGTGAGGGCGCGACAAGGGACAGTCAGGCGCATCTTCCCCAGCTGAGGAGAGACAAGTCCTCCGGTCAGGTCCCCACATCCCAGAAAGTCTGACTCTAACAGCCCAAGGCTGTTTAACCCAACCCTCCTCCCCTGCTCTGCTCCCCAACACCTACCGGGCACATGAGTGACACCCGGAGACTCGTCGTGGCCACCTCACTGTCTGGGTCAGCAGTCAGTTTCTCCTTAACTGAAACAAGAGTGAGGCCAGAGCCATGTGGTCAGCAAGGCCGAAGAGAAAAGACTAGAACTGGAGAGGCTGGAGCAGAGAGCCTTCGAAGGCCAGCGAGGTGTCTGCGGGGGCTGAATTACGAAGGCCCTGGGGCCGGAGAGGGGCGATTCCCCATCTCTGAAGATATTTGAACACAGCTGGGTGATACTCTGGCAGAGAGGAAATAGGGGGAACTGAAAGATCACAAGTCGGTTAGCTAAGAAGGCCCTAAGGCCCCAGGCCGGAGAAGCCACACTGCACAGGGCCGCGGTTCTAGTCTTTGAGGAGCGAGGCAGAGGTGTAACTGGGAACGCAAGGGTGTCATTTGGGGCTGGGGTCCAGTGAGAGGGGAGGTCCGTGCCACAAGATGGCTATTTTGGTTATAAAGACTGTTGGGCCAGAAAGACGTGGGAAATGGACGGCGTGTGCAGAGGCCGGGGCAGCACTCACTCAGCGCCCGGGAGTGGTCTGGGTTCCGGATGCCCTTTGCTCTGAGCTTTTGTAGCAGGGTCCCCGCAGTCAACTGCCTCACCAGGTACACCGACAAGGAGTAATTCTACTTGGAGGTGGGGGGAGGGAATTAGCCTCTGCTTCGCAAGCCACCGCTGCCGCCACCACCATGGCCACCACCACCACCACCGCTCCTTGTCCCACGGGGACCCAGCGGGATAAGGCAGAGACCCAGAGAGAGGACAGCATTTCCCCACCCAGGACACTGGCTGACCCCTTCATGCCGTGCCGGCTCCCCAGGCTCGCCGCCGCAGCCACGCTCACCCGTCCAAACTCAGATGACCAGTTGACCACGATGGTGTTGGGGACAGTGGCCGAGAGTCGAGCCAGGGGGGTGATGTTGATGGGGCGGCTGGGTCTCTTGGGCTCAGCCCCATTCTTTGTAGGGGGAAGGTAACCCTGGGGACGGGAAGGGCTGGTCAAGATCTTTCATCTTGGGCTACCCCCTTACAGGCAGGCGAGATCACTAAGGAGATGGGGCCCACCCAGGGCCACACTAAACTGGGGTACTGGCTAGGGTTATCTGAGGGGTTCATTCCTAGAGGAAAAGCAGAACTTATCCACTGACCAAGGAAACAGGAACCCACTCACTGAGTCCCTGAGAAAGAAGAGGAGGGACGCCTCACTTCTCCCGACTCCCCGCTCCGGGTCATCACTTCGGAGGTTCTTCCCTGAACCTCTGGATTGAACCAATGTCTTCCACTGGGCTGACAGGAACCCTGCTCAGTCCTCTTAGCACTCGCTTGACTACACCAATTCAGTCAGTAAATGACCACCTACTACGTGCCAGGCACTGTGCCAGGAGTGTCTCCTCATGTCACTCAGATGATGACAGGTTTACAGGCGACACAGGAGCGGACACAGGGGAGGGGCCACCGCAGGAGAAGGGAGGTGCATTTACCGGCAGGGGGCACAGTTTCCCATTGACCTTGACAAAGAGGTTGGGGGGAAAATAATCCTCCTGGGGGCAGCTGGTCTCACAGAGACAGAACCTGGTAAGAGAGGAGCGGGTTAAGAGGCGGTTCCTGGAACTGAATCTGTTCTGCAGCGGCAGGGACCTGAGGGGACGGTCCTGGGCATCTGTAACCTTCATCTCCCAATGAGAGTTACAGGGTGAGGCAGTCAGACAGAGCAGGGGACTCTCCTGACAGGTCAATCTGCAATACCCCTATTTCATCCCATCCCCTGTGGGAGCCCAGGGAGGCAGGGAGGGAGGAGCACCTCACCTGAGCTGCACCTGGATGGTATAATCGCATTTGGCTCCTGGCAGAACCTCTCTGTAATAGGGAGGGAAAGGAAGGTACCTGAGCAGGCGCCCCCAGAGGGCAAGGGTGAACAATGAGCGGGGAAGGTGAGTGTCCAGGGGACAGAGAAGAAAATGAGAGACAAAGCAGGTGCAGGAGGAGGGACAGTGAGGAGCGTGGGGCAGGAGAGAGAGAGCAGAGTCCAGGGTGTGCCTGGAAGATGAAGCAAGTCTGAGAGCTGTACCTGGACGTGAGGATCTGCTGCACTTGCTGGGGGGTCAGGGCAAAGGTGAAGTGTGCTTCCTCGAACCGCTGGCTGGAAGTGGATGCTGAGGACGCAAAGGGACAGTGACTCCCAAGCCCATACAGAAGCACTCAGAGGCTGCCCACCCCAGGGTGCTGAGCCCCCAAGACTAATGCCTGGAGAGGCCTGGGACAGGGGTATAGAGCCCGGAAGACGTGGGGACCACCAAGAGCCATACCAAGGGTGGTGGGCCGGATGAGCTCTCCATAGATTTCATAGAAGGGCAGTGGTTTCATGGTGACGTCGGGGTGCACAGGCTGGGACAGAGATGGGTGCATGTCCACTTCACGCTTGGGGCCAAGCAGGGTGCCAGGGGCCAAGAGGGCAGGGGGGATAGGAGCCAGAGGGCCAGGGGCACCCACAGGAGGGGTGCCGGGGGGCAGAGAAAGCAGGGAGAGATCAGAGGGCCCCAGGGTTTTTCGGGGAAAGCGGCGGCGGTAAAGCTCTTTGATCTTCATCTGGACGCTGGGGGCGCAGCTGGACTTGAGAAGGTGCAGGGCCTTGGCCAGGAGCTCGTGCTTCCGTCCACTCTTGTTCCGGCCAGCAAAGCCAAGGAGCACCTGGAGCTCAGACACCCGGAAACTCATCACCATGTGCTGTGGACGAGAGGGATGCTTAAGACGCCTACCTTGCGCGGGACGGCCTGGCCGAGGCCTGGGGCTGAGCTAGCAGGTGGGCACCACCTCTTTCCCTCCGGCGGCGATCAGAAAGGTGCCCTGCAGGTACTGGGTGACTGCCAGGCAGCCAACTCAGCCAAAGGGAATCCAGTCCCATTTTAGCAACCCTCAAGTCAACCGCTCTACCCTCCATAGTCCTAGCACCCGGGTGGCCTCCCAGGCCTGGAAGCTGGCCAGGTGGGGGCGGGGTACACACCAGGGCCTCCTACCTCCATCACCCCCCCCCCTCCAGCTTGGATTCCCCTTAAGCTGCTTATCTCCTCTCCTGCTCTTTCTCAGACTCTCAGACCCATCCCAGTCTCCTGGGAGGAGACAGGGAGAGGAGCTGAGAAGAGGATTCAGGTCAGACAGCCCCACAAGAAGAAAGGGGCCGCGGGGCTGGGGGAGTCAGACCCACAGCCACGTCCTCCCATCACCTCAGTGCCCCTCAGCTGTCTCCCCCAAGCCTCTGAGGGTTTCCAGGCCAGGGTTCAGCGCTCCCAACTCCCCCGAAGCCTTTCTCAGTGTCATTCACAGAACCACCCCACCCCTCAGGCCTATTTTTCTAGGAGGGAAAAATGACCAAGACAGGGCGGGGGGTTACCAGAGTCACCCAGTCCAGGCGTCCTGCCTGGTTATGTCTGCACCAGCTGCGGGACCTAATACCCTGTCCTCCTGACCCCCCTCAACAGGGTGGGAGAAGCAGGCCGGAGCTCCCCGCAGAGGCCCTGGCAGAGGACACCTGCGGCTCCGAGCCAGGGCGCAGCGTGGCCAGCCCCGGGCGCGGGGGACAGGACGCCAGGCCTGTAGCTCCATGGAAAAGGGCGGGATGAAGCCAGTCTGCTGGGGCCGACGCCTGCAGCCTCAGGTCCCGCAGACACCCTCAGCATCGGTTGCCTCAAGAAGCTGCGAGAGGGCAGGGCACGAGCTCCCCGCCCGTGGTGACTCCCCGCGGGGACCCCGGGGGACCCTAAGGGCAGACCGCCGGCTCCGTCCTCCCGCGCTGGAAGCCCCGAGGCGGGGGCCCCTCTTGAGCACGTGATGAGAAACCTACTCCCCTCCCTCGCCCCAGCCCCCATCCCGTCTGCCTCCCCGTCGGTGCGGCCCACAGCTCCCCCCTCCAGCCGGCTCCCCACACACCCCGTCTCCGCCAATGACGCGCCTGCCCCGCCCCCCGCCGCCCGCCGGCCGGCCCGGCCCCGCCCGACGCCCCGCGCCCCTCGGCGGCGCTTCCCGGGGCGCCCCCGCCAGCGCCCGCCCCGGCCCTCCGCGCGCCCCGACGGCCGCCCCTCTCGGCAGACCGGCTCGCCCGGCGCCCCGACGGCACCCCCGCCCCTCCATCCGCGCAGCCACCGAGCCCCTCCCGCCCCGCGACCCGCCCCCGCGCCGCGGCCCCCGGCGGCACCCCCGCCCCACCCCCCGCGGCCGGCCCCGCCCCCGGCGCCGCGGCCCCGCCGGCTCCCCCGGCGCCCCCGCCGCCGGCTGCGCGGACGCCCGGCCGGGACGGCGGGCCGGTACCTTTAATTCGCCCAGCTCCGCCATCTTGAGGCATCGCAGGCCCGAGCCCGGCCCCGGCCCAGGGACCGGCGCGCAACTCCGCACCCGGCGCCGGCCGCAGAGGCCGCCTGCTCCGCCCCGTCCGGCCCCGAAACCTCCCCTTCCCGGCCCCGCCCGCGGCCCCGGACGAGCCGGCCCCGCCTCGGCCGCCCGCCCGGCCCGCGCCTCGGCCTGGAGGCGAGCCCCGCGGCCCGGGGGGCCGGAAGGTCGCGCGCGCCCGGGCGGGGCGGGGCGGGGCGGGGCGGCCCGCGGGCCCGGGGCGCGGGCGCAGGGCCCGGGGGGCGCGGGCGGCGCGGCTGCGGGCGCGGGGCGGGGCGGGGCGGCGGGGCTGCGGCGGGCGCCCTCCCTGCCCCAAGTTCCACCGACTGCGGGGTCCGGTTCCGCCGAGGCGGGGTGGGGGGCGACCCGAGGCCCACGCCCGGGGCGATGGCGTCAGAGCTGATTTCGGGGCGCCCACCCTCGGCCCCCGCCCCCGCCCAGCCGCGGGGCCGGCGGGGCCCGGCCGAGCTCAAACTCCGCGGCCAACAAAGTTTGCAGCGGAGCGCAGGACTTACCAGCGCGGCTGCGGGGAGCGGGGAGGGGGCGCGGAGGCTGGGGGGGCCGGGGCGAGGGGGGGCCGGCGCCGCTCCCGCGGTCTGCACGCCCCGAGGTCGGTCCGGCGGCGGCTGGACGCTGCAGGCGAGCTCCGCCCGGGCGGGAGCTCCGCCCGGACCAGCCGGGGCTGGGGCCGCCCCCTCCAGGGAGAGCCCGCCCGGACCGCAGAGCAGGGGCGGGGGGGGGCGGAGTCTGCGCGGGCCGGGGAGGGGCTCGGAGTCGGGGGGCTGGAGAGATGAAGCCCTCGATTAGTCTGTAGAGATGAGCTCCTCGGGTCCTGATCTCTCCGGCCCCTGCATGGTGTGCGGGCCTGGGGCGCAGGCACCCCGCTGGCGAGACGGCGCCGATAGGCCCCCGACGGCGTGGAGAGGTTCCTGGAGACCGTCTGGGCCAGCTGGAGGCCGTCCAGTGGGAAATGCGAAGTGTGCCTAAGCCCTGGCGCAACCTCCCCCATCATCCACCCCAAATACAGTCTGTCACCAGAAATCCCACACCGTGGTGTAGTTGAATGTGAACAGAGAAGAGGTTTTCTTACCCAAAAAAGGCATCTTTCTGTCTCTCTCTGAACTACCTCCTCTCCTTGCTCCAAAGCCTCGAACCCCAGAGGCCCCTCTCCCAACCAAGCTCATCACCATTCACACGCCCAGCCGTGGCAGCACCCATTTTAGGTGAGTCTGCCCATTCTAGGTCCTGGGAAAGCTCGTAACATTTTATTGTTACTTGGCTGGGACAAGGGACAATGTCATTTGTTCCATAAATATGTGAATGCTGTTCAGAGATTGGTAGGTGCCGAGTACCTAAACCCCTTACAGGAGCTCTCCCTCTAGCAGCAGACCAGGGCGGTTAAACCCATAATGGGCATACAAAGAGTACTTTAATAAACAATATGAATAATCCCCTCATTTAGCCTAAACCTGCAGTATAATCCTTCCCATGGGACCTCACCCAAAGCAGGAGGCAGAAGAGTCAGTCCACCCATAACCCCAGGTCCTTGTTGGACCGGACCAGGCCCAGCTACTTTGTGGATCTGGTCCCGGGAAAGCTGTCCATCCTCTCCTGACTCAGGTTCTTTCCTTGCTGTGCTGCTGCCAGTGGGATCTCAAGCCACACTCCTGCTCCATATTTGGGCCTAAGTCCCAACTGCCCCCTCATTGAGACCCTGAGCTCATTTTTTGTGTCCAGTTCAGTCCTATGGATCCAAAGTTTTTATGGATAATATGTACCTTCCAGAATTTTCAGTGTTTTGAGGGGAACAACGATAGGATTAAAAGCAGAGGCGGGCCCTCTGCAAGTGATGGACATGTTGATTATCTTCATCATGTGATGGTTTTATGGGGGCATACATGTGTCCGACCATCAAGTTGAATCTTTAAGTATATGTAGTTGATTATATGTCAATGATAGCTCAAAATCGTAAAAATGTCAAAGAAAAGGAGAAAGTCAACCTCACTTTGTTTCCTAGTGATTTCATAAAGGAAGGATCTCCTTTAATAGTTAATTTGAGGTTTCAAGTTTTAGCCTTCCTGCGGGTAATAGAAAACTAGGAACCAGGGCACCTGAGTCCGATCCTGCAAACAAGCTCCAAGAACCTTTCTGCACTGTCTACGTTCTAGCCCCAGTGCCCGGCACACAGAAGGTTTTTTAAATATCAACTTAACAAATTAATGTCACTAGACAAAGGAAGAAAACTGCAACTCAGGGCCAAGTTCAAGCTGAGGGCATGCAAAGACTGGCCCCACCCATCATGGCCCACTCACCTTCACCTCCTGTCACCCCTGCACTGCCTCTGGAGCCGGAGGAACAGGACCAGGAGTCCCAGGAGGAATGGGGGGAATATTAGAACGAGTGTTACTTTGGGGAGCATTTGAGGCCCTAGTGTTGTTGGTGTAACAGTTTCTGGGTTGTACAGAGGAAAATTGGGGGAACACCGGGGACTGGGGAAGGTTTCGGTGGTGTGCTAACGTCACATTCACACTGCCACGCTCAGCAGCTCAGCCGTCCAGGAATTAGCTTCCAGGAGCCCTGGAGGGAGCAAAGCAGTTTCCTGACTCACACACTTGAGCTGAGCCAAAGTGATCTCCCCCTCTCTGGACCCTGCTCTCATCAGTTTCTTCGTTCCTCCCACCCCACACCCCATATGCAAGACATTTAACAGTCCTTCTCTGGGAACTCCAAGAGCAGGAAGAAAAAGGGTGGTTCTGTTCCCCTCATAAAGCGGCTGCGACCTTATGGTGCTCCTCTGGCAGCTGCTCCTTTTCCCCTTCTCCATCACCCCTCCACTCCCCCCTCTCCCATCCCAAACGCGGCCTGTCCCACCCATGCGAACCCCAAGGCTGACCCCCCTCTTCTCTGGGATCTGAACCACGGCTCAGACCTCGGCCCTTGCGCGGCCCCCAGTCCTCCTGCAGCCCCTCCTCGCTCTGCTTTCAGCCCGTCTCTTTCCTGCCAAACCGCGGCGGGCTGACCCAGCATAACCCAGCGGGGGGCGGGCCGGGAGGGCCGCCAAACTGCAATTCCAGATTTCAGAGGCGCTCGGCCTCACCCTCACCTAGCGGTCTGGCTGGTGGATGGGGCAGGAAGGGGAGGAGACCCAGAAGTGGCCACGAAGGATTTTTCTCAGCCGGAGAACACAACTGGAGGACAGAGGCCAAGTCTGACCTTTCCTGCATCCCTATCCCCAAAGCCAGCATTTTCATCCCCTTTGCACCTGGGGCAAACGGTGATCCATGAGACGCTGCGCCTCACATCTAGAAAGGTGGTTTAAGACATTCTGTGTTAGGTTGTATCCTGGGTTGTCCATCTTGAGGAAAATCCCGGTCTCTCTATCTCTCTTCTTTAACAAAGACAGTGGACCCGGGAGTCCCAAGGTAGAGGGGGAAACATGGGCGCTGTGCAGGCCCTTCAGGGACAGGGTTGAGTCTCAAGACCCATTTTCGCGGAGGACTGTTTGTCAAACTTGTCTTGCCCACGAATGCATTTACGGTGGCCAGTAGTTGTCAGTGTAGCTTAACAGTAAAGAACAGAATAGAAATAGTGAAGGTAAATAGTGTTTCAGGTACTGGCATTAAAACAGTGTAAAATGTATTTGTTATTATGAATCCTAATCAAAGTTTGAAATTTGCTGACCGCTAGGACCATTGTGATCAAAAAGGAATAAAAAAAATCCCGTCCCCTGCTCCCCTTCAGACAGAAGAAAGAATCACATCCTGCGCCATCCTGCCGCCTGCTTTATTTTCCACAGAGTTGGCCCCACCCACACCCCTGCTCACGTCCATGTGGGTTCCAGGCTTCCGGAACCGGGTGGTAGTGTCAGGCGGTGCTCCCCACACCTCCCCTAGTGGCCACCCCCCTCCTCCCCACCCCACCCCATCCCACCACAGCCTGATGGAGCCTCTGCCAACCAAGGGCGCTCTTATTCCCTGAAAGAAGAAATTCAAGAGTGAAATGCACACACTTTCATATCCCCAGTCTCCCACCCATGCCAAGGAGTTAAAGGGGACCTCATCAATCTGGACTGGGAGTGATGGCCGCTTGCACTGGGGTGGAAGAAAACTGATGGCTATTCTTTGAGTGAGAGGTATGGGGTTGAAGACGAGATTCTGGAATTTGTAGAAAACGACTTTGCACCACCATCCCCCACCACTCATCTTTCCTGGTACAGCGGGACTGCAGACCTCAAGATAATCACTCAACCCCGCTTTTGTTTGCATCCCATATATAAGAGACCTCCAGGCTACCTGCTCACTGGTTCCTGCTCCACCTAACGATCCCCCAGATTGGGTCTCCCTGCTGTCGGCCATCACAAAGGGCAGAGGAGACCCCAACCCCAGTCCTCAAGCCTCCTTTCCCAAGGGCTTTTTCAGAGCTCCTTCCTCACACCCTGGATCCACAACCCACAACAGAGAAACCCCACATCCCTCAGGGCACACACTGCCTCACCCCTCCTGCATGCTGAGGATCCGAAGCAGGATGTTGTACACGTCCTGTTCCATGTAGCCCTGGAGGTGACAGGAAAGAAATGAAAGGAGATGAAGAAGAGAAAAAGAGGACACACAGGTGGGAAGGTTCTAGCAGAACAGCATGCTATTTACCATGCGCCTTCCCTTGTAGTATTTAACTTCTCCGTGGCAGTTTCTCATCTTTACAAGGAAGACAATGAGGTTGGCTTTTTGGAATTGCTGTGAGTATTACAACTATGAATATGAAACAAACCACCTGGTGCACAACAGGTATTTGATTCTTTTGTTATTATTTATAAAGAAGGAGCAAACCACCCATGTCCTCCTCCTTGGTAAGGCGTAAGTGGCCATGAGAGAACTAAGGCGTGGAAAAGACCTTTTGCTTCAGGGACAGGTAAGGAAATGCAGGAAAAGGCCTGATAGTGGGGCAGGGAATTGAAAGGGAGGAGCTAAGAGCTCCCTCTCGCCCTCTCCAGCGCCACATTCCTGTACAACCTCTCTTGATCTAATAAGACCCAGAGACCTGGCTGACACCACAATGTCTAAAATCCAGCTCTCCGAGAAATGACAAGTGTGTGCTGGTAAGAAAAGGGACCCCCAAATGCAACACCCCTTGCCCCGCTTTCTGTCTCTGCCTCCCCAAAATCTCTACCATGCTCACCTGAGCAGCATTCAACAGATGATTCCTGTATGTGGAGATGATCTCTTCATGGTTCTTCTGTGAATCCTGGGAGTATCAGTGAGAGATTAGGCTCACCCTCCCCACACCCTGATCCCACCCCCAAGTATGAGGGACGATACAGTCAAGTGGTCAGCTGAGCTGGATAAGCCTCCGCGGCTCTGCACTGGCCAGCCAGCACCTCTGCCCCTCCACCCTGTTCGTCCCATAATCTCCCCCAGGCACATCCTCTGCCTACCAGCAGTGCCCATTTCTCGGGGGGCCAAACATACCTGCACCTGCAGGGCAAGGCGAGCATTTTCTCCCCTAACTGCTAGAACCTCCTCCGAAAGCTGTTCCAGCTTCTTTAACAACTCCTTGATCTGAGACCAAAGGGAAAGAAAGGGAACCAGTGGGCCCAAGTCATTTCTTACCCCACCACCACCCAGGGGCAAGGCCAGCTTCCTTTTATTGGCTATTTAATATGTTCCAGATACTTAACCACATTCTCTCATAAGAGCTCAAAACAGCTTTTCTTATGTTCTGAGAAGATCAATATTCTTCAGAGAGAAGTATTATTATTCACATAGATAAGGAGACTGAGTAATTTGTCAAAATCACACAGCTAACAAGTGATGAAATTCATGGTTTGAACCAAGATCGTTTTGAATTCATGGTTCAGGCCCTGAATCCTGAGCCTACTTCTGGCTGCCAGTTACAAAGAGAAATAGGGTTGAGTTTTTGTGGCTTGGGAGGCTGAGGCAAAAATGCAGTTAATGATAACCAGCAGTCATAAGAATGGTGGTAGAATAACAATGGCTGATGATGGAGGCTAAGAGTAGAAAATCGGGGGAGGAGGCACAAAACCAGAACCTGGAGGTGGGGGTAGAAATGATTAACATAGCTGTTAACGCGTGGAAAAGTGAAGTATCCAGAGAAGAGGGCGGAGGAGGAGATATGGAGATTGAGGGCTATTGTAAAATAATCACTGGTTCTTTCCAATCGACCTAGTCAAACCAAATACAGAAAAACTCCTTAGGTGCTAACCCTAAAAACAACTTAAGAGCAGTTAACAAAGGAACAGACCCTCCCAGAGAGAAGTCTTATCTGAGCTGCTTCTGCCCTGGCAAGGGGCAGCCTCCTGCCCCTTCACCCACCTTCTCTTTATAAAGCTGCAGTGGCAGCTCCCCTTCCATGGCTGCCCGCCTCGGACTGCAGGCGGACTGCAGGCGTCTCTTCCACAAACGTGTCCCCTCCGGGGCAGCTCTTCCAACTGCTGGGTCTGTGCAAGCATCCGCCCCTGCCCTTCTCTTTATAATGAGCCTGCACTTTTGGAAATGGCTCTGCTTCAGGGGGGAACTCACTGCAAACTCGGGCGCTCTGATGAAACTTTTCTCAAGGACCCCACTCTCTGAACCTAACATCAGCTAACTTTTACTGAGTACTTACTACACGCAAAAAAAATGGTGGGTACGGGCCTCCCTGGTGGCGCAAGGGGTTAAGCACAGCACTATGAAGCAATCCGCAGCCTCTGCAGCATGAGTTTGATCCTCGGCCGGCCAGGGAGCTACCCCATGGCACAGCAGACCTCTCCTGACTCACCCGCTGCTCCCCTCAGCAGTGTATTTCAATAGATCGGCCTGTTCTGTTCCCTAATCTGTCTCTGGTGAATCCTCTCACCCCCACCCCTCGCATCTCTGGCCTGTACCCCAGCTCTTGTATGCATAAATAAATAAATCTTTTCAAAAATGGTGGGTATGTTAAATACCGTGTCTTTATTTAATGTAATCCTCACAAACATCCCATCACTGTGCTCATTTTATAGATGAGAAATCTGAGGCGTCAATAACTCGCCCAAGAGCATCCAGGAGTTTTTGAAACTAAAATTCAAATCCAGACAACCACAGCCCACGTTGAACGCATCTTTTCCTTTAACACCAACGCGAACCCCTCCTTTCTTTCATTAACCCCACTTCACGCGATTCTTGTTCTGTTCACTTTTCACGCACTTTCTGTTTTTGATCGTTCTAAATGTGATCACGTACATAAATTATAATGTGTCTGAATTCATTCATGTCACAGTTCTAGAATTACTAAATTCATTTGTAAATGGATTACCTAGAATTCATAAAACCTATCTCCTAGAAGCCAGACGTAGCAGTCATTAGGAATTCGGGTATCTAAGTGATTTTCCACATTTCCCCTTTGCAATGGCGCCTTCTCTGCCAAGGAATTCTTTTGTAGAGCCTGACTGGGGTGGGAGGGGAGGAGCACAGCCTGGTGGCCTTTCTTTACCCCACTGGCCACTGAGTCACGCTCAGAAGCCCAGCAAACCACAGCAACCCACCATGTTATTAGACCTCTTCCCAGGCCATAGCGCCAATAAACCACAGTGCTCAGCCGCGGTGGCCAGACCACACTGCTCCGGAGTCCCAGACTTGAGTGCCCAAGCCTCTGTGTTTCCACTGTCCCACTGTCAGTCTGAACCCCAAACCCTCCAGGCCCAGAGGAACAGTGTGGTCCTTGCATGGAACAGATGAGGATGTGCAGGGTCTTAGTCTGACTGGCCACAGGTGGATCCGCCTTGGCAAATCCCTAGACACAAAGAAACCCTCCACCGTGCGCCCCGGGCTGCCTCTCCTGCTCACCTTGACCTCCTTGTCCCGACAAGCCCCAATGAGGTGCTCCATCTTCTCCTTGAGCACCTCCACCGTCTTCTCGAACTGCTCCGAGCGCCCCCGCATCTCGCTGGCCTGGCGCTCCTGCTCGGCGGCGCGCGCGGCCAGGTCCCCGCTGCGGCGCCGCTCCTCGGCCACGGCCTCGCGCAGCCGGCCCATCTCGCGGCAGGCCGTGTTGTACTTCTCCAGCAGAGCCTTCAGCTCCTGCCCCCATGCCTGGGCCTGAGCCACCAGCGAACCCCGAGTTTTCTCGTGCTGCCGCAAGCTGGCCGCCTCCCGCGCGCGCAGCTCGGCCACCTCCTCCGTGGCCTGGTACAGCAGCTGCTTCAGCTTCCCGATCTCCTGGCTCTTCCCGCTCATGGTGGCCTGCACGGCCCGCAGCTCCTCCTCCAGCTTCCCCAGGTCTTGCTCCAGAGCGGCGACTTGGGGAGCCGCTGGGGCCTTTGAAGAAGTGCTTGGCTCCCCAAGTGGGGCAGGGGACCCCCGCAGCTGCTGGTTTTCCTCCTCCAGCCGGGCCAGCAGCTGCTGGGCCTGGCGGTGCCGGTCCACCAGGGTGCTGATGCAGGCCTGCAGCTCCTCCAGGGGCTGGGCGGTGCTGCTCCCCACAGGCCCCTTGCCCACGAGGTCTGGGGGCAGGCAGTCCCACAGCCCCCGGAGGCCACTGCTCTGGGAGGCCAGGCGCTCCCGCAGCTTCTCGGTGGCCTCCTTCTCCAAGGCCAGCTCATGGGTCAGAAGCCCCACACTCCGCCGTAACTGCTGCAGCTGGCCCTGCGCCTCTGGCTTGGGCACGAACTCCCGCTGGAGCCGCTGGCTCAGGGTCTGCAGCTCGCCCTGCAATCGCTGCCGCTCCCGCCCCAGTTCCCCCAACTCCTCCAGCAAATTACTGTTGCTCAGTCTCAGCGCTGACACCTCCTTCTCCAGCTGTCCCTTTGCAGGGCCTCCTGACACGGGCTCCCCTCCAGGGGCCCCTAGAGGCTCCCCCCGCGCCCCCGGAGCCCTTTTCTCCCTCCCTTCATCCAAGGCAGCAGTGAGCCTCCGAGGTGCCTTTGGGGGTGCCTCTCTAACCTCCTGGGCAGGGGCTTCAGGTTTCACCTGTAGTCCTGCCTTTGCCCGATCCAGCCTCACCAGCACCTTCTCCAGCCTGGCCTCCATCTTCTCCCAGGCAGCTGCTGCAGCCTCGGCCCGAGGTGTCCCCATGGCTCCCTCTAGGACTGGTCTTGACAAAGCCCCTCTGGCAGCATCCTTTTCTTGCCACACGGCAGCCAGCTCCTCCCTCAGTTGTAGCAGGAGTTGGTTCATGGCTGCTGAACCCACAGGTTCAGCCACTGAGTCTGCTGGTTCAGCCCCCGAGGCTTGGGGTCTCTCCTGGTTTGCATGCAGCTGGTCAGTGTGGTTCACGGCTGCTTGGCCCACAGGATTGGCCATTGAGTCTGCTGGTCCAGCCCCTGAGACTTGGGGTCTCTCCTCTTGGTTTGCGCACAACTGGTCAGTGTGGTTCACGGTTGCTGAGTCCACAGGTTCGGCCACTGAGTCTGCTGGTCCAGCCCCTGAGACTTGGGGTCTCTCCTGGTTTGCACACAGCTGGTCAGCGTGGTTCATGGCTGCTGAGCCCACAGGTTCAGCCATTGTGTCTGCTGGTCCAGCCCCTGAGGCTTGGGGTCTCTCTTTCTGGCTTGCATGCAGCTGGTCAGTAGGATCAGGGCCAAGGACCTGTCCTGCATTGGTGGCCAGCTGCTGTCCTGTGGCTTTCCCAATGGCCTCAGACTGTGGGCTCTGGGGGAGGACCTGTTCTTCGGGATGAGACTCTCCATTGGTTTCATACTGGGTCTCTCCTGGGGCCGAATCCTCAGGCTTCTTGGACTCTGATACGGGCTTTGCTGTGGCCGAGGCTGCAGCTGCCGCCTGCTGTTGCTTCCTCAGCTCTTGTATGCGCTCAGCCAGCATGTCCAGGGGACACCCCTGCTCCATGCCATCTCCCCCAGATCGGAGATGAGAGCCCTGTCCCCCTGCAGCGCCAGTGTCTTGGAATAAGAGGACTCCCAGATCTTGCACATGCTCTCGAATCTGGTTCTCCAGGTTCAGGTAGGCTGCCGCCTGGGCCTTACACTCTTCTATCTTCTGCTCCAGCTCCTGCTCCAGCTGAGACACTTTCTGCTGCTCCTCCTCAAACTTCCACCGCCACTCATCTGAACATGGGACTTCATCCTCCTCTTGTTCCTGCTCCTCGCCAGGCTCTGCTTTCCATGGACTCTTGGGTGGAGAACCCACCTGAGAGTCTAATAGAGAGGCCTAGGTAGAACACAGAGCAGTGAATAAAGGGGGGCGGCTAACCTAGCCCCAGCAGGGCCTCTCCTCTCTCAGAAGGTCTCAGTACCCCTGGGTCGCTCCCTAGAAGACATCCCAGTGAGATAGACAGGGAGGTCAGGAGCAAAAGAGGGGCGCTCCTGGGGTCTTACCTTGGATGCAGCATCCGGGTGTTGAACTAGCCCATGACCTAGACAAAAAGACACAGGGAAATGAGGGCAAAGACTGGCCCATGTGCCTCAGCTTGTCCTCTGTCTTCACACATCCCCTGAGAGGAGCGGCCGCTCTGTGAAGTAAGCTGAGGAGTACACATCCTCCTCAGGGGTCCCGAATGGTCTGGCAGACTTGGTGCTCTATCCCAACGCTATTCCAGCTCATCCATTTTGGCCACTCATGTATTTATTAGACTCTGTGCCAGGCAGTTTGAGGCACCAGGAGCTCCATGGTAAGCAAAGTGGAAATGAGCTATCTTTCAAGGGGTTTATGGTCTAAGAGGGCAAGAGAGGTTGACCAGCAAGTCACACAAGTACATACCATTGAGCAGCTTCTCAATGGTCTAGCCAGGATCGCCTTCAGTGAGAGACAAGGCTGCCTTCAGGGCTACTGAGGCTGCGCTTTGGGAGTTGGGATCTTTTTACAATGGTTGAAAGAAACATGTTCAACTAGGGCCTCCCTGGTGGCACAGGGGTTAAAGTCTCAGCGCTATCAAGGTATCTCCAGCCACTTCAGCACGAGTTCGATCCCCAGCCAGGGAACTGACCCACAGGGCACAGCAGACCTCTCTTGTCTCCCGCTGCTCCCCTCAGCAGTGTATTTCAGTAGATCCACCTCTTCTGCTCCCCACTCTGTCTCTGGCAAATCCACTCCTACCTCTGGCCTCCAACCCAGCTCTTGGATGCATAAATAAAAATAAATCTAAAAAAAATACATTCAACTAAAGTGCCAATTATTTGCCAAATGGGTTATTTCCATGGGAAGAAATGGGACCCTAAAATCTTCCTCGGTTCAAAGAAGCCTGAAGTGAAAAAATGGCTTTACCTCCCCGCCGCCGCCGGCTCAGGGCCTGCCTCAGCAGCCTCCACAGCGCGCGGTCCTGCGTGCGCAGGGCGTAGTGCAGGGCGTCGTTCCCCGCGCTGTCCACCGCCCCTGCGTCGGCCCCATGGCTCAGGAGCAGCTCTGCCACCTCTGCACTACCTTTCTCACAGGCCAGGATCAGAGCCGACCTGGGGGTTGGAACAATCATGAACACAGGCCCTTCCCGCGGATCCGAAGTCCTGGTGCCAGAACTCCCACTCACAGGGCTGGCAGCGCCCAGCGTGGCCAGGACACCCACAGACCAACAACGACAAAGCGTGAGGACAGATCGGAACTTTTCAAATGTTCTTGGAGCTGCAGCATCTGAAATCAGTGGACTGATTGGAAGGGCTCCATTTTCAGCTGTTTCATATATTGAGGTTTTGCATAAATTCTTCATTGGAAAAAAAAGGATCCCATTGCTTAGAAGATAATTTGAAAACCAGAAAGTTAAACTAATGGGTCTAGAGATAATGATTCTACTTTCGGAGTCAGCCAGGCAAGGGAGGTGCAGCTGCAGCTGGACAGGAAAACTTGCTCAACTCCCCAAGAGGAAATCGTGGAAGTAGGACGGAGACCAACGTGCCTTCCTCCCCAGTACATAAGCACATGTGCAGGCATGCAGCGCGCACACACGCACACCACACTTTGCTCAGTGGCTCCTTTCTCGGGGGGCCAGGGTCTGGATCTGGGGAACGCTCACTTGTCATCCTTGTCTGTGACGTTAACCCGGGCGCCTCTCTGCAGCAGCTGTGAGCAAATCGCCGCGTGACCACCCAGCGAAGCAATCATCAGGGGTGTCCGTCCATCCTGCACAGGTCGTGAAAGGGGCTCAGCAGCAGTCAAGGAGTGCCAGGGCGTGACACAATCTTACCAACTCCCTTCTCCCCATATTGCTTCAGAAAAAACCCAGATGTCAGGGCTAAATGCTCCTTTCCAGCGGGCTACATGCTCTCCACAAGACAAGGCTCAGTCCCTCTGAGAGGGCGAGGAGGAGCAAGAGGAGAAGGGAGAGGGGGTGCTCCCGTACCACCTCTGATCACAGAACTTGGCCAGTCAAGTTTGGAGAGAGCAGCACCCACCTGGGGGGGCACCTCCCAGCGGACACTCACATTATCCAGGACGTCCAGGAAGGCTTCGTGGTCGCACAGCAGGAGCACACTGGAGGCGCAGCCAGAGGAGGCTGGGAGGGTGGAGGGGTGATTGGGTTCAAGGAAGAAGGAAGGATGCTCGTCAGACCGTGACCCCGCATCCCTCTGACCCTTTCGGCAGTCCCTCCAGGTGCCCTCCCTGCGGCCCTGCTTCCCCCCCAGTCCTCATCACAGACCTGCCCAGTGCAACGGGCTGCGGTTTTCCACATCCACAGCGTCCTCGTTGGCGCCATGCTGCAAAGAGCCACAAAGGGAAGCAGCATGGAGCATGGCGTGAACATCCCATCCATCCCCTGTGTTGGGTCACCACCTCCCATAGTGCTTTGGGGAGGGGCAGAAGGACCGTGGCTCTGGCCAGCTGCTGGGCAAGCCTAGTTATTCTTTGAGAGGATACCTGGCCTGGAATTTCAGCCCTGGCTCCTCAAGGGCCTAAGAAAAATTGGACGATAACTAAGTAAACACATTAGAGAAAATGACATCCGAGGCCACCACTGGTATTTTAGGAACTTAATTGGGAAACTGGGAAAGAGCCAGAAGATCAAAAGCAGGACAGACTGCCCAAGGCCCGCGGAGCTGTGCCTTTTATACTTTTGGAGACGCGTTTATAACTTGTCCACATGTCATTTCATATGTATATTTCGCCTTGTGTTCCTAGGCTAGAAGCTCCTCAAACACAGGCAGTCGGGTCCGGGTGTAATTTACACGCCTCTGCCCTCCTCTGCCTGCCCATTATCAGGCAGGCTTCTCTGCAGGGCCTGCCATGGCAGACTGGCGTCAACCCCTGGTGACTGCTTTGTGACTTGTCCTCGGGGCAGCATTAAGCACCGTGCTTGCACATAGTAGGTGTTAGGAGACCTGTGACTTGATGACGAGATGATTACCAGCTCTCTTCCCGGAGATCAGAGGGACATACTTGGCCAAATAATGCTTATGGCTACGAGACAAAGTTAGGGCACTCTGGATCCACCTCTTCCCTTCCAGGGCTAACATCTAGGGGTTGTTTTACCTGCAGCAAGACCTTGACACACTGTGGCTGGCAGGAGATGGTGGCCAAGTGCAGGGCGGTGCTTCCTGGAAAGAGAAAGAGAGAGGGAGAGGGTGGCCCCACGCATGCTGGTGACTCACAGGGAGGGAAGCAAGAGACGCACAGATAATCAGAGGGAGATTAGAGAGAGAAGCTCTCAGTCACACCAGGCTAGAAATTCCTGTTCCCCCGGTGGCTGGGACCTGTGGTGGAGATGGGAATTGGGGTGAGGTATGCTCAGCTTGCAGGGCAGGGACCCCTGGAAGGATCCAGGCCAGAGCTTATGAGGAAAGAAGCAGGGGGCTACAGCTGGAAAGGAGCCAGCACTGGCCCCCACCGCTGCTGTAGAGCGAGGAACGAGCACGTGGCCGGGGCTCAGTGAACTCACCGTCTTCATTCTTGCTGTTGATGTCGGCGCCATTTGCAAGCAGAACAGTCAGACATTCGGTCAGGCCCTTGGAGGCCGCCAGGTGAAACCTGCCAGAATCGAGGCCCAGAGGCAGAAGGATGAAGGGACCAGGCTCAAGCAGTGAGAGGATCTTCGTAAGCACTGCCTGCTCTGCGCCTCCACCCCAAAGCCAACCCCAAAAGCGGAGAGGAAAGACCCCCCCAGCCTGACTGAGAAGGAGACTGTATGCATGGCCTCCTCCCGGGAAGTCCAAGGAAGGGGGAAGCAAAGCAGAAAGAGGAGCGACAGGTCTTGAATAATCTTGGACTACTGCAGGGGTGTCCAGGGAGCACAGCCCCCTCAGCCGCGTGGAGGTGCATGGAGCGCAGCAGGAGGCTGGCCATTTGCACACCGACTTGGGCAGAGGCAAGAGATAATTCCCCTGATCCTAACAACTCCTACCCCTGTGACTCTGGAGGCTGCCGCTTCATTGCTCATTTCCCAAGCATAAACACCCCCTACTTATGCAATGAAGAACTCTCTTTAGTGTGTGTGTCCTCTGCGCATGGCTGTTTCACGGCCTTATGGCCGATTCTTGTCCATGCCGCCAACCTGGGCTGGAAGGTGGGCCTTCATCCTTCAATGCATGCGGCGCTTGACTTAGAGAAATGTATTGACACGCTGGCTAACTAAGGCAAAAGGGCTCTGAAGTTGTAGGCATCTCCCAATCCTACATCAGGCTGGGGCTTAGGGCTTTCAGAGGGAACCACATATTCAGGGTAGGATCAGGACTTACTTACGGGGACTGGCCGTTCGAGTTGAGCTTGGTGGGCCGGGAAGACTTCCTGGAGGCCAGGGCGGCCACGCGTCCCACATCCCCCCGCTGCACTGCCTCCAGCAACTTCTGATCACGGCGGTTCCATCTCTCCACCTGTCGAGAGCCACACGTCGCATGAATATTTGGTGAGATGGAGAAAGGAGGGACTTGGTTAGGATGCCAAGTCACTCAGCCTAGACCATGTAGTCCTGCTTCAGTGGACCGGTTACACCATCTTTAATTCGTATGCCACCAAGAACTAGTGCCAGTTATTGCCAGCCGTGGGCCAAAAGGAGCGTGGATTCTAAGCGCTGAATACACAGTATTTCAAACATCTGTTTCATCATCACTGTGATACTGCCATGAGGTACCCAGCTTCGGAGCAAACCCTTCCCCCTTTGCTAGGTCTCACTGGAGCAGCAGAACCAAACTGGCCACTCCCAGGTCAGCTCCCCAACCTCTCACCTCCCCAGGAGGCCCTGCTTTCTTGTGCTCAGATTTTTGACAAATCAAGGCACCTTGCTCCAGGTCACAGCTCAGAGACCAAATGCCTAGGAAAACACCGTCTCTGCCCACGGGCTTTGGGCCCCAAAACCAGGAGGAGAAGCACAGTTGGTTTCTCCCTCAGATACCCAGGCCCTATGGCTGCCGCTGTTCCCCCGGGTGGCAACCACAGCCAAAAGGCCAAGATGGTTCCCTAGCCAGGCTGAAGGAGCAAGAGGCAGCTCCCCCTTCTCCTCACACCCCTCCCGCCTGGTTTTCCTGGCAGGGAGCAGCTGTCCCAGACAACAGCCACACCTGGGCAGGCATTGTTCGATCATTTCTACTTGGGTTTTGCGGGTGGCGGGGTAATTACAATAATTGAAGTCTCACAGGGTGTGAAAGAGAGAGCCGTGTAAAACAGCCAGGGCTGATCGCACAGAGCAAACTGGTTTGATCCAGAGCAGGACAAGAAAAGGAAGACGAGACTCAAAAATCTGCAGTACGATGAAAAGGGTCCAAGATGGATGTTTCATCAGCAGACCTGAGTTTGGGGTCTGGGCCAGGCACTTTCTCACCTCTGTGACCTAGAGCAAACCATTCAACACCTCCACCTGTTTTCTCATCTATAACATGGAGCAAATAATAACTACCTCATCATGTTGTAAGTATTAAATGAGGTAATGTGCATAAAATCCCTCTGTAAACTGCAAAGAGTCACAGAGTGTGTGGCATCCTTATAACAACACAGGAAGTGGCGGGGGACTGGTGGTAGCACACTGCCTTTTATGAGGTGTCATCTCAACGATAGGCTGGGGACCAAGTGGGGAAAAATAGGGTCCGTGGAAGCCAAATAACTCACACGCTGTTTACATAGCTAGGGCAAGTTATTCATGAAAAACAGGAAAGATGTCAAGGCCCAAATCATAAACTTGTCGAGGGTAGAGGGATTCTCAGGTGCTACTCCTGGACAGCACTTGGGCTTCCTCTGTGCCTTTCGAGGGCCGTGTGCAGTCAGCTTCTCAACATCCTTGAAGAGTAGTCAGGGCTGATATTATTGTATCTATGTGACAGAAGAAGAAACTGAGGCTCACTGAGGTGAGATAACTGTCCAGGGTTACACCACAAAATAGTGGTAAAATGGAGATTAGAGCCAGGTGACCTGCTGCCCAGCCCTAGTTCTCACCACCAGGTCAACACGATGACAGGACTATTTCCAAATAAAGAGCCGAGGATTGCCTTCAAGGCAGGGCTGCCCGCCCTGATGCTGCTCCTGGCATGGAGAAGAGTCTCCAAACAGGTGAATTCTCAAAGGACAAAATAAGCAAAATGGCCGCTCCACATACCAACAGACTCTATGTTGTAAGAACACATTAGCCACTGTCCCTTGGGGACTGGGTTGCCCTCGAGAGGTAGCCTGCTGGAGCTACACCTCTCCCACAGGGTACTGCCACCAGTAGCCCTCAACCTGCAAATTCTGTGCTTAAAACCCTAGTTCTAACACACCTGAGCAACAATTTCTTGGAACGTCCTAGTGCTAGAACCCTCTATAAAGCACCTAGCACTGTGTCTGTCACACAATAGCAGCACAATAAATATTAATTTTATTCCCCAGGCTTCCTAGACTTGCTGGACACATTTTGAATATTCCCGGCTCAGAATTCTTCATCCAGGGGAGTGAGAGGAAGGGATTTTGCTCCTGTCAGTCATTGTTACATAACAGCCTGGCTGTGAAGATGTAAAGGTACTTCTTAGCAATGTAAATAATTGCCTTTTTTGGCTAGATAGTTCTAAATCCACCCCCATTTTCAGCCTATAACTGTGTGATACTGAGAAGAGTTTAAAGGGATGGAAATTCTTTATGACCAAACTTGTGCAGAGTTGGGGTGAAGCAGGACCACATTCCAAAATGTACTGCAGTGCGCCCCTTATCCAGCACCCTGGATGAGAGGCAGTGGATTAGCATAGCTGCAAGGGAGTGATCACCAAATTAATAGGCAGACTCAGAACAAGACTAAGCCTGGGATTTCTGTAGCCACGATTAGGGGACCTTTGTGGGAGTAATTGCATCCTCTCCTTATCTCTGGCTGCACATCTCTAAGCACCGTCAAGGTGGAGTGCACCGGCAGTGTGGAGAGAACAGGCAATGCTGCTCTGGGACAGGTGAGTGGGATGGAAAGACTGCCCTGGAGGGACAGGAGCTGACTCTCAATTTTTAAAATGTAATTGACCTTCCTCTAACTGAGCCAGTGCCAACTGCTCGTAGCTATTTTCTGGTCCACTTCCTATGTAGGCAGAGCAAGCGACTAAGCAAGACACTCTCAAAGACAGCCTCTGCTTGACTAAAATAACATGAGACTATAGGAGCTGGTTTTTATTTATTCATTGTTGATATTATGATGTTCTGGATAACTTAGAGTAATTTTAAAATGATCATTGATCTTTTAGTCTTTGCCTCAATCTGAGGGTACAGGACTCTGGCCTGAAGCCCGAGTAGGGGTGGGACGGGTCGGAGCAATCTCTTGGCTGTTGGAGCTACACCTCTCCCACAGGGTACTGCCACCAGTAGCCCTCAACCTGCAAATTCTGTGCTTAAAACCCCAGTTCTAACACACCTGAGCAACAATTTCTTGGAACGTCCTAGTGCTAGAACCCTCTATAAAGCACCTAGCACTGTGTCTGTCACATAATAGCAGCACAATAAATATTAATTCTATTCCCCAGGCTTCCTAGACTTGCTGGACACATTTTGAATATTCCCGGCTCAGAATACTTCATCCAGGGGAGTGAGAGGAAGGGATTTTGCTCCTGTCAGTCATTGTTACATAACAGCCAGGCTGCGAAGATGTCAGACTGGCAAGCCAGGCTTTAAGAGCAGACAGGAAGGCTGTCACACTGCTTCCTGACAAGTGGGTGCAGAGTAGTTAGCTGCCCAGGAGTGGAGGAATTGAACATGAGAAGTATTGGGAAGTCTCATGAGGAAACATTTTACAACTGGCCTGTTTTCAGACTTTTCAGAACTCAACCTGACTGAGGAAAGAGTTTTCTTTCCAGCTAGATAGCTCTAAATCTACCCAAGGGACTTCGTATAATCTTGTTATGCTATGGAGAGCTTAGAATGGGTGGGAACTCTTCATGGCCAAGCCTCTCGAGGGTTGGGGTAAAGGAGGACAGACAATGCTTTCAAATCCCAGCATCTACCCATTGCTCATCCAGCATCTTAGAAAGGAGGCATTGGCCAGGAATTAGCAAGAGGAGGTAGTTTTCCCATCCCTAGGGAGCACGCAGACTCCACAGCCCAGAAAGGGAAGGGCAATGCAGAGGACTTTCAGTAACTAGGGAGAGTCCATGTGAATTAAAAAAAATCATTATGAGTTAAGGCAGCATCTGGGTAGCCTCAGTTTCTAGTCCTCTGGTATTCATTCATAAATGCCTTTTGATTGGTCAATGTGCAGAAACTAAGTGGAGGAGCAAATGTATGTAGGACAAGGACAGGTCTCAACAGAACTCCTGCTCTTGCCTCATAGCTGCCTTCCAAGCCTCTGTGACCTGCCCTTGAAGGGTGAGCATTTCTCACGGTTACTTATAAATGACACCCTCAGTCAGGTTAGACTGAGTGATACCACTACAGGTAGGTAGTTACTTCACTTCTAAATGAGCCATAATCCAAATTGACACACACACGCACACACACTTCCATCCCCAGACAGGGAATCTGTCTGTGAGAGATCTCCAGGCTGGGAGAAGCTACCCTCTCCCTGAGACGCCACCTTCTCTAACCTTCCTTGTGTTTTGTTCTGAGACAGCGCAGGGAGTAGAGTGACTCCTGCGGGGGACTCCGAGCCAGTCCTCTCGCCTCTTCTTTCAGGATGCTTTTCTCTAACTCAGTCAAAGGAAGCTGACAGTACAAGCCCTAAACAAGTGGGTGAGGATTTGGAATGAAGGAAGATTCTGGAGAATAAGGTAGAAGACCTTGACTGACCCAAGAACCAGTCTGATGAGCAGGCACTGCAGGGGAACTGGCCAGGGTAGATTCTGCAGGAACTCACCCAGATCTTTGGGGAGCAGCCAGGCAACTGTGCCTCCTCTGGCAGCGCCTGCCAGGCTGACCAGGCTGCAAGATTAACCCACAAAGGACAGGCCAAAGTGGGTCCAGCCAAAGGAGGGAAGCAAGGCTGGACAATCGCTGGGCAGAGGGCGAGGGAGAGAGGGGCGAACAGGAGAAGGCTGACCTGGGAGCGCCCAGTGGCGAGAGGTCTGGAGTGACACCTAAGGGTCAGCGGTGATGGCGCGAGAAGGGGGTTGGGAGAGGGAGAGGCATGGGGTGGGAGGGGGCAGGCCAGGGAGACCATGAAGAGGGGCTGGGGGTCGCTGGGGCTGGGAGGGGTGCTGGGACTGGCGGGAGCCAGCGCGGGGAGGGCATCTGGGAGGCAGGGCTGTGAGGACGAGGCAGGACCCCGGAGCTAAGCGGGGTGCCGAGGAGCGGGGCGAGGGGTCAGCCAGGCGCTTGGCGGTGCCTCAGCCCTAGGAGACAGCGCAGGGGTGCGCGGACTGCAGGGGGGTCGGGACTGCAGGAAGCGCCCAAAGTTGGGGGCTGTGGGTGCTGGGGGGACCAGAGAGCGCAGAGGGGCGCGACCTCGGGAGGGCAAAGGTGAGGAGGGCGAGCCAGAGGCTGGGGACAGGACCCCGAGGCCGGGCTGGGGCCGCACTGCGGGGGCAGGGGAGCTGGAAGTCGGGGAGAGGGAGGGCGGCGGGGCGCGGAGAGGGGCTCGGGACCCCGGGACCCGCACCCCAGCCCCTGCCCGTCCCCCCACAGCCCGGCACCTACCGCCACCTGCGAGCTGGAGCAGGAGAAGATGCGCTTCATGGCCGGGCGGGCGGCGGGGGGACGGGCCGCGAGGAGACGGGGCTCAGGTTCGCGCACCCACCGGACTCGGGGCGCTGCGGGAGGAGCTGTCAAAGCCGCGGCCGCCCAGGGCCGCCCCCGGGCCGCCCGCCCAGTCAGGGGCCGGGACCGCGAGGCCCCGCCCCGCCCCGGAGCCGCCGCAGAGGCCGCGCGCCCGCCCGCCGCGGGGTGCTCACCCCGCGCCCCAACCCCAGCGCCCCGGCTGCGACCTGCCCCGGGCGGGCGTGGGGACCCCGCGCCCCTCCCCGCAGCTCCCGGCGCGGCTCGCCGGAGCACCCCGGCCCCGAGCGGAGGTCGGGCTGCTCCGGGGGGCTCCGGGGGGCTCCCGCGGTGCGTTTCTTCTTTATTATTGCTAGTGACGGCGCTTTTATTGCACCCCGAGAGCTTCGGCCAGCTTAGCGACTTGCACCCCTCCATTCCCGGGCCAAAGTCCCGGTGACAACAGAGAGTTGGGACAGAGCAGGCGGGAAGCCCGGGAGGAGGCAGCGCCCGGCTGCGGGGGGCTCGGGGTGGCTGGTGCATGGCCCCGGGGGGTTTGGGGGAACAGCGTCTGCTAGCAAAGGGCAGAGGGGCCGGGAAAGAAAAAAGAAAAAGAAAGCTTGCAAAAGGGGTGCACCGTTTCCACTGCCCTTCAGACTGGCGTTCCCGCCGGCCCTGCTTGAACCAGCAACCAGTCGCAGCCAACTGGTCTACCCCTTCAGCCGCCCCGAAGGCCTGCGGGATGAAGCCTCAAGTGCTTGCAGCAGTTGACGAGGCTTATTAGGAGCTGCAGGGCGCCTTCTCCAGCCTGGTTTCTCAATACTTCACCTAAGAGCCCAATCTCAAGCTGTTCTAATCCACTACAATCCCCTTCCCAACTGGTGATAAATCCTCCCTCGATTTATTTATTTATTTTTAAAAGATTTACTTATTTATGCATGCAAGAGTTGGGGTACAGGCCAGAGATGCGGGGGGTGAGAGGACTCACCAGAGACAGAGCAGGGAACAGAACAGGCAGATTGACTGAAATACACTGCTGAGGGGTGAGACAGGAGTGGTCTGCCTCGCCATGTGGGTTGCTCCCTGGCCAGCTGGGGATCTGGGGTTCGAACTCCTGCTGCAGAGACTGTGGATTGCTTCACAGTGCAGTGCCTAACCCCTTGCGCCACCAGGGAGGCCCGCCATTGTTTGTTTACATGTTTGTTCCCCTTATTAGACTGGGCTCTTTGATAGTAGGAGCTGCATTTTATATTATTCCCATTGCCTGTCACATATGAGGTGCTTAATACCTGCCAAGTGAATGAATGAGGAAATGAAGGAGCAACAATGAGAAGAAAGGAATACTTGGGAGTCTGGTGAAAGTCTGTGGCTCCTATAGTTGCTTCTTAAGCCAGCTCTGCTCCAAAGGAAAAAGTAAGAGGCGTTTTAAGGCAGAGGTTGGGGTTAGAGAAATCCCACTCTGGAGCTGGGGCTAGAGAGGAGTAGGATCTCTAAGTGGAGAAAAAAAAATTAAAAGTGTTCTTTTAATCATCTGGGTAAAGAGTTAGATGAACTAGGGGCCTCCCTGGTGGTACAGGGGTTAAGTCTCAGCGTTATCAAACTATCATAGCCACTGAAGCACAGTTCAATCCCCGGCCAGGGAGCTACCCACATGGTGCAGCAGACCTCTCCTGCCTCCCCACTGCTCCCCTCAGCAGTGCATTTCAGTAGATCCACCTGATCCGCCTGCTCTGCTCCCCACCATCTCTGGTGAGTCCTCTCAACCCCATACCTCTGGCCTACACCCCAGTTCTTGTATGCATAATAAATAAAATCAATTTTTTAAAAGATTTATTTATTTATTTATACAAGCACTGGGTACAGTCAGAAGCGCAGGTTGGGAGAGCGAGAGAATTCACCAAAGCCAGAGCAGAGAGCAGAGCAGGCAGAGTGATGAAGTACACTGCTGAGGGGAGCAGCGGGTGGCAGGAGAGGTCTGCGCGCCATGTGGGACCCTTGCCCAGAAGCCGGGGATCAAACTGGCGCTGCAGAGCTTCACAGCCCAGTGTTCAACCGCTGCGCCACCGGGGAGGCCCTCTTTCTTTTCTTTTCTTTTCTTTTTTTTTTTAAGAATTAGATGAACCAGTCCCCGAGTAAATCTGGCACCCGAGAAGGCTGAATGAGGAGAAAGAGGGGAGCTCTGCCATCAAAACCATGGCCTCAGGCCCAGCCCCAGAAACCTTCTGTCCTAGAAATGTTGATCAACTTATAACCTATGTGAAGTGTGCTGAGGGCCACCATGGGCTCCTCCTGCCACCAAAAATAACACCTCATGAGGTTGCCACAGACGGCTGACCCTGACTCATAGGTCAGACAGACCATTATTCTCTGGGGTGAGCCAGAGAGGTTAAGGCAGGACCTCTAAGAAAGCCACTGCTTAACTGCACATGTTCCTGAGGATACTAGAAGAACCCTGGGTGTCTAAAGAATCAATCAGTTTTGATTTCTACCATTAGATCTTTTTTTTTTTTTTTTTTATAGAGGCATGTTTTCTTTCTTTCTTTCTTTCTTTGTTTTGTTTATACATGCACTGGGTACAGTCAGAAGCGCGGGAGGGTGAGAGAATTCACCAGAGCTAGAGCGGGGAGCAGAGCAGGCAGAAGGACCGAAGTACACTGCTGAGGGGAGCAGCGGGCGGCAGGAGAGGTCTGCGCGCCATGTGGGACCCTCCTCCTGTGGCCGGGAAGCAGCCGGGGATCGAACCGGCGCCGCAGAGGCCGCGGGCAGCTTTGCAACCCAGTGCTCAACCGCTGCGCCCCCGGGGAGGCCCTCTACCATTAGATCTTAAGCTAACCAACTATCAGCTTAGGATTGATTTAAGGGGAAGAAGGCACAGGATGAGCTTATAGCGCCTAGAAGAGGCAACTCTTAGGCATCTGTGAAGGGGTGATATACACAGCAACATACCTTCTCATTTAATCCTCACAACATACAAGTAAGGTAGATCATTTTATAACAAACTATTTTTATAACAATAGTTACTATTTACTGAGTCCTTATTCTATGCTCAGGTTACTTGAATCATCTCATCTGGTCCTTCACATCACAGTAAGTGTAAAGACAAGAAAGCCAAGACTTAGGACTTGCCCAAGGCCACACAGCTAATACGTGGCAGACCTGAGATTTCAGTCAGACCTGTGTACTTCCCAAACGACACATTTCCCACTCCTGGTCACTTAAATAGGTGAGGATTGCAGGAAGCTAGACTATATCACCTGTGGGGGCGACAGAGAAATATTTCAAACACTTTGCACCTTTTGCCTTCCAGAGACTCAGCTGTATAAGGTCTCAGGTGAACCAAGAATCCACCCCTCACCACCCCTTACCAGCTCATATCCTAGGGAACTCACACAGAGCCAGAAGTCATTTGACACTGAACTTTATTTGCTCTGACCACCTGATATGCTGTCCACCCTGCTGGACAGCAGAGACAATGCCTTCTGCAAAAGGCCAGAAACACCCAAAGCAAACACTGTGGCTAGGCCTCAAGTGCAGCAGCCTGGTGGTGGTGGTGGTGGGGGGTATTCCATGGCCTCAGAAACCTGCCCCTTCTGCTGTCCTCTCCTCTCAGCCCTGACTCCTCCAACGGCTGTCAAAGCTGCACGCTAGAGATCAACAACTGCCTTTGGCATCCAGAGTCTTGAATACAAGGAAACAAAAGCCATCCACTTGTACATGAGAACCTAATTCTCTTACTGGCCGTGACCAAAAATCAGGCGGGGGGTGAGAGTGGTGATCCAGAGGTGGAAATCAACTTGGGAATTTCCAGTAAACATCAGGTAAAGGCGGGCAAGCCGATTCTGCTGGGGAAGTCCTGCAAGGTGTGTCTGGGGGTGCCCCAGAAACATCCCCTAGAAACCGGAATGCTGCACAACATTGCTGAGCAATTAAGGACTTGATCCTCAGAGACTGCCTGTCACTCCATGGGCTTCCTCCTTAATGCAGACCCCACTAGTTCCCCCCACTAGTTCTTACCCCACGGGCCGCGTGGCGCAAAGCTGGTCAGGTGAAAAGGCTCCCCACCCACGAGCACAACCCTCTCCCTTCACTCTCGTTTTCTCTAAGGCGGCCCCAGGGAGGGCTCAAGAGTGGACGACACCAGAGAGGAGAAAGCACTCTGGGGGAGCCAGGGTCCTCTGCTATCCCAGCCCCGGCCGCCTGGGGGCCCCTGGCTCCAGAGAATCGGGCCCACGCCCGGCAGGTCTGGGGCGGCTGCTTCACCAGCACCTGAGGGCAGCGAGCGCCCGCGAGGCTCAGGTTTCAGCGGCCGGCAGCTCCCCGTCTAAAGGCTCCTCTGTTCCTTGGAATTGTACAGAATGTCTCTTGTGGCTTTTCCCCTCCCTCCTTTTTTCCTGTTGACTCTCCCCATCCGGGCTCTGAATCACCAGACTCCACAGGAAAGCAGCAGATGTTGACTTTACTTCTTTCAAGCCAACATCGGCTGCCTCCTGTGGAGCTGGGCGCAGGCAGGAGGTGAGAGACAGAGACAGAGAGGAAGGCAATCCTCAGCTGGTCCCCATGGTGAGGGAGGATGTGCATGGCGTCTGGAAGGCCTCAGGGACCTTGGTCCTGGTTTCTGGAGCTAGGGAACAGGGTGTCCAGGCCGGCTGGGGTACCAGGACCCCGAGGAGGGACCTGCAGGGTGGGGGTACTCCTCCTGTTGGTGCCCGCCCTTCTTGTCTGAGGTAAGGCCTCACTCCAGCCAGCAGCATCCTCCAGACTCAAAGACTGCAGGTCTGGGGAGACAGTCCAGAGGCTTCTTCTGGTTCTATCTGAGCCCCCAAACCTCCATTCTTGTGCAAGTTGTTTGGAGAAGTTGCCAGGGAAGACTTTCCAGCTCTTTATTCTACATTCATTGCTCCAAATTCTCTTCTCTTTTTTCTTCCTCGGGGATTTTTTTACGGGCAAAGAAGCCAAGCTGGAAAGGAAGAGATAAGGTCATCACCACAGCCCGGTGCGAGGACCTTGCCAACAGCCCTCAGATGAATCTGAAGTCTTCGCCTTTGTTCTGCTTCCAGAAAGGAGATTCACATTTATTTTATTTGGCTTAATTTAATTCAACCCACATGTGTGGAGCAGAGTGAAGGAGAGCTGGCATAACACCGCAGCCTGCAGCTGCCCAGTGCAAACCCTGGTCCCCCTGCTGGGATGAAGGAATCCTCAATTCCAGGGCACCGTGTCCGTACACCCCACTGAAGCCGCGCTTACCCTCCAAAGGCAGAAGACAAGGAAAGCGAGCAGGAGCAGCCCTCCCAGGACGCTGCCAATGAGGACCCACAGCGAGATGAGGACGGGGCGGGTCTGAATCACCTCCAGCAGGCTCTGTTGGGAAGAGAACCCATGTTCACTTACCCCCCCAACCCAGCCAGCTTCACCCCACATCATAGCGAAGTCAGCCTCAAAATAGCAGCATAGGCCCTCCCCTGGTGGCGCAGGCGGTTGAGCGCCGCGCTGTGAAGCTGTCCGCAGCCTCTGCAGCGCTGGTTCAATTCTGGCCGGCCGGCAAGAATCCCACATGGCGCAGCAGACCTCTCCTGTCTCGCCCGCTGCTCCCCTCAGCAGTGTATTTCAGTCAGTCTGCCTGTTCTGTTCCCCACTCTGTCTCTGGTGAATCCTCTCACCATCCCATGCATGTACCCCAGTTCTTGTATAAATAAATAAATAAATAAATCATTAAAAAAAAATAGCGGCACAAAAGGAAAGAAACTGAGGCAGAAATGGAGGCAGGGGGACCCCAGCATCCTGAGCCATCACTGGAGAATCACCAATTGCTGCTGAAAGAAGTCGCTGTCCTGCAAAAGCCCACAGGCGCCCGTCCCCACGGCCACCATCACTGTTCACAGCTCCCAAACGCCAGCCCCACCTCACTCCGACGAGAGGCTTCAGTCAACCGTAGGACACTGCCCTCCTCGGTCCCCAGTTCGAAGGTGCTGACCACTGTCAGAGACTTGAATTTGGCCTGTGGAACAAGTAGTTGGGAAGGTATTTAAATGAGCCATCACCAAGTGGTGTGGCCCTCGGAACCCCAGTAAGACAGAAGAAGCTCAGAGGCACAACTTCCATGACCCTCAAGTCCGAAGAGAGGTTAGGACCAGTGGGGGCAGAGGGGAAGGGCAGTGGGTGGGAAGCCTCTGCCTTGTACACACTGTTTGCATGGCTTGAAACACATCGCAGGCCTTTTTTCTTAGGCTAACCCCTCTGGGTCAAAGTTTAGATGTCATCCCCTCTGGGAAGAGGGAAGCATTTCCTCCTACCTCCACCATCCTGGTCAGGTTATAATATTGTGTTTACTCCTCTCTTGCCCTAAACTATAAAATCCTTAAGGTCAAGGCCTGTGTGTCTGTCCTTAGTGCCCCGGGCCTAGCACAGCGCCACATCCATAGTGGCTTCTCAACAAATCTTTGTTGAGGGCCTCCCTGCTGGCACAGGGGTTAAAGTCTCAGTGCTATCAAGCTCTCACCAGCCATTGGGACAGGGCACGAGTTCGATTCCCAACCAGGGAGCTGACCCACAGGGCGCAGCAGAACTCTCCTGTCTCCCCGCTGCTCCCCTCAGCAGTGTATTTCAGTAGATCTGCCTGTTCTGCTCCCCATTCTGTCTCTGGTGTATCCTCTCTCTCTCTCTCTCTCTCTCTCTCTCTCTCACACACACACACACACACACACACACACACACACACACACCTCAGAACTACACCGCAGTTCTTGCCTGCATAAAATAAATAAATAAAAATAAATAAATAAATCTTTATTGAAGGAATAAAGAAATGAAGGACACGGAAGATAGAACCAGACTTCAAGAAGGGTGGTTTGTTGGAGTTAACGTCCCTAAAACATATGCCTACATATACCAGGGATCTTGTTTCGCTCAAAGCACATGGTATAAGGGAAGGACACTATGACCCCCAGTACTGAGCTACTGTTCTACAGGCGCCATTTACTTAGGCGCTCACGCTGACTCCTGACTGCCATCTCAGCAAATTCAGTTTTATCTCCCTCATTTTAGAGAACATCCTTCTTAACTATACATTCTTTTTTTAAAAAATTTTTATTTATTTTTGTGTAGAAGAACTGGGGTGTAGGCCGACAGGGTGGGGATCAAATTCACCTGTAGAGGTGACAGTGCTGAGACTTAACCCCTAGGCCCCCAGGGAGGCCCTCACTTCCACTACTGTCTAATACAGCTGGGTGATTCTCTGACTCTGCCCACGCTCTTTCTTGAATGTGTACTTTACCTACAATAAATCTTCTTTTCTAACTCACACAGACACACGCACATAATAATACATCTCCTGTATGTAATATCAGCTATTTTTTTATATAATATCAACCATTCATTTAACAAAAATGTATGAAGTCACTACGATGAGTTAGGCATGGCATTACCAGGGGAGTAAATGCTGGAAAATTCTCCTCGGTGTCTACCTAGTACAGGGCATTTTATGTAGTAGACATTTGATAGGTCATAAATTGATTGAATTAATTGATTATTGATATTGCACTAAGGGTTGAAAAATGGAGGGAAATACAAGGATAATAACTAGCTTTTAATGAATCTATTTCATTGTTCACTTATTCTTCACAACTCCATGAAGATATATTATCTTCCCTGTATCAGAGATGAGGAGAAAGAAGCTTAAAGAGTTGAAATAACTTGCTCAGGGTCTGAAACCAGTGAGACGCGAAGTTGGAAAGTGAACCCGGAACCGTCGGCCTCTAAAACCCGCGGCGAAGGCCCAGAGAGAAGCAGGAGAGAAGAGTAGAAAGGGAAACGTTTACCCTCCGGAAAAATTCATTATGAACCAGCCTCAGCAGTCCCACGGAGACCTCGGTCCCCTTGGCCAGCCGCCCGAGGGGGCACCGCACCACCTGACACCGAGTGTTGCTCCCATTCTGCCAGCAGAGAGCCGGGTTGGCACCTTGGACTGCGAAGGGCCCCTCCTCCCGCCTCCTGCTCCCCTCTGCATTTCCCACCCGGACCTTCCCCATTGGTCTCCTACCAGCCGGCTAGTGTGCTGGAGCTCCTCGGGGTGCACAGCGGGCCCTGGGGGCTCAGTCAGGTTCTGCACCATGCAGCTGGCCTAGAGGAGGAGCCAACTTGAGGGGCCTCCTGATGGCGAGACCAGCTTCTCCGGCTGAGCAGGAATCAGGACCCCGATGTTCTTCCCCAGGGAATCCCTCTCTTTTTTTCTCAGAGAAGCCGGGTGTGTGAAAGAAGGGTCCCCGGGGTGGAGGAGGAGAGCAGTGACCCAGCCGATGGAGGCGGGCGGGGGAGAGGGCAGAGGAGGGGGGAGGTGGGTCCGCCTTTACTGAGCACACCCATGAGGTGGGGGTCCCCACAGCCCAGCTGCACTCACATTGCTGCCGATGACCTGGGACAGCGACAGGAAGTAACTGCCCCCGTGGGCCACAGCTGGAAGGAGAGCGGAGATGATGAGGCCGCTGACCCCGTAGCAGCCAAGGTTCTGGACCTGCGGGAGGGTTGGGAGTGGGCAGAGGAGGGGCACAGACAGTCTCTCCTCATCGGTCCCCCTTGATCCTAAATCCCAGTGAAACCTGAGAGACTCTTCCCACCCTTTGCCCAGGACTCCTCCCCCTCCCTCTGCTCATGCTGAGCCCCCTCCACCCCCACCAAGCCCCACCGCCCCCCTCCCAGTGTCTCACCCTGAGAGTGGTTTTGAATTCAGGGCCAGGACCCGCGGGGAGGCCCCCATACGGGTGCACCTCATAGCGGTGCAGCGTGGACTCACTGGCGGACGCCGAGCCCGGAAGCAGGTGGTCACAGCAGGGCGCACACGAGGGCGGGGAGGCAGGGCCAGCACAGGGGTGAAGAGAGGGGGACACACCATGGAGAAGGAAATGGGGTACCACACGGACTTGGCACAAGCGTATGTCACACCCCATAACCCTCCCCTCGGCGCCAGCCCCGAGGACCCGAGAGCTGAAGCCCCTGAAGGGGCTTAGAGAGAGGGTTAGCGTGAGGGCGTGTGAGCAAAATGGTGGCGCAGTCCCCAAGGATTTGGGGGAACACGAGAAGACATAGAGGGAGGGGAGGAAACATGACAGTATAAGTCTGGGATTAGAATGGGGTTCCAGGGGGAGCCGAGCCGTACCTAGAGAACAGGAGCTGGGGCTCATACTGGACGTAGGCTGAGGTCTGCACGGCGTTGTCGTGAAGGGTCCCGTTCCTCTCCAGGCTATTGCTGTGGGGCGGGGGAGAGCCTCACATCCCAGCCCCCTCTCAGACACCCCGCTCTGGAGTAGACAAGTCAGAGCTGTTTCCACCCCTCACACCCCAATCCCAAGACCCAACAGGAGGCACCACAGGAAGTGAGGTTGTTCTCACCTGGCGGCCGTGAGCCGCACGAGCACCTGGCTCAGGAGGGCAGAACAGCTGAACTCAAACTCCAGCAGGAAGGTCACCTGGAGCAGGGGGCGAGGCGTGTCAGGGCTTCCCAGAGCAGCTAGGAGGAGCAGGACTCCTGGGGCCTCCTTCCCTGAACCCCCTCTGTGCTCCTTTCTCTCCTGGGCCCCAACTCACCTTGGCTCCAGTCTGGAAGACAGGATGCCCCACACTGCAGAGCCGGGCGTGAGGGGAAGGGGCTGTGCACTCCGCCTTCACCGGGCTGTCCCTCTGAAAGCAGAGGATGGGGCGCAGCCAAACGCTGAGCCTTTCTCTAGAGCCCCTCACAGCCCAGGCAACACCCCAATCTCCTTCCTCCTTCCCCCCACAAAGCCCCTTCTCCCAAGGGCACCTGAGGCGTGAAACTGGCCAAGTGGAGGTTTCTGGAGAAGCTGAGGCTCAGGCTGGTGTTGTAGGCGTTCTCCTTCCTGTTCTCGAGAGTCGCTGACACCAGCACCTTCTGCCGCCCACCTCGAACCACAAACGGGGTCTTCCTAGATGTGTCGATAAGGGACAGCCCAGCAGTTGAAGGGGCACCCGAGTCTCCCTCCTGTTTTCCTGGGTAAACACCCTCCCCCATCTCCCTTCAAGCCCCTTCCGATGTGTCTCAGGTGACCCCCGTTTGGCGAGCTCCTGTCTGTCCCACCTGGAGCCTCTGACGTCCATGTTAGCGCGCAGCACTAGGTCTGTGACGCACTCGTTGTCCGGGCCGCAGTCCTTGGAGAAGTGCACCTGCGGGAGAGAGAAGGGGCCGAGGGCTGACCGGAGGGGAAGGAGAGGAATGAATGGCACTGGGGGAGGTGGGAAGGAGAATGGGCCCCCAGATTGCACCGTGACCTCCTGCCCCCCCTTCTCTCAGGTTCACTGGGGAGGGCAGTGTGGGGGCCAGAGCGGGGCTTGGCCGCTGACCAGCTTGCGAATGGAGGTGGGGGAGCCTGCGTCCAGCACAGGCCCTGGCTTCGTGGTGTTGTCCAAGGCAAAGGTCACAGTCAAGGCCACGGGCCGGAGGTAATCTGATGTGTCCTGAGGAAATGAGTCAAGAATCATGGGAAGCCCGGGTGGGGGGGACAACCCAGGCCCCCAGCTGAATGTATCATTGGGGTGATCGTTTATCAAGCACTTGCTGGGGGCCAGGCCAGGCTCATCAATCCCACTGATGCATGTATTATCATCATCACCATCATCATCGTCGTCACCATCATCCTTCCTTTGCAGGTAATGAAGCTGAGGTTCGGGATACGCCGCTAGTGACGGCAAATGGTGGAGCTGGGGTCAGCCCCGCTCCAGAGTGAACTTGCTGGCTCCCCCGTCTTCAGCAGAAACCCCCGACCCAGGCCTCCCAGAGCAGCTCCTGCCCTCGCTTACCAGCACATGGAAGAGCAGCCGCTCGCAGCTCACGTTCCCCACACTGAGCCCCAGCCGCCGGGGCGACAGCCTCTGGCCGGAGCCGTCGAACGCCGCCCGCGCCCCGGCCGTCCACTCGTCCAGGGAAGCCGTGAACCGCGCATCTGAGGAGGCGGGAGAGTGAGTGGACCGGGGTCCGAGGCCGCAGCAGGGTGGCCAGCCGCCCGGTCAGCCTGGCACTCACAGAATCGGCGGTCCCAGCGGCCAGGAGTGCGCGAGGTCACTCGGAAGCAAAGGGCCGCAGAAAGGCAGGCGGCCTCTTGGCCGCGACGCCTGCAGTCCCTCTGAACCACACTGATGGCCGGCGGGGTCACAGTCAGTGAAGGGACTATGTGGACAATGGGCCGGGAGCTGGGGACAGGGTGGGAAAGACATTCTAGCAGTGGGGCGTGTGCCATGGAGGAAGGCGTCATGCCCACCCCGGCCTCCCTGGGGTCAAAGGGAAGAAAGAGGGGTGAGGAGCACGCGGGCCACCCACCGCTGAACCGCCGGCCAGAGCAAGAGAAAGACTGAGGTTTAAGGAGCCCCTGCCCCGCGCCAGGTGCCGTGTTAAGCTCTGTGCATGGATCGTCGCATTCAGTCCTCACAGCGAGCTGCTGGAAGACGAGACTAAGGTAGGGCCTATTGCTGGGCCCCTTTCATAATTAGGAGATGAACACAGAGAAAGTCGACGGAGACGTCCACATCTGGGTCTCACACTGCAGAGTCGCGGCTTAACAGCTGCGCTGCGCTGCCCACTGCTTTAAGAGCCAGGACCCCTCACCTGGCTCACCTGAGCAGCACGGCTGCGCCCTGGGCACCCACAGCCACATCCACCAGCTCGTCCCCGTCCAGATCTAGCCGGCCATCCACGCTCCGGCCGAAGTAGCTGAGGGCCTGCGGCATGGAGACCGCAGCAATCCGCTGACAGGAAGACGGGAGACTGAGCAGGGACTCCCGCGCCTGCTTTGCCAGGCCTCCGCCTGGCTCTCTCTAGTTCTCCCATCAAGAGTGGGAAGAAGGGCCTCCCTGGTGGCGCAGGGCTTAAAGCCTCAGCTATCTGCAGCCACTGAGGCCTCGGTTCAATCCCTGGCCAGGGAGCTACCCACATGGCGCAGCAGACCTCTCCTGTCTCCCCGCTGCTCCCCTCAGCAGTGGATTTCAGTAGATCTGCCTGTTTTGCTCCCCGCTCTGTCTCTGGGGAATCCTCTCACCTCCACCTCTGGCCTTGAATGCATAAATAAATAAAAATAAACCTTTTTTTAAAAAAGAGTGGGAAGGAATAAGAGAAACTTGCTGTGTCTGGGGTCACTAGTACAGCCACAGCAGCTATCCCACACCACCACCTTTGTGACTACTGATAAAAAAGCACCTGCTCAGTTTGGGCCTCAAGCCCAGGGGCCATGGATAAGTGAAAAACACCCCTCTCTTGCCCTTCCCTCTGTGATGCCCCTGGGCATCTGAGCACCTCTCACCTGGGCAGCCCGGGGTCTGACTCCACTCTGGGCCCCATGGTAGAGGTACAGCGCTCCCCGGTGCCCATCCTCCAGCGGCGCCCCCACAGCCACATCAGCAAAACCATCTTGGTTCAGGTCAGGAAGGGCACCCATGGCGAAGCCAAACCGAGCATCCTGGGGGGGCTCTGGCTGCAGTGTTCTCTGGAGTGTCAGCAAGGATTGCTGGTGCAGTGAGGAGAGACAAAAGATGCTGATATGCATCTACCTTCCCTGCCACTCCTTCCAAACAAGTTCTTGGGGTTCCCGCACGTCTTACCTGGCCCACTACATACACATAAACACGTCCTGTCTCCTTGTTCTGGGGTCCCAGGAACATGGGGGCAGCCACAAGCAAGACGTCAGTGGTTCCGTCCCCATCCGTATCCAGCGGGCAGAGCTCACTGCCAAAGTAGGAGCCAATCTGGACAGTGAGGGCCCAGGAGAAAGCGGGTGGTGAGTGGACAAGTGGGGAGCGCCAGCAACCTGCAGTCCGGTCCTCACACCCCTGACGGACTGTGTCAGCCAAGATGCAGCACGGACTTTCTGGACCCTTCTCTTGTCCCTCCACTCTCTTCCCCCACAGCCTGGAGGCCCCCCAGAACCAAGAGTCTAATGCCCTACCTGCTCCCCCTGGAGGCTCTGGGCAACCCTCACAGACCCGTCTTTCTTAAGCTGGAAGGCGATGACTTTCCCGCGATGCCTAAAACGAGGCGCCCCTGAGAGAAAGAGGCGGCGTCCACCCGGCAAAAGCATGGAAGAAACAGAGTAACCTAGAAATGGGTGGGAATCAGGAATCAAGGTGGAGGGCCGCAGAGGCACAAGAGGAGCCCCAGGGCTACTAGCAGATCAGAAATGGCCTGAGTTAAGAGGGTGGAGCGCACAGCCTGCACTGGGCCCCCACCCCACTCCTCTGCAGCTCTCTCCACTCACCCAAGTAGGCTGCGTGATTCTGCAAGGCAGGGGGGAACTCGTCTTCCAGAGCCGCCCGCGGCGGGAAAAGGCGGTGACCTTCCTCGAGCCACAACACGGAGCCCCCCCAGTCATAGGCCCCCACCATCCCGAAGAGAATCCCATCCTGTAGGGCAGAACCAGACAGGGTCACTGGAAAGACAGGGAGGAACAGGAGCAAGACAGGAGCGAGAGGGTCACCGAGGGCTTGCTGGGTCAGCCGGAAAGGCCTGGAAAGGTTTGCATGGACACTGGTTAAAGGAGGAATCTAGAAGAGCCTTAGGGTTAAAGTTTTCTCAGTCAGAGGTTAGAAAGGGTCAGAGGTTGAAAGGGGTCATGGAGGGGCCAGAGTCTGTCCTACCTTTAACCGATGAGTCGAGAAACCAATCTGAGACATTTCCAGTCCAAAGGAGCTTTCATTTTCTTCATGGGACCCTCAAGCCAAGGAAAAATGGAGACAATATCAGGGAAGAGAGTTTCCCCTTTGACTTACTGAACTCACTCCAGCACCCTCCTCCACTTCCGGAATACCCCTCCCCGTCCTCTTATTTCTCCAGGGTAATCATTACCCTCGAGGCCAAAAATCCGGTCTCCTAGTGCGTCCACAATGTCCGTCAGAGCAGCTTCGTCTGTGACGTTGAAGAAGAACCTCTCGTCTGGATCACTGGCAATGGCTCGAATTTCCCGCAGGAAAGAGCTGGGGTCTCGCTGGCGCCGGAGGTAGTGACCGAGGACCTAGAGTGAGGACACCCAGGAGGGGCGTGTGGCAGCCTGGGGTGAGGTGCCGCAGCTGGTGCGGAACTCAGCCAGCCAAAGCGAGGAAAGAGACACAGGGCTGGCCCCCGGGCTGTAGTCAGCACCCTCGTTTCCTCAAGTTCCCAGCCCACAGTCTCCATCCCTCCCCGCCCTCCCAGGCCCAGAGTAGGTCCTCACTGCAATCCCATAGCGTGTCACTCTTCCAGCCTCACAGGCCTCAAGCGCTGCTGGAAGCTCCTCTCCATCATGGGATTCTCCGTCCGTGACAACCACTAGCAGCCTGGCGGCCTCTGGCCGGCCTCCCCGGGACTGACTAAACCCTTCTGTGCTGAGAAGAGAGAAAGGAGTGAGGTGTGATCAGCAGTTCACCAAGACCAGGCACTTTGTCTCTCAGCGGGTCTCCTCCATAGCTTCTGGCGTGGAGGTTGCCACACACGCCACACATGTTTGAATGCCACACCCTTGATGGACACAAACACAAAACCCACCCATTCACAGGTTCATTCCGCAAATATTGCTTTGGGGAGGGCGGATATTAAAGTGGATGTGGAATAAAGGAGAACGGTCAGGTGAAAGGAATATGCCCAGGGATGAGTTCAGAATCACGATTGGAGAGTTAGCTAGCACATGACCGCTGGGGAGTGTGAGGGCCCAGAGCCCCGAGGGCATGGAGGGGTGGAACGCCCTGTCTGCAGAGACAAACAAAGCAGGAACACGCCTTGTGGAAATGTGTGCGAGGGAGAGCAATAACGGCCAACTCAGCCCTCCCGCACCTGCCAGCAGTGTGCAGAGACAAGCCGCAGAGACTCCTGGGAACACACACACCACACTTAAATCCTCCCCGGTCTTTCCAGGCCTCCTTACTCTGCCTCCCACGTGCCCCTGCGCGATGCCTCACCAGGCCTCCAGGATTGCTTGGGCAGTCTTCGTTTCTCTTCCCTCCTGTCGACTCAGGTTCCTTGCTGCTCTCACCACTTCTTCCTTGGTTCGAAAGTCTCCCAGGGACCACTCGTGGACAGGGCTCTCCCCATACTGCAGCAGCCCCACCTGAGAATAAGGTGTGCACACAGTCCACATGGAACATGGGGGCCCGGGGGCCTGTCAGGGCGGGGTGATGAGCATCTGGACACCACCAGAGTCACTCCCTGTATCTACCCCCTCTCTGTCTCCGCCCCACCCCGAGCATCCACGGGCCCGCTCTCACCTGTATCTGCTCCGGGTCAATAAACAGTCTCCCTACCAGTCTTCGCAGGAAGGTCTGGACTTCAGACCAGGGGTAGATGCTGTTGGAACCGTCCAAGACGATGACAACGTCCATGTATGTGGGGCAGCCTAGAAGGAGGGGTGTGGTGACGGGGCACAGAGGGGTAGAAGGACACTAGGTATGGGGGCGACAAGGGGAGAGGTCACACTAGGGCACCTTTTCCAGGCAAGGACGGTAAGGCCCTGGGGAAATGTAGAAATGGGCTGCAGAGATGTAGAAATGGGCCCGCATACAATTTTCTAAAAAGACAAAGAAGGAATGAAGCACAGGAGGAAACAAAGCCCGACTCTGTGCTGTGGCCCCAAAGGAGGGTCCGTCCGATGGCGGCGCGCCAAGCAGCCACTGAGAACACACTGAGGGCTGAAGATGCCCGAGGAGGGAAGGATATAAGAAGAGGCATCTGGGCAGAGACATTTCAAGCAAAAGGAGATGGAGGCCAAAAGGCAGGCGATGCAGAGAGAACGGGTGGAAGCGAGAGTTGAGGTTTTGAAGTTGGGTCGAACAGGTCGTGGTGTCCTGATGCCTGGGTAGAGTCTGACTCTACTCCGTCAGGAAACACGGACCTTTCGCAGGCACACTGGGTGGCATCAGCTGTGAAGGCCCCTGCCAGGCATCATACCCTGTGGCCTCTTCTTTTTCCCACCCTGCACCCCGCTCAGGGAATGAACCCTCGGGCCCCTCCTTTGGCTCACGTTGTGCCGTAGGTGCCAGGCTTCCCTGGGGCCGGAATGAAGCATCTACACGGGTACATATTCCAGAGCTGAAGACAGAAGAGCCGCAGGCACGGGACCAGAGCGGGGCACAGGCCTGGGGAGGAGAGAGTCACCCCCAGCCTGGGAGGGCCCCTGCGGCACGCACCCCTCCTCCAGGAGCATGGGACTGCTCCCTGAGGTGCTCCCCCTTTCTTCCTAGAGTTTCACGCTTGGCCCCTCCACACAGACGGTCCCCCTTGCTCTTTTCTCAGCCACAATTCTTCAGAGACCCCACCACCCCCTTTCTTGAACTCACCATGAACCCCCCATCACCACCTGTCTCTAGGAGAGACATCCCCAAGTGCATATTCACAGCAGGGCGAGAAGAATTTCCCAGGGGATGATCACCTGGTTGGAGGGAGGTAAAAGAGAATGAGATTATGGGGTAACTGTGGGGTGCCTGAGTGTAGGCTGATTTGGGAAGAGGATGAAGAGAGATCGGGATCATGTAGGGATGGGGGTAGTGGGTTATAGGGGTGAAGACGGTGGGGTGCGAGGGGGTCAAAGCTACTAGTCTAGAAAGGTCAGGAGTTGGGTGTGGCGGAGTACGGCATCTTCTTACCCAAGTGGCCCTTGGCACATGGGGCACTGTGCAAGCCCCCGACAGGGCAGCGATAGACATCCCCCCTCCGGTCACCCGAAGGCCCATCCCACGGGGCGCCCACCAGCATCCTGGGAGAAGGATGTGAATATAAGCACAGCATGAATGTGCCCCTCGAGGTGGGCCAGAAGGAAAGCACATGGGGATGGCAAGTCTAGCGCCCAGACACTTGCCAACCCCCAGATGGCTTTAGATTCCTCTCTGCCCTGCCTCCCCCTTCGGAAGTCAAGCACAGCCCTCCCGGGGCCCTCTGGCGTCTTCCTCACCATCGCTGCCCACCCTCGACATGCTGTAAGACGCTGTATCCGAATTCAGCCTCGGGTGGCCCTGGGAATAGGCGTGGGTGATGCACGTCCAGGTTAAAGGGGGAGCTGAGACCTGGGGGCAGGAGCGTAAGGTTAACAGGAAGCAGAAGGGCTAAGGGGTGTCCAGAAAGGCACCCCCAGAGAGAAACCAAGAAAGTTTGACCTCAATCTGTCTCCCTGGGCCTTGCTCGTGCGCTCCCCTGGCCTCTGTCAACGTCCTATAGCAGAGCGCCGAGCAGCATGACCTCTTCCGTGGGTCGGGGCCTGATGTCTAGCTGGTGGCGCTTTGCCACGCTGGTGCATAACTGTCTTTCCATTTCCACCCTGAAATCTCATTTACAGACGCGTCTGGAAGGGTCAAGTTCCTCTTTCCTACATCATTCCTCCTACACATCCTCGTCCCTGAGCTGTAAGGGTCCAAAGAGGGAGCGGGCCTTCCTGAAGGCCCAGAGCAGCTATTCCTTCCAAATTCCCCCCACCAAGAGCAAGGCAGGGAACGAAAGGAGGCTCGCGGGCTCTGCGTGCTGGGGTCTCTCCTTCTCTCTTCTTGACTCTCAGCATCATGGTTACACGCTCACTCTCTGTCCAGTGTCAAGGGCTCTGCTTGGCTCCAGCCCTGGAAACCTCAGTGGTAATTAACTGGGTGGAGCCACTTGCCTGCCCACACACAGGGCTTGAAATCCACCCGTACCAAGGGTCTCGTTGCCCCAAGTTTCTCACAACCCGCTTCCGTTCTAACTCATCCACCGCCCCAAGTGTGCCCTGCCTACCTGCATGTCTTCCTCAAGCCTCCGCCCACCCTAAAGACAACCCCCCACCAACACATCCAGGCTGATTCTTCCCTTGCAATCCCATCCTTTTACAAGCAGAGTTGATATTTTAGGAAACAAAGATTACAGGGCACTGAAGTAGAAAAATTCCAGGCCTCTGTCCCTCCCATAGTTTTCTCCCCAACTGTGTCTTTTTTCCTTTCAGGCAACCCCCTTCAGGTGAACTGCGCCCCCCCCCCACACCCCACCCCAGCTACTACCCATGACTATAACTCTTTCTTAAGTCATGCTCGTTTTCAGAAAGGTGTTTTGAATGTGAGGCTGTTTGCATCCCGGGAACCGGCCGGGCTGTGTGAGCAAGAGCTGTAGCTCGGAGCTCATTGGTTAGATAAACCCAGACTTCTGGCCACACAGTTAGGCAGTTACAGCTCAGGCCAGGGGAACACCAAGGGTAGGGCGAAGTAGGGAGCAGGATAATGGGAGTCAGAGGAGCCATGTGGAAGCTCACATTGTTTCTTTTTGGCCACCTCACTCCTCCAGGGCTCAGGACAAAGGCTTTAGATCATTGGCCACAAATCTCACACAAGGCTCCGCCAGCCTCAATATGGAAGCAGTCGAATGTGGGCATTAAGAACACAAGCATTCAAACACGCACTTCCACACACGCGGCGTGAAATGTAGACTCTCACCATAACTTCTCAAGAACCTTTAACCCTAAAAGTCCAATGTCCGGCCTCCCTGGTGGCGCAAGGGGTTAAGCACCGCGCTATGAAGCTGTCCACAGCCTCTGCAGCACGAGTTCAATCCCCGGCCGGCCAGGGAGCAGCAAACCTCTCCTGACTCTTCCACTGCTCCCCTCAGCAGTGTATTTCGGTCAGTCTGCCTGTTCTGCTCCCCGCTCTGTCTCTGGTGAATCCTCCCACCCCACCCCCGCACCTCTGGCCTGTACCCCAGCTCTTGTATGCATAAATAACTAAATGTTTGAAAAAAAAAAAAAGTCCCAATGTCAAACAGGTTAGAGCGCGCCCATTCCCACCAGAAACAAGAAGCTAACCTCCCTCACCTGTCAGGAAAAGCAGGGGCAAGAACAGGTGAGGGATGAGGGGGTGCTCCATGCCCGGTGGTTCTGCCCGTGTGAGAAGTCCTCCGAGCCTCTGTCCCTCTCCTTTTCTGTTTTCTTTACTTTCCCTCCCATCCTGCCCCCTCCCACTGGCAGCTAAAAATAAAGTTGGAAGGAATGGGAGGAGTGATGATGGGGAAGTGTGGGGAGCCCCAGACCAAGGCAAGGACGCTGAGCAAACTCAGTTTCTCTGCCTTGGTGCTGCCCCCTGGAGGCGTCATCTACACCCAGCTCGTGACCCTTTCTGCTGTCTTTGTCCTGCATGTGGCCAGTCAGGCCCTCCCCGCTTTGGAACAAGAAGGGAGACATAGGAGACAGACTCCTTGTACTTCCATAGCCTGTCTTTTTTTTTTTTTTTTTTACCGATTTATTTATTTATGCACACAAGAGCTGGGGTACAGGCCAGAGATGCGGGAGGGGATTCATCAGTGACAGAGCAGGGAACAGAACAGGCTGACTGAATTACACTGCTGAGGGGAGCAGTGGGTGAGGCAGGAGAGGTCTGCTGCGCCACGTGGGTTGCTCCCTGGCTGGGGATCTAACTCGTGCTGCAGAGGCTGTGGATTGCTTCATAGTGCGGTGCTTAATCCCTTGCGCCACCAGGGACGTCCTCCCTCCATAGCCTTTTCTAGCTCAACCTGGGGCCTGGGAAGAGTTGCTAAGAGAAATATCTCCTCACCTACCCAGGGGAGCCCTGACATGTAAAGACAGCCCACACGCGAAGTCTGACCTGGCCCGCTCCATGTAGTTCTGTTTGTGATTTTCGCCTATGCTTCCTTGCGGCCTTACAGTGTTTGGAGGGACTATGAACTATAAACTGGTATGGGATAGGTTTTGTACAGCCAGGATAGTTACTTTCACATTAGAACCTGTCTCCTTAACAAAGCTATAAGCTTCTGAAATTGGGCACACAGGGCTTCCTGGCTTTCTGTGACTCCTGCACACTACAGGTACTCAATAGGGGAGTCTAGGTGATGATGCCAGTGGCTAATCCCATGGAAAACCCAAACCACAAGCGGAGAAGAGGCCTCAGATGACCAGAACACACAGGACCAGACAAAACATCAGTGAGCAAATTGATCTTTAATTTGCTGACCCCGGAGGTTTCTCTACATTTTGGGCATGTGCCACAGCTATTTACACAGAATCATTGTACAATATTTACAGCAAGATGCTAGACACAGCATCACTCTGGATAGGCAAAGAGGGGGTAAGAAGAGACTAGGGAACGGAGTCCTGAAATCGAAGTGTAAGCGGAAATCTGCAGGGATGAGTGGAGGGAGGTTAGGGGCCAAGTCAGGAGGGAGGGGTTGGTGAGGTAGACACGAGGAGGGAAGAGGAAGCATCAAACCGCCTTTGGTGCATGAGGGAAGAGTCCACTGGACACAAAGTCTTTAAAATTATGATATGGAGTTTGAAGGGGGTCATGTTTGCCACACGTCACCTTTGTGAGGAAAAGAAGGCGTTTAGAGGCTACAGCTCACAGCTTCTGTCTCCCTTACTAAAAAGTAATTCTGCCGATTAAATTCCTCAGACAGAGAACGAAGCAGGGGGAGAGATGCAGAAACAGAATCTTAAATAGATGTAGGAGAGACGATGAAAAAGAGTTAGTGAGACACAGACAATGTAATGAAGGAAGAAGAGGACAAAAGCTCTGGCAGATTTGAACATTAGAATCAACTTCACAAGTCACCTTTCCTCACCTCATCCACCCGTAACCCTTCATCTCTGGATTGTAACTTTGACCAAGGAGTAGAAGCAGAATGAGGGTGATATGATGGGGATGATCTAAGAGTCCATCTCACCAATTCAGGTTCCCTCCTTATCCTGTGCCAGAATATCAGGGCTTGAGTCGTAGCCAAGGGCAGATTAAAGTGAGAATAGACAGGATAGAGGACACGAGGCCGCAGAGCCCCACGATCCCAGGACCACAGCGCCAGAGGCCTAGTTTGTCCAGTGGAATACAGAGATCGCAGGCATTTCTGACCACATCCAGGAGAAGAGGGGGGTGGCTCCGAAGGACCCGAGCCAGGAGCAGGAGTCGGAGTCGAAGCTTCAGAGCCAGCTGAGGCAGGCCTCCTCCTGGAGTTCCTGGACCCCCAGGCTCCCCATTTTCAATTCCTGGGATTCCTCCTCCAGAACCCTTCAGTCGCCTGCTACAAGCTGAAGACTCTTGCTCCATCAGTAGGCGAATCTCGTAAGCGTCACGGCTCAAATTCATAATGAGGGAGAACAGGTAGTACCTGGGATAGACAGGGTAGAAGGGTCAGCCAGAGCTCGTATTCCCTGCAGCTTAGCCAACAGAATGCTTAAACCTTTCTCCCCATGGCACAAAGGGATCATACAGATCATAACACCAGAAGTGAACGCTATTTTACCCACAATTAGAAATGTCCTCCATCTCTCTATAACTAATGTGTTTATGTACAACTTAGGGTCCCGGCTTAAAATTCATGAGCATCATGAAGTCTTCCAAGATCAACCTCAAGTTTCACTTTTCCATTTGGCAACTCACTGGCATACACACATTGAAACTTGATCTATAATGGCCTCCCTGGTGGCACAAGGGGTTAAGCACCGCACTATGAAACAATCCGCAGCCTCTGCAGCATGAGTTCGATCTCCAGCCGGCCAGGGAGAAATCACATGGCACAGCAGACCTCTCCTGTCTCCCCACTGCTTCCCTCAGCAGTGTATTTCAGTCAGTCTGCCTGTTCTGTTCCCCACAATGTCTCTGGTGAATCCTCTCACCCCCCACATCTCTGGCCTGTACCCCAGCTCTTGTATGCATAAATAAATAAATCTTTTTTAAAAATAAAAGAAATTTGATCTATAATAATTTAATTTTTTGGGAAAGAACAAGTTTCAGTTGTTTCAGAGACTCAGACATATTACTGATCATCTAAATCCAATCCTTAACAAAAAACGAGGCAGAGAGGTATTAAGCATGTTAGCTTATAAATTCCTTAAGAACAGCCTATGGGGCCTCCCGGGTGGTGCAGCAGTGGAGCACTGGGTTGCAAAGCTGCCCGCAGCCTCTGCGGCGCCGGTTCGATCCCGGCTGCTCCCCGGCCACCCGAGGAGGGTCCCACATGGCGCGCAGACCTCTCCTGCCGCCCGCTGCTCCCCCCAGCAGTGTACTTTGGTCCTTCTGCCTATTCTGCTCCCCGCTCTGGCTCTGGTGAATTCTCTGTACCCAGTACTTGTATAAATAAACAAATAAATCTTTAAAAAAAAAAAAAAAGAACAGCCTATGGTTCTGATTTTTAATGTTCTCTGACAACTGTGGTCTGTAGTGAATATACTTGTCTTACCTCCAGAACATGTCCTGAACCCAACCACATCTCTCTGACACTCCACCACCATCGTCTGTGCCACCATCACCTCTTGCCTGAACTACTGTCTTAGCCCTTCAACTGACATCTCCATGGTCACCATTGCCCCCAACCCCACCGATCTAATCTCAAATAGTAGCTGTCATAAACATTAACTCCTTCCTATCACATTTAGAATAAAATTTAGATAACTCAGGCATGTTTACAGAACGCAGCACCTAGTGCTGCCTCTATGACTCCATCTCACACCTTCTTCCTCCCAATCACTGTGCTCCAATCACATTAGCTTCTTTCTATATCTTTTTTTTTATAAAGATTTATTTATTTATACAAGCACTGGGTACAGTCAGAAGCGTGGGAGGGTGAGAGAATTCATCAGAGCCAAAGTGGGGAGCAGAACAGGCAGAAGGACCGAAGTACACTGCTGAGGGGAGCAGCGGGTGGCAGGAGAGGTCTGCGTACCATGTGGGACCCTCGCTCGGCGGCCAGGGATCGAACTGGCGCTGCAGAGGCTGCGGGCAGCTTCGCAGCCCAGCACTCAACCACTGCGTCACCAGGGAAGGCCCTCTTTCTATATCTTGATCCCATCAAGTTTGTTCTTGCTTAGGGACTTTATACCACCTCGTCCCTCTACCTAGAATATTCTCCCTTCCAAAATCTTCACATGGTTGGCTCTTTCCTGCTCTTTGGAACTGAGCTGAAATGTCACTTCTTCAAGAGAGGCCTTCTCTAATTCCCCATTCTGAGTAGCAAGCCAGTTACTTTGTATCACATGACCTTCTTTTAATTTCCTGCTCAGCATTAACTACTACCTGATATTTCTCATACATACTATTTCTTCATGTCTGTCTCCTCCTATTACAATGTAAGCTCCATAACAGCAGGGACCTTGCTGGTTTTTCTCACTGTATCCCTGTGTCTAGCCCAGTGCCTACACCATAGTAAGAGCTCGATAAATTTGTTGAATGAATGCATGAACATAGGAGATAAACTCTTCCAGGAAGCTGCTTTTCCCTAGACCTGCGTGGCTCACCCATCATATAGTATAAGCTATTTTGCTGCTGTAAATCACTGAGAAAGAAGAAAAGAATGGCTGCTAATATAAAAGCACAAAGACAATCACAGGGAAACAAAAAGTAGTACAGATGATATGTACACAGATAATTTCATTCCCAAATCATATTTCTCTCCACCTTCATTACCAGGCAGTTCCTTAGTTCAAGCCAATACCATCTCTTGGCCATATCAGGCCACTCCTCTTCTCTTGCCCCACACAATCCATCCTCCACACTGCAGCAGAAGAGACCTTCTTTAGACACACTTTGAATCGTCACATCCCTGCTCAGAATCCACTGTGCTTAGGGTAAAATTTAACCAAACTAAACAAAAACCAAACTAAACAATAAACCTTACCATTGCTTAAAATGTCTGGTAGCTCTCCAGTGTGAATTTATTTTTTTTTTAAAGATTTTTTTTTTTAATTATTTATTTATACAAGCACTGGGTACAGTCAGAAGCGCAGGACGGTGAGAGTTCACCAGAGCCAGAGCGGGGAACAGAGCAGGCAGACAGACAAAGTACACTGCTGAGAGGAGCAGTGGGCGTGGCAAGAGAGGTCTGCTCTCCATGTGGGACCCTCGCTGGCGGCCGGGGATTGAACCGGTGCTGCAGAGGCTGCAGAGCCTGCAGAGGCTGCGGGCAGCTTCGCAGCCCAGCACTCAACAGCTGCGCCACCAGGGGAGGCCCTACAGTGTGAATTTATTGCCCATATTCAATACTGCTCATCACACTGGGTTTCTGTTTCTCTATTTCCTAAAGTCTTTCTTAGAGAAAGGCTTTAGAACATACTATTTTCTGGTTGGAAATGTCTTCTTTTCTTCAGACTTCAAGTCTGAATGAAATCATTGCTTTTTCAAAGAGTTCTTCTCTTGCCTTTCAATCTAAATTAACTTCCCTTGTTATATATCTCATAATATTCTGTATGTCATTTTCCACCAGTAGTTGGTTTGGTGGTTATTTACTATATGGCTTCCCCATTACACTAGAACCTTCGTGAGAGCAAAAACCATATGTGTTTGATGTTTTGCTTGAATTCCTAAACCACAAAAGCTCCTACTTAGTATTTCTAGAGTGAATGAATCAGCAGGCAGTCAGGGGCATAACATGTAGAATAGACAGAAGCAGAATTAAAGCAATGTATAATATTATCTTGCCCAATCTTCATCATTCATCACAGGGGAGCATCTGTCTTCCATCTGTTCCCATTCATTATTCTCTGATAGTTAAGATCTAAATGAAAATTGAAAGCTAAGGGATTGGTTAAGAGGTATATATATATTTTTTTTTAAAAAAACATATTTTTAAATATATATTTTCTTTTTTTTTTAATTCTTTTTTTTTTTTTGGTTAAGATTTATTTATTTATACAAGCACTGGGATACAAGCCAGAGGCGCAGGAGGGTGAGAGAATTCACCACAGACAGAACAGGGAGCAGAACAGGCCGATCTACTGAAACACACTGCTGAGAGGAGCAGCGGGCAAGATAGGAGAGGTCTGCCGCGCCATGTGGGAATCTCCCTGGCCGGCCGGAAATTGAACCCGTGCTGCAGAGGCTGTGGACAGCTTCACAGCGCTGCGCTCAACCCGCTACGCCACCAGGGAGGCCCAAGATGTATATATTTTAGGAAGAACTTGAGAGATCCTTCTCTCAAAAAAGGCAAGCTATGCAATATGGAGAAAAAGGTCTTGTAGGATAAAAAGATATCAAACCTGAATGAACGCTGAGCCCACTTCTCCTGATCCACACGAGGCGCTAATCCAGACTTTCCAGCCCACAGAACATTGTCACAGGCGAAGTACAAGGCTCGGTTGAGGTGACTAACGGTGATGCAGAATCTCAGGACAACGTCTGACAGGTGCACCGCTCGCTTGGCTGACTCAAGGGCATCTGCTGAATTACCCAGGCGCAGAACTGGTGGAATTGGCAAGGAAAAGTAAGGATTTGGAAGTAGAGCGGCAAACAGAGAGCAAATCACACAGAGAGAAGGCAAGAGGGTAAAAGTCCAGCAGTGACAGAAACAATAGCATAACTTAAAAAAATTAAAGAGCAGAAACCCTTTTTTTAACTTCAAATTTTAATTAGTGTCACAGTTCAGTTTCCCTCAATTTGCCCCATACTCTTCAATCCCTTAGGGCTCCCCTACCCTGTTCTCATATCCCAACTGGGAGGCACCGAGGGGTAAACGTGAAGGCAGGGAAGGAGGGTAAAGAAGGGAGCAGAGGGGCCTCCCTGGTGGCACAAGGGATTAAGCACAGCACTATGAGGCAATCCGCAGCCTCTGCAGCACGAGTTTGATCCCCCTGCCAGCCAAGGAGCAACCCACATGGTGAGGCAGACCTCTCTTCACTGGCTGCTGCTCCCCTCATCAGTGTACTTCAGTCAGTCTGCCTGTTCTGTTCCCTGCTCTGTCTCTGGTGAATCCTCTCACACCCCCGCATCTCTGGCCTGTACCCCAGCTCTTAGTAAGAAAGGCACGGCTACTTACGCTTTCTTCCTAGGCTCAGATGACCCTCCAGTTGACGAATCTGTTTCTGCAACTCAGGACTGGCCCCGTGTTTCTGCAGCGCGTGGCCAAGAAGGCAGCAGGCATACTGCGCGGCCCTGGAGAAGAGAGCAGACAGGTAAGACGGAGACCTCCCCGGGCTCCCCAAAAATGTCCTCCAGCACGGCCTTTCCCCTTCCCCAGCTGAGATCATCTCCTGGCCTCCTCGCCAAGCCCATATCTCACCGTTTCTCCTCCCGGCCAGAGGAAGGGAAAAGCTTAGGGATGGAAGAGAGCGCAAAGGTAGCAGGGGGCACTGCTCGGAGCTGAGAAAACGGGAGGTTTGGCAACGAGGGGGCCTAAAGGGACAGGGAAGCGGCGCGGGGTCCGTCGCGCGCGTGAGGCAGGAGGGCGGGGGCCGCGGGCGGCGGGCTACTCTCCGGACCGGGAGGCGGGCGGTCCCGGGGCCTGCGCGGGGGCGGGGCGGGGCGTCCCGGGGGCAGCCGGCGCGGAAACTCGGCGTCCCGGAGCCTGGGCCGCTCCCGCGGCGGGCGGACGCGCGTTTCCCCACCGCCCCGCGAGGGAAGTGCCGGCCTCACGCGGACGCGGCCTCCCCGCCGGCCCGCGCGTGCCTCAGCGCCCCCATCTTCCCCGCGGGCGCGAACACGCGTCTCCTCAGGGCCGCCCGGGTCGCGCCCCGAGGGCCGTGCGGGCCCCCGTAGCCCGGGCTGACCCGCGCTCGCCCCGGAGCGCCGTGACCGCGCCCGCGAGGGTCCCCCGCCGCCCGCGCCCGCCGCCCGCGCCCGCCGGGCCGCACCTGCACAGCCGCTCGCGGGCCTGGCTCTGCGCGCTGAAGCGGACCCAGGAGTCCATGACAGCGGCGGCCCCGGCTCCGCAGCGCCGCCCCGCCCCTGGGCACGCCTCCCGGGCCGCCCGACGGGGCCGCGCGAGGGACAAACGTCATCGGAACAGAAAGCGAGCGGCGCGGCCACTTGAACGGGGCTCCAGGGCGAAAGCGCCGTCTCTGGGCGGGCACTGCGGGGCGTCCCCGCCGGGGCGCTCTCCTCCCCGCCGGCCTCCCGGGCCTCAGCGCGCCGCCGCGGGCCTTCTCCTTTAAATCCCTGCCGGGGGCGGGGCCTGCTGCGGGACGGGGGCGGGGCCTGCTGCCGGGGCGGGGCCTGCTGCGGGGCGGGGGCGGGGCGGAAGGCTGCAGTGTCCCGCCACCCGCGCGGACCGTGGCCCCGGGTGCATCCCGGGATCCCCCCAGCACACGCACACGCACACACACACCCCAGCACGCCCGCACGCTCGGGCGCGTGCAGGACTTGGGGCTAAAGAGTTAGATGGACGCAGAAGCCAGCAGCGGACCCGTTCCCTGAACGACCCTGACCATAGGACAGGTGCCCTCCAGAATACTGATGGAGAGTCTGCAGAGACAGAGCCTTAGTGGACGAAGTGCGCAGTAACCAGCTCCAGATTCCACATAGGAGGGCGACGAATCAGGGGTCGAAGCTGGCCTCTTCATCCCCCACCGCCCCTTCCTGCTCCAGGGCAACATGTCTGCTGCCAACAGCACCCCTTGGGGATCAGCAGCGGGGGAGGAGGCCTGGGCGGGTTCAGGAGTAGAGGTGGAGGGCTCAGAGCTGCCCACCTTTTCAACTGCAGCCAAGGTCCGAGTAGGAGTGACCATTGTACTGTTTGTTTCTTCGGCCGCAGGAAACCTGGCCGTGCTGTGGTCAGTAACGAGGCCGCAACCCACCCAGCTCCGCCCCTCTCCAGTCCGGCGACTCTTTGCCCATTTAGCAGCTGCCGATTTACTGGTCACTTTTGTGGTTATGCCCCTAGATGCCACCTGGAATGTCACCGTTCAATGGCTGGCCGGGGACATCGCATGTCGGACACTCATGTTCCTGAAACTAATGGCCATGTATGCCGCAGCTTTCCTGCCTGTGGTCATTGGGCTCGACCGCCAGGCGGCAGTACTGCACCCGCTTGGACCCCGCTCAACTGGAAGGAAACTTCTGGGGGCAGCCTGGGGACTTAGTTTCCTGCTTGCCTTGCCCCAGGTGAGTGATTTGTTGGAACTCAAGGCTAGACAAGAATTTGGGTACATAGCATGGTCCTTTGAAATTTAGGTGTGCTTGGCAGTGGTCAGCCACTAATCCTCACCGGTTACCTGTGCTCTCACTTTTGCAAGATAAGATCATGGCATTTTAATTTGTTTGGTAAGAGTCTATCTCTTAAAAGCAGTACCCAGTACCTTCGGCTTTGCTTTACACTTGGTTTCCACTTCATTGCATCTCCCCTCGCACCTGCTTCAAGGGATTGTTGCAGAGTAACTCTGGGGCAGGAAGGAAACCTATGTGGGGGGCTATTAATAGGACAGCTAAGTCAAGGCCTTTGGATAACTCTTTATGGTACATTCATTCATAGACTCAAAAAATAATATGCATCATTCCCAGACAAATTCAAATGCTAAAGATAGAGCAACAAAGTCATACCTTCAAGGAATTTAGACTAGGGTAGGAGGCAATCTAGTACAAAATTACGAATCAGTGTGTGGTCAAGTTATGTTCAAGGTAAGCAGAAGGAGCTAAAGAGCAACGGGGAGTCCAGGGAAAGGCTCCCTGAGATGTTAAAATTTGATTCTTGCCAGACAGATGTTAGGTAAGTTAAAGTAGAAGGAATGCTGGGGAAGGAGATTGAGAATCTCAGTCTCAAAGTGGTTGCAGCTAAAGTTGAGGGCTAGAAAACGGTGAATAATGAGCCTGGAGGGGGGCAGGAAGGCCTTGATTACAAATATCATTTGTACTTTTTCCTGAAGGCAGTGAACAGACATGAAAGTAAAAGGCAGAGTGACATCATCAGATCTGTATTCTTTATTCTGATTATGGTGGAATGGGGGTAAGAACTGGAGAAAGCATCTGAACTTAATATCAATTAATCAAGATTCAATAATGAAACTGAACTAGAAATCTAGAAAAGGGCAAAATGTAAAGCAGTCCCTTAAAAATAAAACCACTACTGCCCTCTGGGGGAGTTGAGTGTATCTTGGGGACAAGGATTAACATCACATCTGGTAGGAGCCGTGATTTCAATGTCTGGAATGACAGTGCATTATAGAGACAGATTTAAGATAGGATACTAGATCTAAAAAGGTAGTCTGACTATAGTTCTAGGACTATATATAGTCTTCCAACAATATGTTGGAAACAAGATTTCTGCCACCCCAGGCTTTTAAAATCCTGGGGTATTGCAATGCAAAAGCAATTAGTTGGGTTTATATAAAGCAAATTTTAGATATGGACTGGGAGTCAGAAGCCTGTTTTTCTTGCATCGAATGCTTGTTTTGTTTTTTTTAAGTCTAGGTTCTACCAATAACTATATGGTTGGGCGAAATCACGTGAAACCCATGGGCCACAAGATGGTGAAAGATTAAATTCATCGCGAAAACTGATAATCTGGTAGTAATTGCAATCTCCATTTGCTTCAAGGGCAAACTGGTGATGATTCTATGATTCCTGTGCAAAAGGTGACATTTTGGTTCCAAATGAGAGTCCTCTTGCATAGGGTCTGCATTGTCCATAGACTATTTAAAATATTAACATTAATAGGGCCTCCCCTGGTGGCGCAGGCGGTTAAGCGCAGCACTGCAAAGCTGTCTGTAGCCTCTGCAGCACAGGTTCAATCCCGGACAACTGTAGAGATCCCCACAGGGAACGGCAGACCTCCTCTGTCTTGCCTGCTGCTCCCCTCAGCAGTGTATTTCAGCCAGTCTGCCTGTTCAGGTCCCTGCTCTGTCTCTGGTAAATCCTCTCACCCTCCTGAAATCTGGCCTGTACTTGTATGCATGAATAAAATAAATCTTTAAATATATATATATTAAGGTTAATAAAAGGTTCTTTTGTTTAAGCATGGTGTTAGTGCTATGAGGGAGTTTGAACTATTTTTGTAGGCTTAATTTTCCAAGTATCAGAAATAGTTGAAAGGAAGGTTTCTTGAGTCAAAAGTGGTAAATTGTATACAAGGCAAAGAAAAAAAAACAAAACAAAATAGGGTAAGAAGAGGCAGAAGAAAGATTCTGAACTAAAACTATAATTCCAGGAGCCATGCCTTTTTTTAAAACTCCTTCTCACAATGTTTCAGTGCCTCCCCCAAAACCCCAGACATAGATGAACTCAAGAGAGGGAGAAAGACCACTCCCCAACCATTTTAGAGTAGGCTGGTCAGAACCCCAAGCAGCTCATGAAATAATATGTCTATGGCCAATGCTATTCATCTTTCCTATGTCCCTCATGCCTGCTGAAATCATTTTCCAAATACCTTATATCTAGGAATCTGATACCTACTGAGCTTGCCTTTTATCAAATAGTGATTTAATATATACTACCTTGTCCCAAATACCCTGAAGTTCTCAGCAGAAAAATACTGTACTAATGCAAACCCAAATCCAAAAGGGGAGGGGGCAGTTAGCAGCATTTGGAAAATGGAAAATTTTATTTAGCTTAAATGGTGAACATTGTTTCACCATTATACTGTCTACGACTATTATAGTCACTTCACAGAATGGCTGCAAAATGGCCTGAAATTTTAGCAACATCCACTTTATACTTTTTTCCACAGAATTAATCAGAAACATTAGGAAAATCATTTCAGCTAAAAATGTTGGTAAGGTGGTAGATATTCCTTTAAAAAGTACAAGGTCAGAATAGAATTTGAGAAGGCAGGATTAAGTTTCAGGATTTAACAAACTAATCAGCTCCATCACCTAAGGGGAAAACAGGGGTTTTCAAGTTACATTTCCAACCTTTTAAAAATGAACCACAGATGAACCACTACTCAGCACTGCATTGCGCTGCATAGATTTAAGGATGAAATGAGCAGAGACCATGTGACTGATGGGTAGTTTATGGAGGGAAGAAGAGGGGAACCGGTTCTAATAATCCTCAACTCCACTCCAGCTGTTCCTGTTTCATACTGTCCACCGAGATGGGCCAGTCCCTTTCACTCAGTGTGTCACCAAAGGCAGCTTCAAGGCTCACTGGCAAGAGACCACCTATAACCTTTTCACCTTCTGCTGCCTCTTTCTGCTCCCACTGACTGCCATGACCATCTGCTATAGCCGCATTGTCCTCAGTGTATCCAGTCCCGGGACAAGGAAAGGGAACCATGGTGAGACTTCAATCCACAAGCCCTATACATGCCCTAAACCATTGCCTGTAGTCTCGTTTACTTCTCTGATAGCTATCAGTCAAACCAAAAGCGAGATCCTAACCATAGCTCTAATACCCAATGCTGCACGTAATTCTGAATGTCTTCAGGTCTAACCAGCCTCTGAACTCTTGGATGCCATCAAGTTTTAAAGTAGACTTAGCAGCTTCCTATGACATAGCACCTCAATAAAAACCTTGTCTCCAGCTTATCCATCATAATCCCTGGGGGAAGGGAGGCTACAGTTCCAGCATCAGTTTACAGCATCACCTCCTGTTTGCAGTATTCTCATCCACACAGGGGGCAGCTCCATCCCACTCTCTCTGTCCATCCATCAACCACCATATTTTAAGTCAGAAAATGAGTGGTTCTGAATAAGTATATTTTCTAAATTTTCAGCCCATGCCGGTGAATTTGCCCTACGCCGCTCCTTAGACAACCGCCCCCGTGTTCGTCTGCGGGCCCTGCGACTGGCCCTGCTTGTTTTGCTGACCTTCGTCCTCTGCTGGACACCCTATTACCTGCTAGGTCTGTGGTACTGGTTCTCTCCCACCATGTTAACTGAAGTTCCTCCCAGCCTCAGCCACATCCTTTTCCTCTTTGGCCTTCTCAATGCTCCTCTGGATCCTCTCCTCTATGGGGTCTTCACTCTGGGCTGCCAAAGAGGGCACCATGAACTGAGCATAGACTCCTCCAGGGAAGGAGGCTCTGGAAGAATGACCCAACAGGAGATTCAAGACCTTAGACAGCTGGAAGTACAAGGAAATGTGCCAGCAGGAGAAACAACAGAGACATCCCTATAACATCCATTTGCTCTGGACAGAGTATAAAAGAACAGAGCAATTCTTTAAAACCATGAACTATCTCACTTCTATCCCCACTTTCTTAGCTTCCAAGAAAAAGAAATACCAGACAGTATCTCTATTTCATCCCTACCTTAGACTTGAGACTCTATATTATATAGAAACTTCATAGGGGAAAGTATTTTCACAGTGACCCATATTGCCTTGCTATAAATAGTGCTTCCGAGCTAGCAGTGTTAGAAAAGGTAATTTTAAATGTAGAAAACAAAAATGGGACAAAATTTATTCATAATTCCAAAGATACACTCAGCAAGTAGGGTAAGAGATTAAATATAAACACAAGAGTTCCACCCCAGCCCTTTCTCCAAGGCAGCATGGGCAACTGGAATCTCTGGAGAGAACACCTGGACAAGTGAGAACCAGTCAGCGACGTCTCCGGTCTGGACTCCTGCTGCGCCTTCGGCCACCTCTAGGGAAAAGGTGGGAGGAAAGGTTTGTTAGAGGGATGAAATACAATGTTCTTATCATTCCACTCACATTCTTTCACTAAAATAGTGTTTGCCCTCTCCACTTTACCTCCTCTTGCCCTTGGGTGGACCCCGAACAAAACACCAATCCACGCTGATGGGCTGTCCCATCAAATCTTGGCCATTGAGTCCCTCCATAGCAGCCTGGGCCTCTTTGTATGTTTCATACTCAACTAGAGTATATCCCTGGGGCAAATGAAAAGACAGATATCAAAACCTTCCTGTTCCACCAAGCATCAATGATCTTCTTCCTCAAATGTAAATCTCAAACACAAAAACCTATAAACTTTAAAGAATGAATGTACATCACATATCCCTACTGTACATTTTGTGTCTCTGTCTGTCTTTGTTATGTCTAACAAATTCAACTTCCACTATCATTTTATTTCAGTTGTGTGCTTACACAGAGCAAACATGAGAGCACTACCAACGCTGTCTAAAGGGCTGTGGGTGGGGCCTCCCCGGCGGCGCAGCGGTTGAGCGCTGGGTTGCGAAGCTGCCCGCGGCCTCCGCGACGCCGGTTCGATCCCTGGCTGCTCCCCGGCCACCGGAGGAGGGTCCCACATGGTGCGCAGACCTCTCCTGCCGCCCGCTGCGCCCCTCAGCAGTGTACTTCGGTCCTTCTGCCTGCTCTGCTCCCCGCTCTGGCTCTGGTGAATTCTCTCACCCTCGCGCGCTTCTGACTGTACCCAGTGCATGTATAAACAAACAAATAAATAAATAAACATGCCTCTAAAAAAAGAAATAATAAAAAAAAAATAAAAAAATAAAAAAAATAAAGGGCTGTGGGTGAAGAAAAACAACAGTGTCACTTAGGATACCTTCAAGTATCCTGTCCGCCTGTCCAAGTTGAGGTGGATGTTTTTTATTTCCCCGTACTCTGCAAATTTGTCATGGATGTCTTCTTCGGTTGCTTCCTCATGGACTCCAGTGACAAAGAGAATCCAGCCTTCAACAGCTATTGGGGAAGGGAGGAAGTTGTTTGAACACATGAGAGAAAAATTCCAAGATCACAAGAGTGGAACGAGTGTAGACTACAGAGAAAGCTTAAGTTATCTCTGATCTCATCTCTACTAAGTTTTATATTATTGGCCCCTAATTCTCTACAAAGATCACTATGGGATTCATTTTACTTACAGCGTTGTGGTCCAGGTTCATCACCATCCTGCTCCACGCTGTCATAATCTTCACGCATCCGCGCTCGGGAACCCTCTTCTAGAAGAGAGACACAAGCGATCAACAGAAATCCCTCCTCCCAATATCCATCAAGAGTCTGAATGGGGACTCCAAAACGCTTAGCGCTGGCCAATCTAAACCACTCTACCTCGTTTTCCCTACAAATACTCACCAGAGCCAAAGCCGCGACCCTTCCGTTTCTTCGCTTTTTCTTTCAGTTTATGGATGCTCTCTAGGGCCCCAAAAGTGAAAAAAAAGTTAATAGCATAGTTATTTTTTTAAGATGTATTTATTTATACAAGAACTGGGGTACAGGCCAGAGGCACGGGAGGGTGAGAGAATGCACCAGAGGCAGAGTGGGGAGCAACAGGTAAATTGACTGAGATACACTGCTGAGGGGAGCAGCGGCGGCAGAGGAGAGGTCTTCCGGGCCATGTGGATATCTCCCTGGCCGGCCGGGAATCGAACCCGTGCTGCAGAGGCTGCGGACAGCTTCACTCGCCGCGCCACCGGGGCGGCCCAATAGTAGTTATTTTTTAAGTCTCTTTCCCAAAACACTGGAGAGCGGACCCCACCGCCTCCAGCCTCGTCCCGCCCCATTCGTCCCAAAGGGGGCGGAGTCTCTTATTCATCAGGGACGCGCTACCCCGTGGGCACGGTCCTCCCTGCCGCGCGAAGGGAGGACATGCTTTCCCATCACGCCCTTCTCTCGCACCTTCCCCGCTTCCCGCAGCCGCCTCCACTGCCCTCACCGTCCCCATCCTCGTCCATGGCGAAATCCTCGCCCCCGGCCTCATGAAGATCCAGCACGTCCGCCATCTTGCCTCCGCTCAAACTCGGCCGTACCGCTCGTCTCTAGGTACCTCGGGAAACTGTCGCGGAGGGGAAGGGTCGCGGGTTAAGCTGACCAATCAAAAGCTAGCGTCAGGCCACGCCCTCGGCGCGGTGAAAACACGCAATGGGGCGGGCCTGGTCCGCGAAGGTGCCGGAAATGGCCTCGGAGCCATCTTGGTCCGCTGGCGAGCCGAGTGTTCCCGCGCCGTGACGAGCTGGCGGGCGTAGGCGGGGCCCGTGGCTCCCCCTTAGCGGGCGGCTGACGAGAAACTACTGACACAAGCTCAGCCTCCCTTATTAATCAGAAGGTCGCTGTCTGTTTCTTTTCACCCCCAAACTAGGAGTTGGAAGTTGAAGATTTTTTTTTTTCTCTGAAAACCTCCAGTCTTGTACCCTATTTGGAGAAGCAGCGGGATCTGCCATCTACACGCTAAAAAAACAAAGTTTATTCAGCAGCGCTGACTCAAAGAATTTGCCTCTGGAACTTACTGCATCACCAAATACCTCTCTTAGGGAAACTAACAGACTTGATTGTCGGTAAAATACAATTGATAAGACATATAGGAACTTTTTTTTTTTTTTAATGAAGAAACTCAGACATCCCCACTACCTCTTGGAATGTGAAAGGGGGGAAAAGCGACTTAAGCTAATTCAGAACTTAAGCTTTGAGGATGGTTGCAAGTATTTCACGTTTAAAAACCTGAGTTAAGGCAAAATTCATTGCCCCCGAATTCTGGGATCCCAAGTAGACCGTCAACAAAGTGGACTGTGGGTTCATTGGTTTATTAATTTTTTTATCAAACAGTTAAGAATGTTTTATGTGCGTCCAGTCTTAGGGACGTGCTGGCAATACAAGAAAAAATAATTGCTTTATTAACAGTCACTTTATAGTTACTTTATGAAAGTGATATTGCTGTCACAGAGCTTCGGTAGTACAAAAGAAGTTTCTAAAGGGACTGGAATAAGGAGAGGTGATGTGAAAGAGGGCTCCCTTTGAATGGGCCTTTAAGGCTCTGTAGCTTTCCAGCAAAGTGGTTATATTGAGACTAGGAGACACTAATCCATTTTCCACAATGGATAATGTGATTTTAAAAAAAAATTCATTTTCGTCCTAACCCTACTAAAAAGGCTTCCTTAACTTATTTTTGCACTTAGAATAAAATTTAGACTCACTGTCTGTCTGCCTATGTCTCCAGCTTCTTCCACCACCATTGTTTCTTCTCACTTAGGAGCTCTCCCTACACTTTCCCTCAACATATCATATGCTCTTTCCCATCAGGATTTTTGCAACTTTCTACCTGATGCTCTTACTTCTTCACATACCCAGTTCAACCACATCTTTTAGGTCTCCCTAAAAGTCACCTCAAGGGAACTTCTGTACTCTAATATCCTTCCTTGTTTATTTCTTTCACAGATCTTAAATTCAAAACTTTAATGACCTTTACTTTCTAACTTGTTTATTATCTGCTTTTCCCATTAGGATGTAATCCTAATGGCAGAGACACTTATTTACAACTATATCCCCAAAGTTCAGACCAGTGCCTGGTTTATAGTAACATTTGCAAAATACTTATTGAATGAGTATTAGAACTGCAAGAAATTCTGTATGCCTGACTATATAACTAGGAAATAAAACTAGAAGTATAGATTAGGGTTAAATTTTATGTCATGCTAAGGATTTTGGAATTTATCTGATAGGCAAGAAATTTCTCTACTCAGAGTATTTGTGATTTTTAACATTTGCAAATAACCCCATGCTACTTTTTGATTAGTATTTTTCCTTAGGTAGAACGAGTTTTAAAATTAATTTACACTAAATATCACGGCCATGAATTGAAGTCTGTATTTTTCTACTACCATTCAGATAAAACCATAACCTAGTAAAAATAAAAAATGCTTGCCCATCTGCCACCTAAAATCATCTCAAATAATAACAAGGGTTCATATATAAAACTTTGGGAGATGCTGCTGAAGGTAAGATTAGCTAAGTGATGGTTTCAGCTAGGGATTGTTATGTCATAAATATTTTTGAAAGAAATCTGACTGGAGAATATTAAGAGTGAAGACAGACTAGTGAGGATGTTACTGCAGTGTTTCAGTTTTGAGACCATAAAGAACTGAATCACAGCAGTAGATACGGACAAAACAATTAGGAAGTTTTATAGGAGCTAAACTCCACAGTAAATGAATGATTAGATGACATTAGGGAATAGTTGATAGATCTGAGTTTTTGGTTAGATGATTGGGTCGTAAATAATTCTAACAACAGGATTTGGGAGTCAAACAGGAGCACCTATGGATGAAAGGGTTTTATTTTGGACATGTGAGCAAAGAGCTTGTGTCATATTTGGGTGGTGATGTCCAATATGTGGCAATATAGACGAAAAATTCAAAACAGATTGGGGTGAAAAAACAGATTTGAGAATTGTGTGTCTGGGAAGAGTTTGATCCACCATAGTGCGTGGGATTGCCGGGAGAAATGGATAGAGCTTGAGGAGAAAGGGCAAAGGACAAAATCCAGGCTCCTCAAATGCCCAGGGAAAAGAAGGCAGAATGCCTTACTCCAGCAGTACAATCTTATTTCTGTCATCCAAAAAGTACTAATAAAAGTTCTTTTCCAGAATATATGTAAAAGAAAGGATCATTTTCAAGCTCCTCTGATACACTGGCCTCAAGAAAGAGTCAATTTTGCTTTCCAGACAAAAGTCTATTTTTAATTGTATAAAATTTACAATATAAAATACATAGAAAGTACTAAAAAGATGTGTAAAATCTTTAGCACCAAAAGTGGACAGATCAGGAAACAATTTTTCTCAAGTTCTTTGGGATCTTACTTGTTGGTATTTGAGAAAACATAATAAATCCAGAAGGTGCAAGGAAAAGTTCTTCCCACAACTCACACCCCTTAACATGTCCCAGAGAAAGGAATACAGGAAAAATGAGGATTTGTGACTTCCGAATTATAAACATCAATAAAAACTGAATAGACACACACACACCTATTATTTAACGGCGGAGCCTCTACTTCAACTCTACGTGTGCTTCGGAATATAGAGTGGGGGCTTGGAGAATTCATGAAAGCCCTTACAAGCATTAACACAATTGTTATTAGATTCCTTACCTCTCACATGTGCTGGTCACCAAGATCATTTCAAAATCAAGAATGCTGAGTTTCATCTTGTCCCTATCTGATCCAAAAGCAAATTGTGGCCTGTTTCCTAACCTAGTTCTAGAAGCAAAGTATATAAGTAAACAGCAGGAGCATTAAACTTCCCAAAATCAGTTTAGAAAGTGCACTGAGCACTATATACTATAAAGAAGATTTCAGAAAAAAGGGGGAAAATAAATTTTTTGTAGAAACCTACAAAACATTCTCCCAAGGAGGAATGCTTTAGCTATATTTCACATGATTTCCTCCTATTTCACCCAGGAGACAGGCTGGGGAAGACAACTGTATTAAAAACATAAATAGCTGATCATTGGTTTTCTTTCCTCTCCTGCAGTTTTCCCAGATTGCAATTAGGAAGTGGCAGATGCCAAAGTCTCATCTAATTTTCCTGATCAACTCATCCTCTTAATAATCAATGTGAAGGAAGAGGAAAAACAGAGAAAACAAATGGACTCTAAGGTATGTACATCTAAGGTAGTAAACAGCAGCAGCTTCTTGGGAGTGAGAGAAACTTGGCTCTCACCAAATAGGAACAGATCTTGTTTCCAAAGAGCAAAATGATGGGAGGGGTGAAGGTGAAAAATATGTTCCACCTTCCACCAACCTCTGCAGGCAGGCGGGTCTAAATACAGGGCTTACCACGCTGCTTTAGCAGGGGAAGAGGCGTGAAAAGGGAATATTGAAAGATAAGCAACTTCAACCCTGACCCCTTCTGTGGTGTAGGGTACAGCTGGTATCTATGCCCCAGAAGCAATTTAGGTGATAAACCCCCAGGAATTTGGTTTACAGTGCTTCCCTGTTCCTGGGCAGTTTCTCAGCAATGATTTTTTAAAACAAGAAACTGGATCTCCACTTCCAAATAATAAAGTAAGGGAATCTTAAAATGAAGTACCACTTGGGGGAAAAGAAGGAGAAAGTAGTGGTGGGCAGGGCATGGTGTAGGTGAGGACATACTTAGATACTGGAGGAACAACCATGTACTGAGCAGGCCCAGATCAAGAAAATCCAAAGCCAAAGGCTTATTTTTACCCTGTTTGAGCTGAGAAAGCAGGAGTAAGAGTGGGGCATTCTCACATTGTCCCCATTCAAGCATCCTATTATTTTTAAAGAAGAACCATGAACCCTTAGTCAGTCGTTTTGTGCTACTGAAATGCCTATACAGAGTTACTGGGAGTATAAGAGCCAACAAAACCCCAAAGATAATCTGCTCTCCTGGTACAGTGCAGTGGAGATGTTTCAAATAAAGCTATGTTCAAAAACTAGAAGTAAGAAACGGGATCTCTTAACAAATAGGAATCCAGGTATAGAATTTATACATATATATGGGTTTTTTAAGTATAAAATTGAGAAAGTATGTACAGAAATCATACTAAGTCTTAGAAAGGATGTATAAAAAAGGATTTGGAGAGGAGCGGGAGTGTGTGGTGTGTGCTTAGCAGTTGGATGGATGCATATTGCCCAACTGCCCAGCAGCCAGCACGAGAATATCTTTCTTCTCCTTATGGAAGCGCAGCTCCTTGCCTGCCAGCCGGGCTTCGTCTAGCTCCTGCTCAGTCGAGGCCAGCTCTCGAGACAGTGCCCCTGGCACGCTCTGCTCCCGGCTCACCCAGTCCAGTGCCATTTGGTGGCGAATATCATCGTCCAAGGCGCGGTGGGAGTAATGGGCCAGCACTTCCTAGAGTGGAAGGGCAACGCGTCAGTCACTGATGAGGTAAGGTTCATACCACACTGACCCGGCTGGGACCAGGAACTTTTGGCTTTGGAGTCCTAACTCAAGTCAGCCCTGAGGTCCCTGTTTTCCCTGATTATCAGGGAAAACTTACTCGTGTATCAGGCAAAAGAATCACAGTTATGATTTAAAGAGGAGTGAAAAGGGCACTTTCCGGTGAAAAGGTTTTTCAACATTCACAACCTGATAACCATCTCCTGCTTATTTCTAACATAGCAGCTACCACCAGACTCCCCTCGCCCATAGGATCTCTTACCTGCCGAGAGCACTGTCTTTCCCTCATGGCCTTAAGGCTGCCATTCCAGTGCAGCAGTTGAAAAACTGTCATTAGCTCCTGGAAGAAGATTGGACATGCCAGGACAGTGATTTTGTACGGGGAGGCTACATCAGATTACAGGGGAACAAGCCTTGTACAAAATATGTTTGTGGAAGCATCTCATATACCAATTCTGACATGCCATTCAGGGAAGAAAGAAATTTATAGTTTGAAAAATATTCTGACAACCTTCTTCCTTCCTTTCCAATGCAGTGCCAATGAGTTAGGGATTTATAGGAGGCATATGTAGGTATCAGCAGGCTGACCCGTGGCACAAGGAGCTGCGGACAGAGGTGGAATAGTACCTGGAACTCCAACATTGACTTGCCCTTATTGGATTCCAGCATGAATCGGAAGGCACCAATCCCAGTATTTGGGTTATCAGCTTCCTCCCTGTTTCCCTAGTAACAGAGAGAAGGAAAAGACAAATAGATTTTCAATAAGGATTATCACTTCAGAAAGCACTATCCAGTAGAAATATAACACAAGCCATGTGTTTAATTTTAAATTTTCTAGTTGCCACATTAAACTAAAAATAAATAGTAAAATTAATTAATAGCATATTTTAACCTAATATATTCAAAATATTCTTTCAGCTGTAATTAGTATGAAAAGTAATAATGAACAACTTTGCATTCTTTTTCTTACACTAAGTTGTTGAAAGCTGGTATCTCTCTCACACTTATGGCACATTTCTTTTCACACTAACCACATTTCAAGTGCTCAACAGCTGTGTATGGCTGTTCTGCTGGTCAGCAGAGACCTGTGAACTCCAAGATCATCAGGCATTTTAACTTGGAGCACAGAGAAAGGTGAATCTGATTTTCCGTGTCTTACACAGGGGGAGCACTGAGTCATAGAAGAGTCCTGGTTTGGCTACAACAGAAGAGCGAATTCAATATGCAGAACTGGGTTAGCATAGAGGACAACCAGGCAAATGTATTTTAAAGGCAGAATATGGGAGCCATAAGCATGGCAAATTCTGGGTAGCAGTTTGGTTTCCGATACATTTGCCAATTTTGTCTTCTATTAGTCACACAACCTTGCAGGGGTAGAACTAAAATACACTGTCCTACCTGATACACAGCCCCACCTACAAGCCCAAGGTGTGCGAAAATCATACAGAGGAGAAGTTAAGAGCATGGAAGGGAGCGCCTGTTAGTTTTGTGAGGCTTCACCTCAGTTCCTCAATTTCATCTGTAAAATGGGAATAATCATACATCTACTTTATAGCATTATTTTGAGAATTAAATAAATTGTTTAGCAATTAGAAAGGCATAAATGTAGTCTAAAATTTTCAATCATATAAATTGTGGGTGCATTATTATACTGAATCTGGTATCCAGCTACACAATTCAAATCCACTCTGGTACTGGCTTCAGTTTGGTGCTATTTGGTGGTTATTTAACATTATTGGGGATAGTTCCAGATCCTGGGGCCAGATGAGACTTCTAGTTTATTCGTGACCTTTATCTCAAGATGATCTATGGAAATAAGGCCAGGAGGCCACTAGGAACAGAGGGACTCGAATTTCTTCTCCTCCTCCTCCCCCCAGCCTCTTAAAATAAGAACTTTATTCTGTTCTTTTTGAGAAAGGGATAGAGGTCAGAAACACATAAAGTTATGTCTAAATTCAGGTTCACATGGGCACTTTCATGGGGCTATACTGTGTGTGTATCACCTCATATAAAGTCAAGAACTTAGTAAGTATACCATTAGTGCTAGCTTACTATTACTTGTTTTCACTGTGCTAGAATTAACAAGAAATCAGAACTACTCAAGATCAAGGCCTCCCTGGTGGCCTAAGGGTTAAAGTCTCAGCACTATCACTGCTATGGACTGAGTTCAGTCCCGGGCCAGAGAGCTGACCCACATGGTGCAGCAGAGTCTTGTCTGCTGCTCCCCTTAGCAGTGTGCTCGAGAAAATCTGCCTGTTCCCACTCTGTCTCTGGTGAATCCTCTCACCCCCACCCCAACCCCACACCTCTGGCCTACACCCCAGTTCTTCTACACAAAAAAAAAAAAAAAAAAAAAACTGCTCAAGATCAATCCATATTGTTTTGTGGCTCATGAGAACAACTATGACACACAAAATTAATCTTTGTGGTGAAGCAAAGATGGCAAAATTTGGATTTAGAAGTGAAAAGCGAGAGGGGGTAAGGAGGGAAGGAGTCTTCACTATTAGGATTTAGGGCTCTGAAGCAAGCAATCTTTTCATTTTGTCTATAGTTATTCAATATCACACCTTATTCTGCACCTGCAAATGTTTCCATGATATGACACATAGAAAATAATGATCATACAGCGGTTGAGAAGAAAAGGGTACATGCAGATCAGTGTATGAATTCTCTCACTGACTGAGCATGCAGGCATGCCTCATGATCATATCTACAGACCGGCATACTATGGGGCAAAGGAATACATCTGCCCCAAACCTTGCTCAGTCCCGAGGCTGAAGGCATCAGTATGCAGCATGTCTGTAACCTGCTGGAGTACACCAGGGGGGCATGACCCATCATTTGGGAGTCCCACTCATATGACACAGCCACACCTAACAGAAACAAGCTCCATTTATTCAATAAACTTTTAATCACAGAGTACTTTATAAGTGGTAGGAACGTTTGACTATAATTAGAAAGGAATTAGAGTTCATTTAATTCAACCTACTTATTTAACAAATGAGGAAACTCAGACCCACAGAAACTAGGTGATTTGTCAAAAGACATAGCATAATATGTCAGATTCAGAACTTTTAAAGAGCAAATGCAAAGAATGTAGACATCACTCTTTACCAATGGCTATGACCAAAATGAGTTATTCTGGAAAGTGGATATTCCACTGGAAATTTAAAGAGGAATACATTAAATTCACAATTTTCTAGGTTAAAGAGGAACAGTGGCATGAGAATAATAGTTTGTTTCTTCAACATTTAACCCCTGGTGGCACAGGGGTTAAGTCGCAGCGCTATCAAGCTATTTACCAGCCACTGGAGCATGAGTTCGATCCCTGGCCAGGGAGCTGACCCACATGGCACAGCAGACCTCTCCTGTCTCCCATTGCTCTCATCAGCAGTGGATTTCAGTAGACCCACCTGTTCTGCTCCCTACTCTGCCTCTGGTAAATACTGGCGTATACCCCAGTTCTTCTATGCATAAATAAATAAAAATAAATCTTAAAAAAAAAAAATTTTGGAGTAGACACTGCCAGTGACCTACTCAACATCTGTCCTCTTCTTTCTAGTATATAGAATCCTTATCTTGTTCTAGTGATCATCCCATGTGCTCAGGGAAGAGTGATTTTATCCCAACTCCAGTTGGTAAATCCTAATCTTTGATTTTAAGGTTGGAATTCTGGGCACTGGGAGGTTGAAGCAAGGTCTGCTGGAGGGCTTCTGAGAAGACTCCTTACTCTCAAAAAGATGGTCTCTGCCTGTCTCTGGGTGTACTTACATCTGTATTTAATGTCTGGAATTCTGTGGTCATCTGGTACCCTAAGGGGAGCATATCAGGACAAAGCCAGTATCTAGAGGCTACTGAGTCTGGAGAGAGAGAATTTGGGCCAGTAGATGATGACATTGTTGATCCGCAGTCAAACAGCCCTGAAATCTGTTCTACTTCTGGGCTTCCTGACACGTGAGATAGTAAATTTCCTTCCTTTACTTATTCCCTGAAGTTAATTTGAAGTGAGATTCTCTACTACTTGCATCCAAAGGGATCTAAACAGATGGCATGTGCTAAGCGCTTGAATATACTTTTATCTAGTAATCCTGCGTGATAGATATAATTGTATCCTACTTCACAGACAAGAAAATGAGACTTAGATTAAGTAATTTGCTCAAAGTTACATAGCCAGTAGAACCATATTTTCAAAACAATGAAATCAGAGCCCATGTCCATAACCACTGCTTTCTATAATCCAATGAATGTTTCATTTTATAATATGTTAGGTGACTTAGGAGTGACAAGTGTACTTTCTTAGTTTTAATTGATTTTCACAAATATGAAATTGCTTTTATTCCTCGAAGATACTGTTGGCTGAGACTAAGAATAATAGGAGTAAAACAGATGGGTCCCAGGTAGTAGAAAGTAGTCAATTTATGGTTTAAGGTGTTCAACACTAATGCACAAAAGTGGTAACTGAAGCAGTTTAGTATTTGTAATTACATGATAACTAAATGCAAAGTTATCAGAAAAAGAAAATTGTTCTGACTTTATCACCCTAACAATGAACTTGTGGCGAGGGAGGAAGAAAGCAGTGTTAAGGTCTAAGATGTACCTCTGAGCTAGAAAAGCCCATAAATTGGCTTGGGTTCTAGTCTTGGCTCTACTTACTAGCTATCTCACTTTAGATAAAACTTCCAGTTTAGCTTCCTCATCTGTAAAAATCGGGATAACAACAGTACTTAACCTCATAAACTTGTGAGGTTGTGAGGATGAGATAAAATACATATAAACCCCTAAAACAATCCCTGGCACAGGGTAATCATGCAGTTAGGGTTGGCTGTGGTTGTCATCATCGTCATAATCAGCATTTGAAAGAACATATGTTCTTTTGAGAGAGTAAATAAGAAGGCTGCAAAAGTCAGCAGATAATCACTGAATATGAGAAACAGTCCCCCCTTTCTAGAAAGGAAAAAGGCAAGACATTGTATTATAAAGTGTTCTTTATTCATAAGATGAAGTCAATGGGGCAGGAGACAAGTGACAATACAAACAATTACCAAAAAAAAAGAAGAAGAAAGATGAAGGAAGGAGGGACAGAGTCTTAAGCCAAATTTGAAAACAGCAAAATTCAAGCTCACTTTTTATTTTGGACTATCTCTAAAGTTGGATAAATCTTGAATTAAAGAGAGACAATGAGAGAGACAAAATATCAACAAACATATAACACACATACGTAATTAGAGACTGAGACAGAGCATGTAACACAAAAGAATGACAGGGAGTAAACAGAACAGAGATGTAGTCTGGAAAGAACACAAGAATGTGCTCTGTCTCCAGTAAGTTACAAGACTGCCCAGCCAGCCAGCTCCCCCATCCCCCTCTCCTTCCTTCCAACTCCAACTTACATTGAAAGACGCCAGGGCCTCAGAGACACTCTTCTCAATGAACTCATCAGTGATTCTTCGGGAAGGATGTTCATTAAACACAGAGTTCATTAGTGCAATCTTTGCAGCACTCCGCCGGGCTTCAGCTTTTGTGGGGCAAAACTAGTCAGGGGAGAGAGAGAGAGAATGTGTGTGTATGTCTGAGTACAGGAAGGAACAGTGGGAGGGAAACACTTGGGATAGAAAACACTTGGACACTCTTTGGATACATCAGTTTGTTCAACACGCTCTCCAAAATTTTTATTGTAAAATAGTCGAGGCATTTGGAAACCTAATTTTGATCCAACATCCTGAAGTCATTAAGGAACTGGAAATGGCTGTACTTCATACCAGCTTGAATGCAGAATGAGGAAGGCTGCTGAAGTCAGCATATAATCAGTGGATGTGGAAAATACCCCTGTTTAAACTGTCAACAGAATTAATTACTCAAAGCCAGATTCCGGCCAGCCTGTAAAGATTTGTATCTTGTTTTCTTGTTCTGTAGACAGACAAGGTTTTTTTCATCCCTCTTGAAAATGTAAGATTAAAACAAAGCTGTGTCTAAAATGCTTCTGCAGAGGGGGCCTATCGTCTCTATCAGAAGCATCCTTCTGAGATTCTTGGACTTCACTTTTAGTTATGACAAGGCAATCTCTCCAATAATGTAGTGAGTCAAGGAGCTGACCCTGAACAGTCCAAGGTCTGAAGAAGGAATTTATAGTCTCCTCCCCACACCCACCCCCCAGTGGAATGCAAGAGGAAAAAGGAAAACTGACATAAGGAAAGTAAGAAAAAAATTAAAAATTAATTCATGTTTTGTTTTTACATTGTACCCAACATAGGTAACAGAACAAGCCTGATTTTCATAAGTCTTAAGTCACCCCACTTCAGAGCCCTAGGCACCCCGGTATTCCTTTATAAACCATCTTCACTGGCTGGCTCCGAGGCCCCTGCGCCTTTATAGTTAGGATTAGGATTAGAGGAAGGAAAGTGATGTTGCAGTTTATAGGAGTAAACCAAGAAGTATCTGCTACCTAGCCTTCCTTAATATCAATAATTCTCAGTTTCCTTTGCTGACAGGGCTGAGTAAGCATGTGGAGCTTGGTACACTGACTCAGTTTTGCTTCTTCAATTTTTCCGTTTCTACCTTGCTCTCTATTTTCTAGCCTGCTGCCCACTCTACTGTAGATGCTATGTCTGAAAAGTCATCTATGAAGAAAAGTACCAGGAGAATTTCATCTGCCAAAGTGGATATAAAAAATACAAGCTATTTTACTGAATAGATAAAACAGATAATTTCACTGAAACATTCTGTTTAAGGAAATAACAGAATGATCCAGTTATGAATATCATCAAACAATCATCAAATCCTTAGTAAACAATATAATGAAATAGGAGAAGGAAAGAAAGATCTTATTCTCTAGAAAAGAAAACATAAACATTAGTCATCCCGGGCATATATATTTACTTCTTTGAAATGACTGGAGTTCTCAGGGAAAAAAAAATACAGTCATCTGTTTTGAAGTGAAGCTTCTTCCTTAGGGTTATTTCTGTTTGAGTCAAGAGCAGAGCTGCAGTGGCTCATTAATGTGGTACGTTTATTAGGTGCCTGCTCTGTGCTGGGCACTGAGTTGGGGGTAGGGATTTAAAACTGAACAAGACGCAGCAGACCTCTCCTGTCTCCCGGCTGCTCCCCTCAGCAGTGGATTTCAGTAGATCCACTTGTTCTGCTCCCCACTCTGTCTTTGGTGAATCCTCTCACCATGCCCCCTGCACCTCTGGCCTACACCTCAGCTCTTGTATGTATAAATAAATAAATAAATCTTAAAAAAAATAAAACTGAGTGAGAAATTTTTTTTAAAAAAACTGAACAAGGACCTCCCCGGTGGCGCAGCGGTTGAGCGCTGGGTTGCGAAGCTGCCCGCAGCCTCTGCAGCGCCAGTTCGATCCCCGGCTGCTCCCCGGCCACAGGAGGAGGGTCCTACATGGCGTGCAGACCTCTCCTGCCGCCCGCTGCTCCCCTCAGCAGTGTACTTCGGTCCTTCTGCCTGCTCTGCTCCCCGCTCTGGCTCTGGTGAATTCTCTCGCCCTCCCGCGCTTCTGACTGTACCCAGTGCTTGTATAAATAAATAAATAAATAAATCTTAAAAAAAAAAAAAATAACTGAACAAGAAAGAAGACAGACACCATCTCATCTCTGCCTCCGTGGAGCACCTAGGAGACCATGTGTTGTGGTGAGAGAAGTGATTAGGGAAGTTCAAGGTGCTACAGAAGCATTTAAGTGGAGGTTGTGACTTTAAGGGTTATACAAACCATCTATATGTAAAACAAAATGACAGTGTCTATTCTCTAAATTCCTATTTAAAGTCTAAGTTGACATTTCAGAAGGCAGAAGACTGCCTTCCTATTTGCAATGTAAAATATCCAACTTTGATGATACTATTCACACTAGTCAAATTTCTCATCACCCTATAATAGCAACCCCTCTTTTCATCATCATTTATTATGACAGGAATTTCATATAAATGTAGAATGCTAATACTAAAAAAGACTTTGGAGATAATTTAACCTATCACCTTCATATTATAGGAGAAACTGAGGCCCAGAGAAGTTTTCTGAATTGCCCTTCAGGCAGGCAGTGAAATGAGGATTTGAATCTTCTAACTCTTAGATCTGAGTATGATTTCTACCATTCATAGCACCTCCCCTTTGATCTCTCAGAAAATCTAAACATTGCTTTCTTCAGTAACTGCTGAGGAAAAAGAACTGAGATGAGGAATATTACCTCTGTAACCTCCACATGAGATGGTAGAAAGTTGGAAAGCCAGATCAGAGTGTGGATTAGGAGCTGGTAGTCTGATGTGCTAGGTACAGACATATTCATAACTGCTCAAATTCAAAATGGGTGTGTTTTTGCAGGCTGAAAGAAAAGTATGCTATGTTTGTGTGTGTATGTGTGGCGGGGGAGGGGGGAGGCAGGGTCTATTGCGCCTCAGATGCTTATCAGAATGATTTCCCTAGAATAGGGTTAGGTCCTCAAATACGTGATTTCAGAGAGAGACTAAACGGGCAAAATGACGGAGAAAGTCTTTATGACCACACTATAAAGTATTTATCTTTGCTCCTGCTGACTCACAATGCTTACCTGGAAGCTCCCAAAGCAACTTCCCCCCGGCAGGGTGACATAGCAGACGTAGGGAGGGCTGTTGGAGGGAACCATTTCATAAACTACTAGGGCCCCATTCTTCAAGTCAGCCCCACGGGACTGTTTCATCTGCCAGAATTCCTGAAGTGCCTCCACCACATTCACTACAAAGAGAGAAGTAGTTCAGTTTAGCAGTGAGAACATCTCCACGTTGTGCTGCATTCAATATATATCTGTACTGAAGATACAGCACCTGCACCCACATTAGGAGTCCACCGTCCTCGGCTCCTGTCACCATTTGAAAGTGTTTAAATGAATGAACCTAGAGTGTGATTAAGGCCACTGGCCTAGGAAGACCTTAGTGTGGTCCCCCCACCTCTCTGGTTCATATTTTGATTATTTCTAGACACCAAAGGAGAATACCTTAAATACCAGAGGCCAAGTTTCCAAGGCCAGCAGCTCATTATCACTGCCTGATGTAGTGAAGGTAGAGAGTCCATGACTCGTCAGCTTGGCTCGGCTATAACCACCACAGGAAAATAAGCTCTGACGTTTACTGAGCGCTCACTGGATGTTGGGCATTCTCTAAACTCTTTACCCACTTAATCACAACAAGCCTATGAGAAGTACTTGTAAAAAATCCCCATTTTACAGGTGAGAGAAATGAGGTACGTATGGGTTAAACACCTTGCCCAAGGATGTAACAGATAGAAAGCAGTAGAGCAAGAATTCAAACCCAGGCAGTCAATGCTCTTAACTATGATGCAATATTGCTATTCAAGGAAATATGGCCCTAATCACCATTCTCAAGCCTGTGCTTCCGGTGTGCAAACCCACAGCCAAATTCCCTTTTCATCCTACAATACCATGTGTAAAATACAAGAAAAAAAGGGACAGCGGGGAGTGCACATCTCTCTTCCTAGGCTTTTCCGAGGCATAAATGATTTTGGAGGAACATATATTGAGAGAAACTCCTCCACACATCTCTTATACTTCTTTCTATCTTGCTGGGTTCCACAAGATTTCAAGGCCCTGACTGCTCTTTACTTGAGCCATTTCTCAGGGTTGTGTTTGCAGCAAGAAACCTGAGAGATGACGTGATGTCTGGGACAAAGACTGAGCTTGTTATTGCTTGCTGTAAAATGGAAGTTTCCCAAGATCAGTTTCTCTCCTGCAGTGCAGCCAGTGGCCTGCGTCCTCCACTTCAGGCTTGGGAGGCCCTGGGAACCCATGCAAACAAGCACGCTACGTGCTGTGCTGTGAGTAATACAGTCCTTTGTCTCTGACCCAGAAGTCTCTTGACTTCTGCCAGCATCCATGAATCAGGAACCAACTAATTTATTAGTTAAAAGGTAAAACCAAACTCCAGAGCCAATATTGTACTCCAGAACAATTTTCCTTAATCCCCAATGTTGGGCTCATACATTCCACAAATATATATCAAGTACCTACTCTGTAGGGTACTGGTGGGTGCCAGGCTACAGCAGTGGGCAAAATCATGTTCCCTTTCCTTGTGTAGCTTACAGTCTCCTGAAGGGGAAAGGTAATTTAACCAAATAATCTCATACTAATAAAAAATTGCAACTGTGTAAGTATTATAAAGGAGTAGTACATGGTGGGAAATGTAGGAGCATCTGAACTAGTTAAGACGATCAAAGAAAACTATCCTGACAAGCGATGTATAAGCTGAAATAAGTAGGAATTCATTGGGCAAAAAGATGAGAGGAGACTGCTCTGTGCACAAGGAGGGTATGTGCCAGGGCCCTACCGCTGCAGGAACTTGCAAATAGACTAGTGTGACTAGAAAAGACAGGGGGGAAAACGTAACGTGGGGTGACTGGAACCAGAGGTCAGACCAAGCCCGTCTTACAGGCCATGGTAGAGTATTTATTGTCCTTACTCCATGAACAATGAGAAACCACTGAAGGGTTTTAAACAGAAGGAGAAATAAGATCCTTTTACCTTTAGAAAGAATAACTCTGGGGCCTCCCCTGGTGGTGCAGCTCTGGGCTGCGAGGCCACCCGCAGCCTCTGCAGCTACAGTTCGATCCCCAGCCACCAGCGAGGGTCCCACATGGTGCAACAGACCTCTCCTGCTGCGCCTGCTGCTCCCCTCAGCAGTGTATTTCGTCAGTCTGCCTGTTCTGTTCCCCGCTCTGGCTCTGGTGAATTCTCTCACCCTCCCGCGCTTCTGACTGTACCCAGTGCTTGTACAAATAAATAAATAAATCTTTAAAAAAAAATAATAATTCTTACTCTAGAGTTGCAAGCATTTCAAATGTATTTAGCTAAAGACATTTAACTCATAATAATAAATTATCACACACATTCTCCTGTGCCTTCCAACATGACTACAACAAGGACTCATGCATCCTTCTATGTCGTGTTAGTTCAGGTCGGCCAAGAGAAGCCCCTGAGATGGGACAAATAAGCAAAGCGTCACTGGGGACAAAGTAGGAGAAGGGAGAGCGTGTTGGAGATCTGACACTGGTGGAAGGAGAGGGGGAAGGAAGGAGGTTTGGACAGGAGAGCCTGCAGTTCTCCAGCCAGAGGAAGCCCACATCTCCCTCGGATGGTTCCTCAGTTAGTAGCTCTGCTATGCCCAGTCACTGGCTAGGAGCAGCCTGAAGGATGTGTGGCCTCAGTGCCTACATGGACCAAAGGGGAGAGCTGCCAGTTATGCTCCCTGCAGCAGGAGGTAGCACATATTCATGGCTGCCACACACATGTTAACAAAAAACTGAGCATTTAATTGGTGCAGAGCTCAAGTGTAGGCATTGAAATGCAGAGGTAAATAACACACATTGCCTACACAGCAAGGTGTTCAAAACCAAGTGGCCAGCACTAACAGTTTCTCACCTGCCTGTAACTGAAGCATGCAGTCCTTGTACCAGGCAGAGTCTGAGAAGCAGTGTAAGTTCTTATCTAGTCCCCTATATTTAACTGACTTTTTAGAACATCATTTCTCCATTAAAAGACAGCAGAAGAAGAAACTCTCTCTTTCCCACCCGTAATTTTGGCAGGGGCTCTTCAAAGGTCACTGCTGCCTAGAAAGCTTAGCCATCTTTGTTCTTTCCACTGAGGTTTTCTCAACCCAATTTCCCTTTTTGAGACAATTTGGCACAATGGGCTGGGTGACAGCTCTCCTGACATGCAAACAACAGGGAGAATATTGAAATAAAGGGAAGGGGAGGAGCCCACTAGAATGAGGAAGGTCCTATTGAAGCACGTAAGTCCATTCTTGAGCCAGTTAAATTCCTCTTGGCACAGAGTGCAGGGCTACTTTTCAATAATGACTCAAAGCCGAAGGAAATAGGGAGTCTTATTTCAGAAATGTGGGTATGAAATGGGAAAATGGACAGTGTGGTCGGGAAAACAGCAATGAGCTGTGATCCGCATTTGAAAATTCTCATAGACTGATTCAGTTTTAGAGCCAAAAGGGATTTTTAAGAGCCAAAAGGGAGTTCAGAGATCATCTAGTTCAACTCAGGTGAAGAGTTGGGTCTTGAAGGTAGAGATCCTGATGCCAATGTTTTTTCCAATTTGGAAATCTTAACCCGGGTTCAAGGTCCAGTTCATGGTTGAGTGTAAAACCTAGGGAAATTGTATGTGCACTTGATTATTCATATGTGTAACCATGGATGGTTACACATGGATGATGTACACCAGCATGGTTAAAGAACAGTGAGGTGGGAAGTAGCAATGACTGAGACCTACACATCCGACAGTGGGGATTGCCATTTGAAAGTCGCTGACAGAATACTGGGTTAAAAGGGACAACAAAGACTAAGATAATGAGGAACATTCAAGCACTTATACCATGATGTCGAATAACTACAAAAAAAGAATGTTTTTATTTTTGCCCTTGGAGATAAAATATTAGATAAATATCTAAGTGGGATGACAGTAATAACATTAAAACAAAACATGAAACTAGAGTAAATGTTTTATATCATAAGAGTAAATATAATTTTGGGCCTCCCCGGTGGCGCAGCGGTTGAGCGCTGGGTTGCGAAGCTGCCCGCAGCCTCTGAGGCGCCGGTTCGATCCCCGGCTGCTCCCCGGCCACCGGAGGAGGGTCCCACATGGCGCGCAGACCTCTCCTGCCGCCCGCTGCTCCCCTCAGCAGTGTACTTCGGTCCTTCTGCCTGCTCTGCTCCCCACTCTGGCTCTGGTGAATTCTCTCACCCTCCCGCGCTTCTGACTGTACCCAGTGCATGTATAAACAAAAACAAACAAACAAACAAATAAATAAACAAACAAACATGCCTCTATTAAAAAAAAAAAAAAAGAGTAAATATAATTTTGTGGAGGGAGCATGGATAAACAGATAATAAATATATACTGAAACTGGGAGGGGAGGAGGCGCTCCCTGACCATACAGGATGGCTAGAACAGGCTGGCTTCACTTAATTTACATTATTATGGAAGAAGGGAAGCTGATTAAAAATTTTTCATCTGACATTTCCTATTTCAATTTGTAGAAAATACCCCTGAATAACCCATAGTGCACAGACTCTTGGAAAAGAGGCATTGCAAAGGGATAGTGGCTTTGGGAGAGGCCTAGGATAGGCTAATTAATGGCCTCTGCCAAGATATCATGTCCTCTTCCCTGGAACCTGTGAATGTTACCTTATATGGTAAAAACTGCAGAAGTGATTAAGACAAAGATCTTGAGATGGAGAGGTTAGCCCGGTGGGCCCTAACTGCATTCACAAGCGTCCTCAGGGACACAGAGGGAGATGCGGTGAAACACAGAAGAAGAGGCCCTGTGACAGGGACAGGCTGGTGTGATGCAGTCGGGCCAGGATGCTGGCCCACCTGGAAGAGGCAAGCCAAGTGGAGGGAGCACACACCTGTCAACGCCTGCTCTGGCCACTGATACTGACTTTGAACTCTGGCCTCCAGAACAAAGAAAGAATAAATTCTTATTGTCTTAAGCCACCCAGTTTGTGATAACTGTTAGAGCAGTCACAGGAAATGAATACCGGGGTCTAATCCAACATTCCTAAAAAATGAAGATACTGCAGCCAATCCTTTTAACTCCATAGCCACGGGCAAAGACGCTGTCTGTTATTCTGAGGAAAAGGAACAACTAAGCAGAAAATACTGCACAAGATTCATTTGCTCAATCTAGCAGAGTAACCAGGCAAATTTTCTAATCATGTGACAGTATTGTGATACAAAGGGAAAAAAATCATTAAAAAAAAAAAAGAAGAAAAAATAGGTTTGAAGAGGGCAAAGCAGAAGCTGCAGAGCAAGGAAAATGACTTCGTCATTCCATCCATCATGGCAATTTAAAGGCTGCTATGGTCCAACATTAGAAAAAGGGGTCTATATGCCAGAGGGGAGCGGGGCAAAGGAGATAGTGCCACTAACAATACCTATCCTGGGCATTTCAAAGCATAACAATAGTAACCACTTGAGTCCTATGTTCTATGTGCTTTACATTCATTAACTCATTTAATTCACATAAAACCATCAGGATAGGTATTACAATACCTATTTTACAAAAAAGTGAACAAGTTGGGGCCTCCCTGGTGGCGCAAGGGGTTCAGGTGCAATCTATGAAGCAATCCACAGCCTCTGCAGCACAGGTTTGATCCCCAGCCAGGGAGCTACCCACATGGCACAGCAGACCTCTCCTGTCTCACCCGCTGCTCCCCTCAGCAGTGTATTTCTGTCAATCTGCCTGTTCTGTTCCCCACTCTGTCTCTGGTGAATCCTCTCACACACACACCACACCTCTGGCCTGTACCCCAGTTCTTATATGCATAAATATTAAAAAAAAAAAAAAAGTGAGGGCCTCCCCGGTGGCGCAGCGGTTGAGCGCTGGGTTGCGAAGCCGCCCACAGCCTCTGCAGTGCCAGTTCGATCCCCGGCTGCTCCTGATCACCGGAGGAGGATCCCACATGGCGCGCAGACCTCTTCTGCCGCCCGCTGCTCCCCTCAGCAGTGTACTTTCGTCCTTCTGCCTGCTCTGCTCCCCGCTCTGGCTCTGGTGAATTCTCTCACCCTCCCGCGCTTCTGACTGTACCCAGTGCTTGTATAAATAAATAAATAAATCTTCAAATAAATAAATAAATAAATAAATAAATCTTTTGGGGGAAAAAAAAATTAAAAAAAAAAAAGTGAACAGGGCCTCCCTGGTGGCACAGCAGTTGAGCGCTGGGTTGCAAAGCTGCCCACAGCCTCTGCAGTGCTGGTTTGATTCCCGGCTGCCAGGCGAGGGTCCCACATGGTGCGCAGACCTCTCCTGCTGCCCGCTGCTCCCCTCAGCAGTGTACATCAGTCTGCCTGCTCTGCTCTCCGCTCTAGATCTGGTGAATTCTCTCACCCTCCTGCGCTTCTGACTGTACCCAGTGATTGCATAAATAAATAAATAAATCTTAAAAAAAAAAAAAAAAAAAGTGAACAAGTTAAGGTACAGGCCACAGCGGCAGAGCCAGCCTCCAAAGCCAACCCTCTTCCTATTTCACTGTCCTGCCGTATTGCACCATGAATCCTCACACATGCTCTGAAAAGTGGGCTGTGAGCTCCATGAAGGCAGGGACTGTGTATCTGTCTTGTTCACCACTGACTGCATCTGGTGATCAGTAAGTATCTGATAAATGAAGGAATGAAACAGGTGAAGCCTAGAAAGATTAAGCAATTTATCCAAGACCATACAGCCAGGATTTGATAGGAACAAGTTCTCTGATTGCAAATCCTATGTGCTATGAACTGATTAAGATCCTACAGGCTACTGAGTTCTATGTGTCTCTCGGGAAGGGGAGGGAGAAGAAATGGGACAAACAGGTGAAATATGTTATTTTGTATAAATGTTTAAATTCTACAGGAATGAAGGTAAATCTAAGGACTATGACTGGAAAAGATGAATCCGGAATAGTCAGGAAGGATGTGAACTCAAGATGATTCAGTAAAACGCTGCTGAATCTGGGAATGGTCCCGGCAAAGACCACAGTAAATTATATTCAGGGGAATAGAGCCAGCCCCCAAGTACTATGCCATCAGTCACAAGGATGTGTGGGTACATGCCAATGGCAGCTTTGCCTATTAATCGAAGCAGAATAAGTGATTCCATGTGGCGAAGGACTTCTGAGCCAAATCAGCAGAGACTCTGTTTGCCTGAAGCTGAACTACCTGCCAAACTTTCCCAAAGCACTGGCTGGACACCCAGACTGGAAATGAGAAACTCAAGAATAAAAAGGACTGTGGTGGGAGGTAGGGAGGTTGGAGGAGAAAATCACTGCAGAATCTGAAGCCTTTCTAAATTTGTCAGTACAATACCCTTGCTCCTACGTCCTTCTTACGGAAATGATAAAGTTTTTATAGGATGCTCAGTTTAGAAGGCAACCCAGAGACTCTCCAGGTAGCACAGACAAGAAAAAGGATTCATTCTGCTAGGCTTTTAATAAATGCCTGTAAGTTTCTCAGGTGTAGGGTTCAGATTTAGGATGATCACTCCTGGCTACTCCTACAGCTTACGGCAAAGACCTTCCCTTGGTCTCAGCATAAAGAAACCTGTGGCATTGGGACAACAGATGGTGGCATTTCCATCATGTACTTTGCTAAGTCTAGGAATTGAGCTAGAAAAACAACTATATTTCTTCATGATCTGAACCATATGCATTTGTATTTCTAACATCTAGCAGTGTACCTGTCCCATGGTAGGGGTTCAAAGTGTTGAAGAACAGGGCCTCCCTGGCGGCACAAAGGGTTAAGATGAAACCTATGAGGCTGTCCGCAGCCACTGCAGCACCAATTCCATCCCAGACCAGGGAGCAACTCACATGGTGCAGCAGACCTCTCCTGACTCGCCCACTGCTCCCCTGAGCAGTGTACTTCGGTCAGTCTGCCTGGTCTGTGCCCTACTCTGTCTCTGGTAAATCCTCTCAACCCCCCCACATCTCTGGCTTGTGCCCCAGTTCTTGCATGCATAAATAAATAAATCTTAAAAAAAACAACAAAGTATTGAAGAACAAAGGGAAACTGGTGGTAAACGTATCACTGGGCACATATAGCAAAGGGATATCAAAAAATCTGTACTCATAGGAATCTTTGGGTTAACACCATCAGTATTAAACGGTGGAGACTATGTATGAAGTATGTTTTCCCTAAGGAAATACGAGCCAAAAAGTTTGAGGTTAACACTCATCATTTTCAAGTACCCATGATGCGTCAGGTGCAGTGTCTCATAACCTTTAAGGAAACTGAAGCTCAGCCATGTTGAGTCCCTGCCCCAGATACATCAATGGCAAGTGACAGAGATTTACTATGGAATTTAATCCAGATTCTAACGCCAAAGCTGGTGTGTAGTCTTCACTACATTTTTATCAGGAAGGGGGAAAAAAAATCATTACTGTGTATAGAGAAAGCTCTACCAATTTCTATTACTGTTAAACCAGAAAGACACTGTAACCTCCAAGTCAAGCAGCTCCTGACCAAGCAGAGAGAACTGGTGTCTCAGAAATTCTGGACCTTGAGTGGGATGTGGGGATGCACATCTGAGGACGCGTGAACCTGTTCCTCCTCACGTACAGTGCCGTGAACCAGTGTTCCTCAAGTTAACTAATTTAAAAAGGAAATTCTGCACCTAAACTCTGTACCCCACACGCCTTGCTATATATTATATATTCCTTCTTACACTAAAAACCTGGAGCTCAAGCTCAGTGCGCTGGCCCAACAAAACAACAAAGAAAGTCCTCACCTCCCCCTTCTCAGAAACCCTAGAAATGGGGCATTTTTAAGATAAGGATTTCAAATGGAAGTTGGGCTTCTGCCTGGCTGGTGTCCACATAATTTAACGCTGAGAGCCCAGCCTGGGATTTATCCTCAGTTCCTGGCAAGGGCCAGGAAAACAGAGCCCGCCAGCCTGAGAGGCCTGCGCTGCGAGGCTCCCCACTGGAAAGGACCCCAGAGTGAGGGGCTCAGCCTCGGGGAGGCGGTGCGGGCTCAGTGGCAGGGGCCCAGGTTTAGAGGCCCAAGAACTCCCAGTGACTTGTGGAGGCGCCCCCCAACCCCCGGCGCAGCTGAGGCTGCACTGAACACCTCCAGCTTTAAATTAAGAAAATAACTGAGGCGCCCACGTCCAGGGGCAAGTGCTCTGGGGCCCGGGGTGCCACCGAGGAAAGGCTGCTGGGAGGGGGGGCGAGGAGTCGGGGATCCGCGAGGACGGGGGGCGCCACACAATGGGGCCGCGCCCCCGACAGCCGCGCGGCGCCGGGCGGGGGCTGCGGATGGGGCCCCCGCCCGGGAGGGGGCCGGGCCTGGCCGGGCCGGGCCGGAGCGCGCCGGGCTCCGCGGGGGGCTCGCGGGGGCAGCTCCCCAAAAGGAAATGCAGCGGGCGCGGGCGGCGCAGGCCGGGCCCGGCGCGCACTCACCTCGGCCGTAGCCCTGCGTGTGCTTGGCGAAGCTCCGCACCACCGCCTCCACCGCCTCCCGCAGCACCGCGGGGCTGCCGGCCGCGCCGGGGGGCAGCGCCAGCCCGGGGGCCCCCGACAGCAGCAGGGGCGGCGGCGGCGCGGGGGGCGGGGGGGCCGGCGGGGGCGCCCCCGGGGGTGTGGCGGGGGCCGCCGCGGCTCCGGTCACCCCGGGCCGCAGCGCCCGCAGCGTGCCCCTCCCGCCGGCGCCCACGCCCGGCTGCAGCCGCTGCGCCCGCACCGTCTCCATGCCCGCCGCCCCGGAGCCGCGCCCCGCGCCCGCCCCCCGCGAGCCCGCGGCCCCGCGCCCCGCCCGCCGCGCCGGGACTGAGGGCGGCGCCGGCCCGGCCGCCGGCGGGGGCGGGGCGCCGGGCTGCCAATCACCGGGGGGCGGGCGCTGGCCCGCTCCGGCGCCGCTATTGGCCGGCCGCGGGGAGGGGCGGGTCCGGGCCGCCAATGGCGGGGGGAGAGCGCGGCCGGCGGCCCGCGGAGCAGCCCCGGCTCCCGGCCCCGCGCGCGCTGCGGAGCCCGCCCGGCCCCCGGGGAGGCGGCTGCGGGCGCGTCTGGGGGGACTGGCAGACAATGAGGGAATTCGTGGAGACCGTTCGTTCCACCGCCTCTTGTTCTAGCTGTCGATGAGGAACCCGGCTCAGTGATGCGAGTGTCCGAGGCTGTTGGCGGCGGGCGAAGGCCCCGGGGAGGGACATTGCAGGAGCATGGACTCAGCGGGTGTGCAACCCCGTGCAGCGTGCAACACCGTGCAGTGTGAAACACCGTGCAGCGTGCAACCCCGTGCAGCGTGCAACACCGTGCAGCGTGCAACACCGTGCAGTGTGCCTCGGCGCGGTGTCCTGTTTAATAATCACAGCCACTCTAGGTTTTATTGTAATATATAAGGACCAGATAGATCGCCCAAAAGAAATAGCTGGGGGGTGGGGGTCAGACATATTTTGGTCTTTCATTTTACCTCATTGTTGAGTAATTTTCTGATTTCACCTACTCTAAATTGGGGGAGGGAGTAAGAGTGGAGGGCTGCATCCTCTCCCTCCCGTTAGAGGAAGGGTTAGAATATAAGCAGAAAATCAGGAAACTTCGAGTTTGAGGGGCCAGATTAAGATAGGTACCCTTGTTCATGGATCAGTTAGGTTGGGTTCCTCTGGTTACTCTTACACGCACGCACACACACACACACACACACACACACTTGTCAGTTGACCCCTATACCATTTTTACTTAGGTGAAGTTATGTACTGACTTTTTCCTCTCTCCCTCTCTCTCTCCTTCCCTCCCCCAATCTTTTTTAAAGATTTATTTATTTATACAAGCACTGGGTACAGTCAGAGGTGCGGGAAGGTGAGAGAATTCACCAGAGCAGGGAACAGAACAGGCAGACTGACGAAATACACTGCTGAGGGGAGCGGCGGGCGCAGCAGGAGAGGTCTGCGCCATGTGGGACCTGCGCCCCGTGGCCACCGGGATCGAACCAGCGCTGCAGAGGCTGCGGGCAGCTTCGCAACCCAACGCTCCACCGCTGCGCCACCGGGGAGGCTCCCCTCCCCCAATCTTTCTGTCCAACCTACAGTGGCTCAGAAATCAAAGGTGATGAAATAGCCAAAAATGGAAGAAAATGAAATTCACCTGAGGAGATGAAAGTTAGAACACCCCCCCCCAAGGAAAAGCTGTGAGTGGTCACAAAATAGGAAGCTTGAAGGAGGGACAGTTAATCTGCTGGGGTATATCTGTGGGTGATGGAGGGAATCTGTGTAGGAATCTTAAAGAATTGAGGATGAGCGTAGGGGAGCCTAGGGGATATGAAGCCTGTCAAATATCTTATAAAAGCTTCAGGACACTTGCTTTTTCAGTCTCCTGGGAAGAAGGTGGCTGGTACCCCTAAATATCCCCTAGATCATTATAGCTGTAGTTAGCATGACCCCCTCCCCATTCCTCATTTCCCCACCCTCCCAGGCAGAAGTGAAAAAAACAGAGATTTCTGAACACATTTATTTGATGTCAAGTGGAGAGAGGAGTGATTTAGGGTCAATCCCCACTTCAACCTGTGGGGGTGTTCATAAGCTCAGACAGACAGAATAGCAGCTTTAGAGCCCATGACCCACCCACTGGGAAAATGAGACAACCTGGTGTATTGAGGGAACAGGGTGGGAATAAGAAGCAGGAAGTTGAGAAGTAAAGCTGAGAGCAGGAAGGGTAGCAGCAGAACTGAGGCTGGGGTTTGCTGCAAGAAACCCCCATGAAGAGTGAAGATATCCTGAAAAGTGGTGAGGGCTGGAAGCAGGGTGTGAACACGGAGCCAGGCCTGGAGAGGAAAGCAGGACCTGCAGAACTGCGTGGAACACTCATGAAAAGGGTAGAGTGTGCAAAATCATGACAGGGCTGTGTCGCAGGGCATACATGGAAAGCAAGGAGTTTGGTCTGCAGGACTGAGATTGGAGACTACCCATAAGTAGGGCTCCCAGCTGCTTCTGAACAAATGCAAGTGATTTTGGAACCCGTTGGGGCCCTAGCACAAGTGGCCCTGTGTGTGCCCTGCCTGTGGGCACACAGGGAGTTCCCGTGTGCAAGTGAAGTGACCAGGGCATGCCTGCGTGGACCTCCGTGCCCAGTGAGTACTTACCCTTCCCTGCGAATGAGAGGACTGTGCTTGTGGACACGTTTCCCCACGTGTGCGCAGCGTGCCCAGGAGCACATGCAAGAGACCGCGGTGTCCGTGGTGTGTGTGTGTGAACTGCTTCTCCCACCTGATCCCCTCTCCTTGGCTCCTCTCACGCCTCTCAGCGCCCTGGCTCCCCCGGCCCCCCTAGACTCTGGAAGCCCCCCAGCAGGCGGATCTGCTCAGTCTGCATGGAGTGGCGCCTCACCAACTTGCGCTTGGTCCTGGGGGAGCCCGGGGCCCCCGCCTGCGGAGGGGCGGGCAGCGAGGGCGCCCGACCTCCGGCCTGGGGGCGAATGTCGGGGATCGGGGGGTGGGGGCTGACGTTGAGCGGCGGCAGGAAACCAGGCCGCGTCTGCGAGATGTGGTCCAGGAGCAGCGTCCCCGAGCCCCTGCGCTCCAGCAGCCCCGGACTCCGCCTCCGCCCGCTCAGCGGAGACACGGCCCCGGGCAGGCTCTCCTGGGACTGGCGCGGCGAGGACACCGAGCCGGCGGGGGGCAGGGTCAGCGGGGAGGCGCTGTAGCGGCGGCGCTCCAGGGCCAGGCGGCTGCACTCCGGCGAGTCGGGGCAGAGGTTGCCGGGGCCATCGAGCTCCACCGGCTCCATGCGGCTCAGTTTCTGCCTCAGCCCCGAGGGCGGGCCCGGCTCCTGCGCCTCGGGCGCGGTGTTCCGGCGCGAGAGAGGACCCCCGCCCGCCACTCTCTCCGCCCACGGGGGTGGGTCCTCCGGGCCCTCGGTGCTGTGACGGCGGGAGAGGCGCGGTCTGCCGGCCAGGGTCAGCCCGTTGAGCTCGGCGGTCAGGCGCTCCATCCCCAGCCGCCCCTCCGCGGGCGGGAGCGGCTGGGGGGGCGCCACGAGGCCCCAGGGTTCGGAGTTGAGCCGCTTGAGTGGTTTCGGAGGGTGGCGCGGGGGCTTGGGGAGCGGCTCAGAAGGGGAAGGGTCATCGGGGGGCTTAGGAAGAGGGAATTCAAAGACGTCCCTCTTCTCCTCCTCCTCCTGGGCGCGAGGGGACAGCAACCCCTTCCCGCCGCCCCCCGCAGTCTGCAGCTGGATTTCCGAAGGCGACGTGCAGACCCCCGGGCTAGGGGGCGCGGGAGCGGGGTCCTCCACCCCCGGGGACGGCGGGGAGTTGAGATACTGCCGGGTCTTCTTGGTGCCCGAGGGCGAGGTGTCGGTGGTGATGATGATGACCTCCGTGCCCTTGGCCTTGCAGGCGTCCAGCAGGGTGGCGAGGGTCTCGCGGTCCCCGCGGTCCAGGGCGTGCACCAGTGCCGAGGCGCCCGCGTGATCGCGAACCGAGGGGTCCGCGCCGTGGGCCAGGAGCAGCGAGGCCACGGCGGCGCCCCCACCCCCGGCGCAAGCGTGCATGAGTGCGGTGCGCCCCAGGCGGTCTGCGATGTTGGGGTCCGCGCCTTGCTCCAGGAGGTAGCGGACCATGCGCGCCTTGTTCTGGGGGTCGTCGTAGCGGGCCCGGCAGGCTGCCATTAGTGCAGTCTCCCCCTGGGCATCCCCCTCATTCACGTAGGCACCCCCCTCCAGAAGCAGACGGGCCAAGCGCAGCTTACCCTGCCCCACGGCCCGGAGGAGAGCGTGGCCCTCTGTGTGCAGCATAGCTGCGGCTGGGGCGAGGGCGCCGACGAAGCCGGGACCGAGACCTGCCGAGGATGGCTAAGGGCGTGGGGTGGTGGCTGGCGGAGACCTGGGGGCTCAGTGGCGAAGCCAATCCCTGCGAGAAAAGGAGAGATCTTATTGACAGATTCGGGTGGCGACGCTGAGCCACGGATGGAAGGACCCGGCGAGGGGCAGGGGCGGGCTCCACGCCACGGCGCGCAGCCCTTCCTCTCACTCATGCCTGAGAGCCGCCCCCTCCCCGAGCGCATGCCTGAGGAGGTGGGAAGGGTGCACCCGCATTGAAGGATGAGCGCGCGTGCAAATGCGTACGTGCACGCGCAGGGATATCCGCACCCCCACCCTCACCCCACGGCTTATCAGACCTTTCCAGCACCCCCCTTTTCTTATCCGCACTTGGAATCCCCCTTTCTAGGATGCTGAACGCCACCCAACCACACACATGCACCCACACAGTCACTCACATCCCCATTCCTAACCTCTTTTAGGTTGCCACAGCCCCATAAATTGAGTGGGGGGAGGGAAGCAGCTTGCGTTTGGGACCTAAAACGGGTGAGGGGAGAATGGGGGGTTTCTTTTGCCCCACTCTATTCCCCATCACTCCTTGCTCCTTCCCCTCCCAGGCTGTAAAATCGAATAGATACCTGAATGTTCGCAGAATCTCCACCGGGCCAGGGCTGAGGCCGGGGCCACCGAGCAGTCGGGGTGGCGGAGCCGGGTTTCCGGGGGCCCACATGGCGGATGGGGGGGGCGCACCAGGATTCCCTTGGTGTCAGTATCTGCGCCCGGGCACCGGATCCTGGTCCCTCCTCCCGGTGCGCCCCGGGCACAGCGCCGGCTCGGGAGGAGAGAAGCTAGGAGGTGGGGGGGGGGGGGGGCGGAGCTCTGCCTTGCTATTTATAGCCTAGTCTCTGCGGGTGGGGGCGTCAGGCACCAAACCGTTACCCCACCCATGCACACAAACCCTCAAAACCTAGAGGCTCCAATCCTGACTTCCCTTGCTAAGCGGATCTCCCCTGAGCCCCAACAAACCTAAGGGTTCCTGAGGAGCCTCCTGCGAGACCCAGACTGGGACCATCCCAGGTCTTGGTGGAGCGCCGGCAGATGCCCATTCTTCGAGCTGGGTGCTCTAAGGCGCGCCTGTGCGCCAGACCTGACCTGCCACACAGGGCACATGGCACACTGCAGAGGGGTGGAGAGAAATGATTGGGTTCCTCGCCCGGAGTCCATACTGTGCAGAGAGAGGCGAGAAATCTGGCTGCCTTCTCATAGTTTAAATGTCAGGAAGAGCTGCAGTCAGACACAGCGTGCATCCTCACTCCACCTGCCCCCACGGGGCCCACAGCTCGAGCAACCCGGACCTCAGCCCCTTGCACAGACCTCTTAGATAAGTATAGGGAGGGTGGATACCTGGGGTCATTTTTATATACAGCAGGGGGGCACTGCCAGATACCTTCTCTCCAAATTCTTGGGGGGTATAGGGAGGTAGAAAAGGGGACAGAGAGACAATAGCAAACATTACACATCCTTTCTCAGTGCACCTCTTTACTCTCAATATTGTTTAGACTCATTATTTTTCCATCTTGCTGGAAGGTGTCTGAGCGCCCCTATGTCTTCTTTCTCCCTGTCTGTTGCAATTGGTCTCTCTCACTGTCTGTCTCTGCTTATCCTTGCCACCTGCCCTGTCTCCATGGTTACCATAGCTTCCATGTGCATATTTTAGGAATGAGTTTGTGTCCAGCTGGAAGGCATCAGAGGAAGTGGGGGGATGAGGAAAAAATCCCAAGGTTTTGGACAACTCACCTGGAATTCTGAGATAATTCAGAGACTGGAGGCCACCAGACACAAAATATAAAAAATAATGTTCCTGGAGAAGGGGGAGAGAGATTTTCAGGGAAGATACCTATTTTTACCAGTGACCACTTATTTACTGGACACCAACTATATTAGGTACTTTTTATACATTATCACCAATGACACTACATATACATTACATATATACACATTATACACTTTGCATACACTATCCCCAATGACACTGTAAAACAGGAATTATTATCTTCCTTGTTGCAGATAAGGACACGGAGACTTAGTAAGGTTAAGCAAGTGCTTCAAAGCCTCCCAGTTCTGTTTCTGCCCTGCCCTGAGGCCTGGGCACTGCAGCTCCACCTGGGGGGGGTGGGTTCACTCCCAGGATGTCCTCTTGGTCATCTGGGACATTCTTTTTTTTTAAAAAAAAGGTTAATTTATTTATGCACACAAGAGCTGGGGTACAGGCCAGATGTGCAGGAGGGTGAGAGGATTCACCAGAGACAGAGTGGGGAACAGAACAGGCAGACTGACTGAAACACACTGCTAAGGGAAGAAGTGGGCAAGACAGAGAGGTCGGCTGCGCCATGTGGGTAGCTCCCTGGCCGGCCGGGGATCAAACTCGTGCTGCATAGGCTGCGGACCTCTTCATAGTGCGGTGCTTAACTCCTTGCGCCACTAGAGAGGCCCTGGACATTCTTCTTAACTGACTCCTAGATTTTATCTCAGTTCTTCCCGGATATTTCTGTTCTCTGTGAAAGCAGGCCTTCTCTTCCCTTCCCCCTTAACCCAGGGCCACGGGGAGCCCGAAATCCCCGGGCTCCTGGCCTGCCTCCCAACTCTGGTTCTGATTCCTAATCCTCCCATCTTTCATACACACGGTAGCAAAGGGGGGGGGGGATAGAAAAGAAGCATCCTTTGGTTGCTGGAGGGAAGCAGGGGACACTGCAGGAGGGCCTGGGGGTGATGGGAGAGAGAGCCAACTGTGCATGCCAGTCCCCAGAAGACCGACCCCTAAAGAGCCGCTGGAAGGGCTATATTTCTTTGTGGGAGCTCCCTCAACAGAGCCCCTGGGTGAAATTAAGCCTCCTTCTGTGAACTCTCGCCAGCCAGGGGTTCCTCTATCTGAGACTCGGAAATAACCGAGCCCGGGTTCATCCTGCAACCCCATCCATCCCTCGGTGCCGGACTTCTGCAGCCCGGGTTCCGGTGGGCGCGCTCGCTCCCTCCCGCTCCCGTCCCCAGCTTCGAGGGGGCGGACCCCTCTTCGGCTTCCCCTAGATTGGCCCGGGGAACCCACCAATCGGGAGCTCCGGGAGGCGGACCCAGAACGCCACCATCTTGAGGAAGACAAGCGAATTTCCAGGTGGCTGCGGCGTGGGCTCTGCTGGGGCAGCAGGTAAGGCTTGATCGGGGGCGCGGGCCCGGCTGCGTCCCGCACTCCCCAGACCAGGCCCCCGGGGCCAACTGCGAGGTCGGCCGACCGCGCCTCCCGGCAGCCGGTAGGGTCAGCCCCGGTCCGCCCCTCCAGCCCCCCTGGCTTCCCAGCGCCGCGCCGAGGTGAGCGGGACTTTCTGGAACCGGCTTTCTGGAACCGGGTCGAGATATAAAAGCCGAAAGTAAGACTCACTCGTGTACCTCTGACTACTGCTGTGGCATCCACTTCTTCCGAATCTGTTAGTATGATTCCCCTAAGAGCCGGACAAACTTCTGTTACCTGTCAGGAGTCAGGGGAAATGAATACTCCTCCCTACCTGTGGCTCTCTGGCCTCCCTTCCTTGCCGAGTTGTTTCCCCGCCTGAGCGATAGCATTTTCTGCATCCTCTCTTGGACCACCTATCGCTCACTCCTCACTGTTTCTATTCTTAGAATATAAGATTGTGTAGGGCAGATTCTAGTACTTAATACATAGTGCCCACTGAAAGTTAATTGAATGGAATTGATTGGGGAGGCACAATTTAAACCAATGTAATTAGGGCACAATGAATAAAATACAATCCAGTATATAATTAAGATCTCTTAAATTAGCAGTTCATCATATAATTGCCGCCACGGTCCAGAGAAGGGTGGAAGCCAGGACTGGAATGGTGAGGAGAGGAAGCTTTAAGAATCACAAGGTCTCAAGTTTGGAAGCGCCCTTAGAAATTATGCATTCATCCAATATATTTATTGATCACCTACTATAAGCCAGACACGATGCTAGTAAAAGGGAGTCAGCGAATCCTCTACTCCAGACGTCCATCCTTCCTCTGATAAACCAGATTTAGTATCTTACATTTAAACATCTTTTGTAAGAGAATACTTTGCAGATCATTCCATTTTTTGTTATATATTCTGCAGTCAATAGCCGGAAAATATTCTAAAGAAGAAATGCATTCTATACTTCCATTGCAAAAGAGGGAAGGCTGTTCTGGTGGTAGCATTCTTAAAAACAAAGCCATCTCTTGTTCTCTGAGTATAGAAGTAATATAGCATTTTAAAAACAAAGCCATCTCTTGTTCTCTGAGTATAGAAGTAATATACATTTATTCTAGAATATTTGGAAACACATAAATGTACACATTAAAGTAGCCATTATTTCATGGTCACAATTTAGTGATAACCATTACTATTATTTTTAGTTTACTATGTATCCTGTCAGTTTTTTTCTTCGTGTATACATATATACACACATATGTGTGCATATATATATTTAATAATCTACATGGAGAGGGTCATACAGTATATACAGTGTTTTATCATCTCTCTCCACTTTACATTATATTGTGGATTTTTTTTGCCTTTAAATATCACTTGAAGAAGTTTACTCTTATTCCAGACGTCTCAGCCCTTATGTGAGATATGTGGAACCAGACACTCTGTGGAGGCCACTGAGCTTTCCCAGTTGTGCCTAGGCCCAAATATGTCCAGTGCCTAAGGACAAAGGCACTAGCTTGCTTTGTTAAGAGAGCCTTGGAGAAAACTGGGGAAGACACCTGGTCCGCAGGCCCCAGGAAGCCACCAGCTGGGTAGATTTCTTCAAGGTGCAACCAGAGATCCTCAGCTCAAGACCCAGACTTTCGCCATAACCCCTGTCGAGGACAGAGATGAGGCCAGGCTGAAGTTCCTCACAAGCCAGGTGACAGGGCTGGTGCCTTACTGGCCGGCCAGACCCATAATGGATAGTGGCCACCGAGGCCCTAGCGCTGCTGGCCCCGGGACAAGGCAAGATGCCCAGGTTAGGGCTGCCAGCACCAGTGCATATCTGCCGAGGTCCAGTCCTAATCCGAGCAGGGTTTTGAACACCAATGTGATTGTAGGTGCTCCAAGACAGAAATCAAGAGTGGCAGAAACTTGAAGAAGTTTACTCTTATTCCATCACTGAGGTGGGCCCCAGCAATGCCTTCCCTGGCACGGTGGGTGTCAGAGACTCTAAAAGCCTGCAGCAATTCCCAGGTGGTGGGCCAGCATCTCAGGGGTTTCCGCTTGGAGATCGCAGGGGCAGCCCCGCCCCACCTGCTGCCCCTAAAGAGACTGGGGTCCAGGATGCAAGATGGGGCAGGCGGAATCCTCCACTACCAGGCAGGTGTCAAAGTGGTGGCCTCAGGAAAAAGACACACGTGACTTAGGAAGCAGAAATGACTCACTGCAGGTTCCTGAACTGAGTGGGTAGAGATGGATGGCTTATATTTTCTCAGTTTATTGCCTGGATTAAATAAAAATCTTGTGTTCCTTTCACCCCTGGTCCTTGGGGGTCACTTGGAATTCTGAATGCAATAGGGACCTTAAATAGTTAGAATGTATTAGCATTGGATCATTTGTTGTAACATGGGGATGTGTGGAAGTGGAGTTAGGTTCATCTAACCTCCAAGCTGATGGTCTTTTCCCGATTCCTTGCTGCTTTGTAACAATTCCCACCACTACTGCTGGAACTGTATCAAATGGAAAGATACCTGAGCCAGCTCATTCTTGCCCATGAGACATCTTCTGTATTCTGCCATTTTTCTACCTTTCTTTCCTGCTATCCATTATTAATCTCACCTATTACTGTATATTTTTAAGTTTTAAATTAATATTTTCCCTTATTACAACAGCAGTGTAGAAAAGATACACATAACCAGATAACAACTTTTTTATTTCATAAGTGTGTATGACCAAATAAATAGATTACTTTATACATATCTTTAAATCTTTTCACCATTAATGTTTTGTGGAATGCCTATATCTCTTAGAGTATCTGCTGGATATTGGTTGAAGAATAAATAACCAAAATGAAATGAACTGCAAAGTGAAATAGGGAGGCCTCTTACTAAAGGTGTTTAAATAGAAGCTGAACAGCAATTTACTAAATCTGGTTTATTGAAGGACATTTCCAGAGTAGAAGATTCACTGTGATTCCCATTTTCTGTCATTGTGCCTGGCATACATGTAGTGGGTGCGCAATAAATATTTGCTGAATGAATGAATGAATGAATGAATACATGATTTCTAAAGACTTTTCCAAACTTGAGACCTTGTGATTCATCAAACCTTCCCTCACATTCCAGTCCTCCTAGCCTCCTCCCTTCCCTGGATTGTGGGAGCAATTATATGATAAATGACTGACTTTAGAGATCTTAATTATATTGTCTGTTATTGTTCCCTAACCAGCATGACCCTTAATGTCATGTGAAGAAAATGGCGCTTTATCTCTGACCCTCCTCCTGAACCTGTATAACCCCAGTCTAATCCGGAGAAAAATATCAGACAGATTCCAGCAGAGAAGCATCCTACCATGCACCTGGCTAGGATTCTTCTGAACTCCAAGGTCATCAAAACCAAGGTCTGAGAAACTGAAGCTGAATTGCTGCTCATTTTTTTTTTTCACGAATAGATTTTTTTCCCCCACAGAAAAGCAGCCATCATTTTGGTAATGTTTGATGACCAAAATGGATATATAAGTAAAATATACATTGAAGACAAAAATTGTCTTATTGTCATAATTATCTAAACTAAAAGTTCAATGGATGCTGGTAAGGGAAAACGAGGAACTTGCTTTACTTTTCATGGGGATTTAAGTGTTTGATTTAAAAAAAGGCTTCATGACCTAAGGTGTATATTTAGGATGATAAAGCATATTATGCAATCCCAACTAAAAGTCCTAGAAATTTCAATTCATTACAAAAAGTGTTTTTTGAATTAATGATTCAGGAAACAAGCTCAGGTCACCAACTATGAAGGTAAAGGAAACCTTTACAGGCTGGGGAGTGGATCAGACCCCACCCTCACCCCCACCATGATGGAGTGTACAAGTGTGGGGGGCAGCTACATCTGCAACATCTCTCTAGTCTTTTTATAAAAGCTTTGTTTTTGTCTTGATCAGGTTTTTCTCACTGGAACGCTGAATACCCAGGCCCCCCCCACCATGGCCAACAGGGGTGGGGGCCGGGGGCGTGGCCGGGGCCAGCTGACCTTCAACATGGAGGCTGTGGGCATTGGGAAGGGGGATGCTCTGCCCCCACCCACCCTGCAGCCTTCTCCTCTCTTCCCTGTGAGTATTTACCCTCTGGGCCCAAGAGCCTGGTACCCCTGGGGCTCTTCGTGACCCCAGACTCCCCGGGGCCATCATAACACCACCCTGACCTTGCCTTTCCCTGTCTCTATGCTCTGGTCACCTGGGAAGTCTTCCAAGCCAGGAAGTATCCACCCTTACTTCTCATGCACCTGGCTCCCCAACTTTCAAAATGCTGTGTTCCTCCCAGTGGGGGCATTGGATTAAATTGGGGGGAGTGGCACTCCCAGATTGGTCCTCCACCATTTTCTCCCTGAACTGACCACTGTCCCTGCCTCCTTAGCCCCTGGAGTTCCGCCCAGTGCCTCTGCCCTCTGGAGAAGAGGGGGAATATGTCCTGGCACTGAAGCAGGAGCTGCGAGGGGCCATGAGGCAGCTCCCCTACTTCATCCGGCCAGCTGTCCCCAAGAGAGGTCAGTGACATGCTCTCATCATGCCTCCCCTGAGTGGCGCCCTGGGTGCAGGCCCATGGGCTAGCTGGGAGCCAGAGGGGGCACAGGAAGCTCACAGGCTCACTGGGAGGTCATAATAATAATCACAGCAGCCTTCGTTTGCATTGCATTACATAATAGTCTTGGTCAGTAGAAGATCAAGACATGGGGGATAGATTAAAATTTTTAACTGTGAATTACAGGCACTGGCCGATCAGAAACAGGGCTGATGCTGGGCCCCTGAGAAGCCCCTCCAAGTAAAGCACTACCCCTTTGGTCAGTAGGTCAAGGGAAGTCAGGGAGACCAGGAGGCATGGAGAAGGGGGTACTCTGAGAAGGCATGGGGAGTAGATATTTACCTCCTGGCATGGGATGCAGTTTTTCAGTTCATTGCCAACTGGTGTTTTCCTCCTGAAGCTCAGCGAGGTGACAGACTTCCAGAGTTAGTCCCCTTCCCCGTGAGCAAAGGCAAGAGTGAAATCCGGGTTCCTTGCTCTCAAGGACGCTCTCCACTGCTCTCTCTCAGTATCACCGTGGCATTGGGCTAAGGGAGCTTTAAAAACATTTGAATTTGGCGTAGTAAAGGGATAGTTTAGAAGAGTATTGAAAGTCTTCCCTGCAGCAAACCCCCTGGGCTCTGGGTTTGGGGTGAGGGAGCACAAGTCCTATGTACAGAGAGGGCTGCACCCTTAGGAACAACCTCCTTGTAGGGCTCTCAAAGGATAAAATTTGACCCTCGACTTCTGACCCCCAGATGTGGAGCGTTACTCAGACAAATACCAGATGTCAGGGCCGATTGACAACGCCATTGACTGGAACCCTGGTAGGTGATGGCTGCCCTTCATTGACTGCCCTTCCCGCAGATGGTCTAGATGCTTCAAGTCACAGCCACCACCCCATGCACCCTTCTCTTCCCCCCTCCGCCCCCCATCTTCTGCTCCACCTTACCTTTGTTCAATACCTTTACGAGCCTTAGATGTTCTCTAAAACACTTTGGAGACTACCTGAAAAGCAGGAGCCCCTACTGCCCTGAGGCGTCTAAGCCACAGATTTGTTTTAAGCAACTTTGATGCAGCCTTTTCCCTTCTCACCCTCACTCAGCCTTACCCACACCCCCCTTTAAAACTGTCCTTCCTGGGCCTCCTGGTGGCACAGGGGTTAAGTCTCAGTGCAGCCATTGCAACATGAGTTCCATCCCCTGCGAGGGAGCTACCCACAGGCAGCAGCAGACTCTCCTGTCTCCCCTGCTGCTCCCCTCAGCAGTGGATTTCAGTCGATCTGCCTGTTCTGCTCCCCACTCTGTCTCCGGTGAATCCTCTCACCCTCACCCCATACCTCTGGCCTGCACCTCAGCTCTTGTATGCATGCATGAATAAAAATAAAATGAATAAATAAACACAGCCCTTCCGGAGAGACCCCGAGTGATGTCATTGACTTACATTTCCACTCTGCCCAGACTGGCGCCGTCTGCCGCGGGAGCTGAAGATCCGAGTGCGGAAGTTACAGAAGGAGCGTGAGTGTATATGGGAAAAAAAGAGGGAGAAGAGAAATTTCCTTCATCAGTGGGAGGGTCAGGGTCAGGCAGGGGCCACCCCAGTCCTGACCAGTCCACCAGTGCTTGCTGGATGCCCTGGCGGCCACAAGGGGGCGGCAGAGTACACGGCCTGCGCCAGAGGGCGGGCGGGTGGGGCTGCGGGCCTCCCTCCCTGTTCACCTTTTGATCCCATCCCCAGGAACCACCATTCTGCTCCCGAAGAGGCCCCCTAAGACGACAGGAGAGAAAGAAGAAACCATCCAGAAACTAGAGGTGAGGACGGGGCTGTCACCTGCCCCCCAGCTCCATTACCTCCCCTGTGTCTCGCGTGCCTCAGTTTCCCCGCTCTGCTTGCTGACCCCCCATTCATCCTCATGGCAGAGCCTGGAGAAGAAGGAGGAAGAAGTGACCTCAGAGGAAGATGAGGGGAGAGAGGAAGAGGAAGAGGAAGACAAGGAAGAGGACGAGGAGGAGTATGATGAGGAAGAGCATGAGGAGGTGGGGGTCCCCCTCCCTGGGCCCCGGGCCCAGCCCCTCCCCCGTGCTCTCTGTGCCAGGGCTGCAGCCCCCAAAGGGTAGGGCCTCCCCTCTGTCTCATCTGCCCTGGCTCTTCTCAAGAGCCAGCTGCAGCCTGGAATCGTGCAATTGGGAGGAAAGGGCCTGGGACACAGGACGGAAGGAAAATGCCAGAACCGAGCCTGACTGTTATTTATGTACTTTCTGTTTCAGGAAACCGATTATATCATGTCATATTTTGATAACGGAGAGGACTTCGGAGGTGACAGTGATGACAACATGGATGAGGCTATATACTAAAGCAGGACCCTGAGCAGCACCCAGGAGTTCGCTGTCTTTCTGGATTTAAGACGCAGCATGACTGTGCCTACCCAGGGCTAGTGGACCAGCGAGTGGTGCCCAGAGTCGAGGAACCTGCCCAGCCCCTGGAGTGGGCTGCAGAGACGGATGACCAATGGATGACTGTGCTCTTTCTGCCCCCCCCCCCCCCCCCACCCCTGTCCCCTTGGTCACCTCTGATATCTTGAGGAAAGGGCAAAGGACCGACGTCTAATTACGTGAGCGGGAGAGAGGAAGGTGAGAAGGAGCTGGAGTGTCAGACCTGAACCAGCGGTGCACAGCCCCCTCCCCACGCTCACAGCTCTCTGCGAGATGATTGGGGCGAGCACAGTGAGGAGGAGGAAAACCAGTTTTATTTTTTTAATAAAATGTTTTTATCTGTCTCTCTGTCCAGGGTAAGGCCTGGCGGGAGAGGGCTGGAGTGTGAAGGGGACAGCCTGCGGGCCAGTCCCTGCTCCTCCATCAGAGTCCAACGTGTGGACGGGGTCTGTGGCCCTCCCCTTCCTCTGCGGGGCGATGCCCACATCCCCAGTCTAGCCCTGCCAGGGAGCATTGGGGAGCTCATCTGGCGGCTGCGCAGAGTGAATAGTGAGAACAGCCCACACCCTGAGACCAGCTGGCTCTGAGCCTCTGGTCCTCAGCCATGGGACACCATTATCTTAGCTCACAGCCCTGCCTTTCCCACACTTGACCTTGATCTTGTTTACAAGGAATGATTGCAGCTATTTTGTGGGGAGACTCTAAAAGCCAGGTGCTAGGGTAGAGAGGAGGTACTGACTCCTTCAGGCACCCACCCACTTCCAGGCCTTGGACTCCCCACTTTGAAAGGCAAGTCTTTGCAGAGTCCCCTCAATGTCCTGTTTTGCACATCCAGAGCTGCTGTGTGTCTGAGTTGCAGTTTCTCTTTTGTAGAATTTAATTAGCCTTTCTTACTCCCTTCTGGGGGGGTAGGGGACCTGGTGGTGGGTGCTGCTTTATCGGAGATAAGGGGAGGAGGGAGTGACTTAGGGACACTCACAGCTCCAGGAGATGCTCGCCCACACAGGCTGCCTGGGTGAGGTCACTTCCCTGGGCTCTGATTGGCATCTGAAGAAGCCCCAAATGAGCTGATTGGCTCCAGCCACTTGACATGCAGCAGACACGGGGCAGCCTCGTGTCCAGGATGGGCTGAATCACAGGCAGGCAGATAGCAGGAGTGCTGCCATGGCGCCAAACATTTGAAAACCGAAGAGATGAGAGGCAGGAGAACCTTCGGCAAATTCCCCAACCATATCCAGGCAGCCCTCTGGGCTTCTTCAGCACCAGGTGACAGAGACCAGCAATATAATGCCAGGCACTTCTGACCCTTTTGTAAAGAATGAATAGGGGCCATGACGCCATTGAGGGAAATCACCTTAAAAGCTGGCTACTGGTAGTCACTGTGAAGGTAAAGTAGCCAAGAGAACAGAAAAGGAAACAGAAATAGAAACGGAATATTCCAGAGTTATTGAGCAATTCACAGTGACTGATGTGTTTCCTTCTCTGAGGCCGAGGCCCCATCCCTGGGGTTCCCCACAGTCACACTGTAGCCTGTGATTGAGCTAGGAAGAAATCAGCAAGAAATAAAAGTAAAAGGCACGAAACACTCTGCTTTTACCTTTCTTCCCGTGGACACACATACCAGTCCCCACCTGCGCAGCTGTATCTGTCTATGCTGGGGGCACAGCAAACTCCCTAAATCCCACATAATGCCACCGAATTTAAAAGTGGGAATAAAGAAGATTCTAGACGAAAGACAACAGCGGAGGACCGGAGCTCCCCTGCCCCCACCTCTGTACTGACACATCCTTTTCCCATGAAATGGGAGAAAGAAGGACAAAGGTTAGAGTGACCACAGGGTTCAGGTATCCTGAGCTCAAAGGCAGAGTGTCAGAAAAATCAGCCCATTCGTGAACTCTTTCCTGTCTGGCTTCCTGCCCCTCCTGGCAGGTGACCTTGTTTTGCAAAGCCAGAGACATGGGACTCATCTGGATGTTGCCTTTGACCTCTCCCCCACTTTCCAGAGGTTCTGACAGACATTCTGAGGCTGAGACCGCAGGCCCAGTACACAGAGCTGGGGTCCCACTGGGTGGGTGGGTGGGGGGCACTGCCTGAGAGGTGAGAGGTTGCGGCCTTGTTTGCAAGCATTCAGAGAGGACCCATGCATGCTGGCCCAGCCTGGTGCTGCTAGTAGGTGCCTCTGGCCTGCTCCTGTGAGCAGATGGCTCTTCCGCCCACAGCTTGACTCAAACAGCCCAGGCCCATGGCTGACCCCCCCACCCCGCCCCCGGGGCAATAATCACTTCCTTTCCTGCTCTGTTCCATCCCTAGTCACCAGGTCCTGCCTGGGCAGGGAGCTCCAGGGAGGGGCCTGCAGACTTAAGCATAAGGACTCAGGTGGTCTGAAGAAGGACTGAAAGCACCACACAGTTTAAGGCAGTGGGAGAGGCGGTCAAAGTGGATGGGAGGGGCAGGTGCAGGCGGACAGGGCACCCATAGTTTGGTGAGGAGCCGACCATTGTTTTCCTCCATTCACTTGCATTACTATGTGTAGTGGGAAGGCAGGAAGGAGGCTTGGCTCGCAGGCTCAAGCTAGTTAAACTCCAAGCCAGGGACTTCTGCCCTCTCCCTGGGCTGGGCACGGCACCAGCTCCACCACGCCCCAGCTCTGCCCTTGAGAAGGGCCCAGGCGGTGTCCAAGCCGCCATACTCGCTTGTGACGCAAGTTGGGGAGGCGTCCACGGGAACCTGTCTCCCTCCTGTTCATCCACCCACAAGAGTCCACACGGTCTAGAAGCAAAGGTCAGGAAGTGTCCAATTTTTGCTGAACTTGCTCTGTCCATTGAATTTACCCGCCTTATTTTTGGCCTGGGCAAGCTGAAGATGCCTCTGGCGTCCAGACTGTCCAAGAACTTGCCTCAGCCTGAGCAGCAGGACAATCAGCAATTCCATCAACAAGCAAGGAAAGAGATCACCCTGCAGCAGAGGTCAAGGTCACAGCCTACACCAGGACTCAGACCAAGACACCACCAAGACATTTCTGGCAGAGGAAGGGCAGGAGGATGGCAAGTCCTCTCACCCCCTCCCACAGACATCAGGTGGAGCCAGAGGAGAGAACTGAGCTGGACAGGAATAGCTCCATTAGTAATCGGGCCAGGCCAGCGGTGACCCCTTCTCCACTAACCTTCCCCCTACTGAGGCTCACCTTTGCTCCAAAGTCATTGGAGACCTGACAGTTGGAAATAAGTTCTAGTGTGCTAGTGTAGCCCCAGAAAGGCCTGGGCCTGAGCCCCAACACACATTCTCACTCTTTTGAATCCTGGAGGGAAGGGAGGTTCTCCTGCAACCCTGATGGGAATCAGTGGGAAGGAAATGGCCCAACACACAGGGCCTGCGGGCTGCTGCTATGCCCAGGAGACCCACAGCTTCGAGGGAAGGAATCCAGGCCGTGATTCTGCAGACCCAGCCCGGCCAGATCGGGGAGGGACTGTGTCCCCATGACCTCTGAACTCAAGACTTTTCCATTCTGGAGCCTTCCCTAGAGCACCAGGACCCTCAGCTGTGAGCTGGGCTTCCTAAACCTTGGAGCCCGGCCTCTCCCGGGATCCTCCCTGTCCCACGGTCCCATTCGCCTTGGTGTACAATGGACAAAGGGAGGAAATGTCCGATCCTGCCCCCAGGATCCTGCTCCTGCTGCATGTAGGAACTGCCACAGAGGTGATGGGTCTAGATAGTGGGGGATCAGTTAGATTTGCCTTAGACTTCCCCAGGCGGGGCAGGGCGGGGGCACTCACCTAAGTCAGGGACACAGACCTGGGAGTTTCCTTCCTCAGAGAGGTGCTCCCCCGCCTCCCTGTTGGACAGGGAGAGGACCCTGGCACTCACCCTGCTCATGCTCTGTTGTGGCCAGAGACACAGCCGTTCTGCAGAGCCCTGGTCTGAGAAGGTCAAGGTAACGCCACGCTCTGCTCTGTGAGGAAGGAGGAAGTGTGCCATGCAGGCTCAGTGGGAGAAAGGGCAAATGCCAGCAGCCCTTTTCGAGCCTGTTGCTTCCTGGCCCCATGCCTCTCTCCTGGCCCTGCACACCCATCCTGCCTCACCATACTTGGCCCCTCACCCCTCCCCTACTTGGCCTGGCTCCTGTTTTGAGTGTTGTGTTCACCCCGCACCACCTCCGCCACCTATCCTCTAACTCTCCCCCGTCCAGAGACACCAAGGATGTCCACGAACGTCCCGCCAGCTGGACCTGGCCCGGTCAGGAGGGGCCTAGGGCCAGAAAGAGAGTCTCTCTCTCAGACTCGTTACTTTTCAGATTCTTTTCTCTTGTTGACTCTCTGCAAGCTGCCTTTTGCCTCAAGTCACAGCGTGGTGCTGCTCACAAGGGTGATAATTAGCCGGAGGCACAGGGCACACACACGGACCCATTTTCCAGAGTCCATTTTGCTTTTAAGATTTGGCGGGGAGCAGCCTCCCTGGTGGCACAGGGGTTAAAGACAGCACTACCAAGCCATCGCCAGCCACTGAGGCAGGAGTTCCAGCCCCAGCCAGGGAGCTACCCACATGGCGCAGCAGACCTCTCCTGTCTCCCCGCTGCTCCTCTCAGCAGTGTATTTCAGTGGATCTGCCTGTTCTGCTCCCCACTCTGTCTCTGGTGAATCCTCTCACCCACCAGCCTACACCCTAGTTCTTATATGCATAAATAAATAAATCCTTTAAAAAAATTTTGGTGGGGGTGTCTCCCCGGTGGCGCAGTGGTTGGGTGCTGGGTTGCGAGGCTGCCCGCAGCCTCTGCAGCGCTTGTTCGATCCCCGGCCGCTGGGCGAGGGCCCCACATGGTGTGCAGACCTCTCCTGCGGCCCTCTGCTCCCCTCAGCAGTGTACTTCGGTCCTTCTGCCTGCTCTGCTCCCTGCTCTGGCTCTGGTGAATTCTCTCACCCTCCCGTGCCTCTGACTGTACCCAGTGCTTGTGTAAATAAATAAATAAATAAATCTTTAAAAAAAATTTTTTTTGGGTGGGGGAATAAAAAATATTTTTATACTAAACTGCACAAAACTATTCTTTGTAAATCAAAAAGTGCACCTTTTAAACCTGGGATCGGACACTGGAGGATGGGATTGTGCCTGCGATG